GTGCTCGCCTGCACTCGGATTCGGTCTCGGCTTTGGCGCTGCAGTGTCTGCCAATGTCGCTGCTGGCGCGGGCGTGATCGCCACACCTCTTGGCGCAGGGGCTGGCGCTGGCGTCAATGCCGGCGTTGCTGTATCTGCCGGTCTTGGCTTGTAGGTGCTATGTGCCACTGCATTGGACGCCAAAGCTGACATTGCACGCAGCGATACATTCCATCAGTGCTACACGAGCTGCTGCAATGGGCAGCCGACTGCCACGCCCAAGCCGGTCGCAGCACCACAGCCAGAGCCTTGTTACGACTAGGATCTGTCATTGAATGAGCATGCATTGTAGCTCAGATTTACCTCGAGCTAGCCTGAATTGAAGCCCAAGTGCGAGGGGATGATCGGCAGCAAAGTTTTGTCCGCAGCGCGTGCAGAGTATATATACTGCCATTCTTTAATCTTCGCTTTCATACTTACCTTGACCTATGAGCGCATTTCACGAGAATGTTCTGATTGGGCTGGGCTTTCGGCATTGCACCGTGAACTTCATGACGAACCGTTAGCCTTTCTCAGTGACGGCCTTCGGGTCGGCACGGGTCGCAATACTTCCTACGTGCGGGCATGACTTTCGGGTCGTCCCGCAAAACCTCTTGCTCCGTCCATGCTTGCTACTGCTTTCAGCTTACTTATACGAAGCATCGTCACATGGTGGTTGGACTTTTTGCGTCGCTCTATAGCAAGTCAGAGGCGATGCATCGCACACTCATCCACACAACGTGTCATGCGCAAAATTCTCGCATCAGTTGCATAAACTCGCTGGGCTTTTCAGAGTGGACTGTCATGCGTCTGAATGTCAGGCTCATGTCCTCGCAAATTGAGAGCGAGATACGCACCCCAATGTCCAGCGCCCGTGACAGTCTCGAGTTGCATCTCGGGGAAGTACTCGCGTGCTACCGCGATGCTCTTGCGGTTAAGGTACTTGCTGAGCTCGCCCTGTCGTCAAGCCATTGTAAGCAAGTGGTGCGGCGGCGCACGCTTATGAGCCAGGTTGCCAATCTCAATCTCTTGAAGCCTCAACGTCTCGCAACATGCTGAGCGACTCTTCCGTCTCTGCAAACGTTGGCATAGCTGCGCGGCCGAGCCAGTCCTGTAGCCAAGACGAGAGTGCTGAGATCAGGGCCGGCGTTCTGACAGATCTAGCAAATGCGCTAATAGCAATGACGAGGCTTGGCCTGCTTGGCTTGACGCCCAATTGGCGCATCCAGGCCAGGATGAGAGGGATCTCCGCCGCGGATTCGGTGTATGCGTACAGCCGGATGAGCTCTCCGAATGCTTCCTCGGAGATCAGGTCCGCTTGTGCCTCTGACACGCTCTCGAGGCTAATTGAGCGCCCTTCAGGCTCTGCTAGCGTTGGCAAAGCTCGCAGAAGCGAAGAAACGTCGCGGTACTTGTCCATCTGACGTGCAACGGCCGGATAGGCATTCACGAGAACGTGCCAGTAAAGCTCCATTGCGTACTGCCAGGGCTGTCTACCTTGCCATTCGACCAGTCGGCGAGACAGAACAGCCTTGCGAGCGGCTTCGAGCAAGACTGCATAAGAGCTAGCGGAGCGCTCCCCTTCCTCGCCAGCGTGCACTTGCCAGAGCTCATAGACCTCGTCAAAGCGCTGGGCATACGTGAGCTCACGCGTGAGTTTCAGCAGCTCACGAGAGCTGAAGTGGCTGTGTTGATGTGCCTTCTCGATACGCGGGTGATGTATAAACCGCAGAAATTCGATGTCACCGTCGCCATCTGTTACCGAGACGCTTTGAGCAAAGTAGCAGATGATCTTCAGCGCGAGAGCTGTCCTGCCGAGCCGTATGAGCGCAGTGGCGTACATCCGGACATGCTGCGAATTGATGTCGACTGTGAGATCAGGCAAGAGCAATTCGTGCCAGGCATTGAGAATTTGCGCCGGGTCATTGCGATAGAGAAAGCCTTCGAGAAGGACTTCATACACATAAGGCGATAAGACCTGGGTCTGCAGGCCCTTTGCCGTCTCGACAGAGACCAGACGATGGCGTATCTGCCCAAGTCGTCTTTGATCCCGGACATCGCTGAGAAAGGCTAGCACTGTGCCCACTGGAACCTGAGGATCTGACGCTGCTCGTGACAAGACAACGCAGACCAGACTGAGTCGTGTGAAGTTTGCGCTGGGCTGGGCGCGTTGAGGACGAGCAGCATCGGAGAGGGCTCGCTTGGCTCTCGAGTCCTCGCGCGCCGCATTGTACTGATCGAGCGCGTCTTGACCGGACATGTGCTGGAGCCGGTAAGCCAGGCTAGCAAAGGTAACGTCTTGCAAGCACCAGCGCCATAGTCGGATCCGTCTGCCGCGTCTTGGCCCTGCCACAGGTCTCGGGCCGGACCAGATGGCATCTTTCACGACCGTGTGATGACGGGACGCTTCCTCTAGCCAATGCTGAGTCCTTGCGCCGTCATGATCCGGGGCAGCGTTTGCAGCCCAGGCCATAGCGAGACAGATTCCCATGTTAAGGCGCAAGCGGTGAGAGTCCAGCAATTCGACCAGCCGCGCGGCATCTTCGTACTCTAGCAGGTCGGAACGGTAGAGCAGGACAGAAAATGTCCGCAGACGCGATTGATCCTCAGTGAGTGACTTGGCAGCTGTGGCACACAGTAGCGAGTATGCAGGTGCATTCGCCGGGCATGCAACGACGGCGACGGATGAGAGAGCAGAGGCCAGTGCGGTCCAAGTCGATCTTCGGGCCCTGAGTCGTGTCGTTCGCGCGTCATTCGACTGACACAGCCAAGCGATGATGCGAAAAGTCAAATTGTCGCGTCTCTGCCTGCCGAGTGCTGCCACCGTCGCTTTGAGCCACGCAAGAGCTCGATCGTCATCAACAGCAGCCGACGCGAGAGCGTTACGCAGAGTATCGTAGAGCAGATCGCCGTCGCGCGTGGTGCGACACTTGTGAGCCAGTACGTTCACAAGCACCGAAGGTATGCGCGCCAAACAGGTAGGGTCGAGGGCATCGCTGCAGCTGTCCAAGTCGGACGTCTCAAGCAGTGCAGTCAGCCAGTTTGTATCGTCATGCTGCGTGGTGGCCAGTGAGGCTAAGTGGGATGCTATCGCTGTCGGCAAAGCGTCGCGAAACAGCGGTGGCTCGTCCAGGCGAGCATAGCCTAAAGCCTGCAGACAGTCTGCGCACGTCGTCGTTTGCAGCGCTCTGAGCTCGGTCAAGGACTCTTCGGAGGGAGGCTCAGCGAAGGGCAGCCTTGCGCTCGGTAGAGAGGTCTCTGCACGCTGTGGCACACAGAGGCTGAACTGTCTTGGCGGCGCTACGACCGCTCGCCTGGATGGCTGAGACCGTCCGTAGCAGATGGCCAAAGAGCTCTGTCGGCGAAGGACAGCCAGGCCAGCCAGCGCCTTGCGATGTGAGCTCATGCACTTGTCATGTCGTCGTCGGTCTGCAGAGAGGAACGCGGCAAAGGGCTGCTAGCGCTAGCTCGGTCGCTGTCTCCTCAGGGATGCCTATCGAGAGCATAGCCAGTCTGGGGACGAGCATCACTGCAGAGGAGTATGCAGACCTCACGAGAACGACGCCGAGCGACTTTGCGAGCCTGCCACCGGTAAGACACTGGCAAGGGCAAGCCTTGATCTGCTTTGTGCCCTCTTTGCCGAGTTTTGCAAGCGCAGGCTGGTCACAAGGCGTGCTCTCCGTCACAGAACAGTCCGTGATGTGTCGTGTGAGCCTGGAAAGAGCTCACGAGACGAGGCAGTGCCTTGCTGTTCCTGTCAGAAAGCTCGACGGGCGTCAGGCTCACTTATCCCGTCATCTCGCTCCATGCCATCTCGCCCAAGTGTACCATACCGCTGCCTGACTCAGCACAAGAGAGCGAGAGGCCATGCATCTACTGTCAGATCGACGAAAGTGAGGGCAGAGACGAAGAAGAAGAAGACTCTGAGCAAAGGGAGCTTTACATCTTGCCACAAGATGCCAGCCAGAGTGAGTCATACCGCCGTCTTCTCTGCTTTCTCAGCCTGATGATCGGGCGCGTAGCCGAGGCAATCTTCGCTGCACTATCGCAGTGTGCTTCATTACATCCTGCGCCCTCAGAACAGCAAACGCCCTCTTTACCGTTCCATCTCGACAATGACGCGCATCTCAACGGCGACCGCCCAGAGTGGTCAGGCCCGATACAAGACGACGCTGAGCTCACACAGGCCGGCAGAGTGCGTTCAGACTTTTCTTCCGACACGAGATACCGTCCTTACTAGCATCTTGCGCACCATGAAGACGCAGATGAACAGACTGGAGGCACTCGTGGACTGGTCGAGCCTCAACGGTGATGCGCATCACGTAGAACGCGACAATCCAGATGCTGTCGAGGATGCGCCAGAGCGGTAATCGCCATGCATGCATTGCTCTGTCACATTGCATCTGGCATCCGTACCGAGCACTCTGCTGCGAATCGCTCATTCGACTGTATGGAGACCATCAGCCACATTGAACAAGCTTTGCATCGTACGCACTGGTGTGATAGCCGGACTGACGGAGCTTGTAACCCTCGAGGCCCTTGATATCGGCAATATCGTGGTAAGCAGACGAGCGATAGCGGCGGAAGTAGACGATCGACAGGTCTGCCAATTGATCAGGCGTCATGCCCAGATAGTCCCAGCTGAGCGTGCCGGCTGCATTGTCCTTGTCGTCTAAGAAGCGTCGCGTGATCTCGTCCGGCGACAGCGTCGGCCACCAGACGTTCTCCCAGACTCGTGTCATCAGTGACATGGCCCACTTGGGCAGGTTCGCTCCCTGCAGCTTGGTGTACGTTCTCGACTCGGCGAGTGCGATCAGTTGTTCGTAGGTGTACTCCTGAGGTCCCGGCAGAGAGAAGGTCTGGCCTGCCGTTGACTCGGCATCGAGCATGATGGCCATGGCTTCTGCGACATCGAGAACATGAACCGGCTTGATGACCGTCTGCTGGTCATTGATCCGGAAGATGAAGGGGTATACAGCAAGGGTGTTCAGCAGTCGGTCTTCGTGTCCGTACATCCAGCCGGGTCGGACGATTGTCGCAGAGGGGAACGCGTTCTTGACAGCCTCCTCGCCTTCGGCCTTGCATCTCAGCACGGCAGAGGGCGAGTCCGGATCGGCATTGAGATGGGATACGTGGATCAAACGTGATACGCCGGCAAGCTGAGCAATGCTCGCGATCCTGCGCGCGCCGTCGATGTGGACCTCATGAAATTTGAAGTTCCTGGGTTTTGCGTCATCGGTCAGACGTCCCGGCTGGCGGAAGGACACTCACTTTGTCTCGTAGTCCCTTCCGACGAGGTTATAGACGACATCAGAATGTCTGACTGCCTCCTCAATCTGCGAATCGTTGCGGATGTCCCACTCCTGGCGCGGCGTGCTGATCAGTCTGGCCGGCGAGCAGGCAGTGAGAAGGGGACGTACCATGGGCACGATCTGACCGAGGTCACCCATCACCTTGAGATGGCGCTTCTCGTCCTCATCGCGATAGGGGATGATGACTTGAGTGCCTTTCTTAGCTGTTGCCTCGCTTGGTGAGCATGTGTGCTAATCGTGAGCACACCCAGACTCGCCTAGCTTGTGCACAAGGTACCTCCCCAGGAAACCAGTACAGCCAAAGACGGTGGCTACATGTCCCGTGAAGGAGTGCCTGCGACCAAACCAGTGACCCTCAGCCGAATGAAAGAGTCCAACGCTGGCCATCAACTTGCCGCCCGCCTGGTCCCGAACGCAAGATGGGTCTTCCATCCTTTTGCTTGATGGTCAGATCGTGTTGATAGCGCTGCGGGCACCGCAACACCAGCTCAGCACCGATGCTGGCTGCGTGGCACAATCGCTTGCCTTTCCTAGTCTGAGGACGGGTGTAGCCTTTTGTCGTGCCGAGCAAGCCGGGACGCTGGAGAGCAGCGCCAGTCCTGCGAGTGCCGTGTCAGACTAGCCATGGCTGGGTGATTCGACGGCCCTACCCAGCCTGTGTGAGCTCATCTGGCCGGCGCTTGGAGACCGGCTCAGTAGAACGCGCGCGCTTTTGGAGTTGAGTCGGCACTGTTGACTCAATGTGATGCACTTTGGGAGGCTGCATTGGTCATGAATCTACAATCTCGTCTCATGGCGATGATACGACTAGTAGCCAGCCATGCCATGGATGCCAGTGGCATCGCGGATCTTCGCAATCTCGGATGGCGTGAGCCATTCCTTCGAGGCAGAGAACCATTGCTCAAAGACCATGCGAGCAGACTCGCCATCGCCCTTGAACCTTCCTTCGAGAAAGGTATAGGTCTCTGACCAGAGCTCGGGTGAGGCGACCTCTGCTAGGAAAGCAGTCGATCGATTCTTCGGCTGCGAGTGAGGCGAGTAGGACAGCATGGGCTCGGGGGCCAGGATCGTCGACGGGCTCGCGTATCCACCCGAGCTCGCTGACAAGGCGATGTCAGGTGGAGGCGCAGACAGTGTGAGCGAAGGCGTGGAGACGTGCGTTCGTCGGCCTGATCGCGTTGGCGTCATTGGCGCAGCAGAGAGCGATGACGAGGGCGTGTGTGTTCTTGAAGTTGCAGGCTTGAGTTCGGACGATGGCTTGCTCGTCTCCTTGTCGGTGTCGAGCTTGGGCAGACTGGCAGGAACGGCAGACGAGGCACCGGCGGCGATGGCCGTCGCGGCAGTCGTGTCGGTTGCTGAGCTCATACTGGCAGAAGCAGCAGGCGTCTTGATCATCAGATGGATCGTCGCTCCCGTCTCGATCGTGTATTCTTTGAGTAGCTTGTTGTCAGCAAGTGCTTTCCCTTTGAGCAGCAGACGCTGGTTGTCCGCCGAGGGTGCGTTAGCTTGAGCTGCGAGCTGCGCTTTGAGCTCTGCGACGGTCTCTGTCGGTTTGGCCTCTACGGTGAAGCTGAGCGATGGCTTGAGCGACTTGATCGTCAGCGAGAGTGTGCCTGACAATGCCACATCCCAAAGTAAGCCTATCGAAGTCTGTTGCTCTGCTCGACAAAGCTACCTGATGTGCTGGCACTAGATCTGATAGGCTCCGGCGGCGGACAGAGAGGGATCTGAATCGCCAAGCACAGCATCAGCAAGCGTTGCCGGACTGAGATTGGCCACCGCTCGAGTGACTTACGTCGACGATGGGAGCTCGTTTGGCACGTTGCGCTACTGGCAGTGCATAGGTCCCTGGATATTTCACCTTCTGTGTACCGAGCGCAGCTAGATGTCGCTTCGCAAAGTCAGTCTCCTCCTGCTGCCTGCTCCCGGACAGGAGTTGTTCGGCCATTTCGTTCGGGCGCAGCTGCGACGCGCTCGCTGGACGACCACGCGACTAGGTCACTCACGATGAGACACTGGTGCTTCAATGCTCATGTGTACAGAATGTTATGCTCAGATGTACTCGTATGAGCCTGTACCTGCAGTGCTCGTCGTGCTGTCGTGATTTGCGATGGTGCGTGATGTTGTTCGGCGATGCTGCTGAGCGATTTCATACGTGACTTTCTTCGTTCGTGTTGGGCTCGTGCTGCTGTAGCTTGTGCGTGTAAGATGCGAATAGGGTCCAGCCCAGTCTGGCTCGACCTCTGACGAGGGTGAGCTGATGCTTGCGGTCGAGCAGCTCGACAGTGCAGGTGTAGAGATGATGCTCGAATTGCTCGAGCGTGTCCTGCTCATCGAGAGAGACACGACAGAGCTCGTTCGTTCGGGTGGCAAGATGTCGCTGTATCGTGAAGGGTAAGCTTGGGGCGCAGGCAGATCGGTCCTGATGGCAAGCTCGGCCCGGGCGGCCACAGCAGGCCGGGAGCCGTGCGAGCGCCTTTCTTGCGTAATGCTCGCCTGAGTGGCCATATACTGAGCCAGGGCATCGATTGCATCAGTCTCTTCGCGTGCCAGCGCGAGTGCTCGATCGGCAGAAGTGAGCGATTCTTTGCGTTGGTGAATTTGAGGCGGTCGTCGCGATCTGCTCGATGGAGACTGCCGTGACGCGATGGTCGTCTTCGTCCCGATTTCCGGCGAAGCTGCGAGTGCCGTCTGGGCCAGTGCTGACGCACTTGCGTGGGATCGCAAGGATGGTCGTTGACGCGTGGCTTGAGCGCGCGACAGGCTGCGCACCGGCAGAGCCGCCGTCATGGGCTCAGAGACGTTGCGCTTCATACTGGTAGATTCCAGTGCCTATACAGCTGACAGTCAGACTCAACAGGAAGCCAAAGACATGGCATAGCGTACTGCTAGACATTCTACCGGCTCGTCGTCGTCAAACACGGCCAGACCGCGGCAGCCGAATTCCTCCTCGTCGCTGTCTTCCTCGTCGTTCGCGCTGGACAGCTTCTTCTTGAGCTTGTCGAATAGACCATGCCTCGAGCGTGAGCTCGACGCGCTGGCTGTCGCGCAGCTAGAGCCGCTCGGAGCACTACTTGTGCTGGATGAGCTGCCCTGAGACGAATAGCTGTAGCTCGAGCCTTTGTGAAGTCGTAGTGGTGGTCTTGAAGACGATGCCTGTTGTGCTGCCATCATTGCCCGTGCCGTCAAAGCAGATAGTCAGTGTCGGAGCGTTCTCAAGATCGCAAAGGGGCCCGCGAGTGTGCCGTGCAAGCTGTCGAGTTGCCTTATTTCGAGGGTGAGCACGTCCGCAATACGAATGCAGTGATCTTAGCAGGCTATAGCATGCGCTATGTGCCTGGCGAGGTGCGCGCGGGTGTGGCTCGCGAGCGTGCCTTTCAACTTCCTTCGATCACAGAAATCGTCGCGTCTTCGCGTCCTCTTGCGTCATAAGCGCGTAGCAAAGGCGTTCTTTGGGCCCTGGACGGCGTCACACGATCTGAAGTGATTGACGCTGATGTCCGAAGATCTGATCATGATGAGGGCCATGTATATGCGGCGACAGACTGCTGTCGCTCTCTTCAGAGCCTGGTCATTTACGCCTTGCTCTTGCTCCACCCGTTGACGCTTGACATAATGCGCTGAGCTTGGCCATCCTCTTCTGCCGTGCAAGCTTTCGTGATCGATCATGGCCTGGCGCTCATGTAGCGCCGCATCTTCTTACATTGGGAGGCCGCTCGCAGGTGGCGACTCTATCTTACAAAGATTCTTTTACCCCGCACTCCAGGCTTGTCGTGCCTGAGACAAGCGACGTCTAGCACAGCGATACCTGGGTAAAATGATTGGTCAGTCGCAGAATAGCATCAACGGACTTCTACCTTCATGTGCTGATCGTCCGAGTAGGCTTCCTCGCTCGCAACCCAGTCCTTTCGCCTCTCTTTGTCGCCGTCGGTGAGCACCGCCTCGCGACCGGAAGCGTGACTGGTGCTGATCGGGCTCTGCGCACAGGTGGAGGTGTCGTCGGAGCACTCGGATTTGGTGCATACTATGTCGCCAAGTCGCCCGACGTAGTCGTGAACAAGCGCATCAAGGACCCTTGGAATGATATCCTCCCAGGCCACAACACCAAGCTTTGGTCCCACAACAAGGATTGGTGGCAATCTAGAGCTTCGCTGCCCGATCCACGCAGCATGTTCGTCGGCGAGGAACGTCAGACGCGATCGGCGAGTGGTCGCCTTCGCGCCAAGGCCGCGGAGCTCAAGGCTGCTCGCACTCATGACAAGGAAGAGACATTCTCGCACTAGGGAGACATCATACACGGGCTATCCGCGCTATATGACTGGTTGTAGGCTTGTTGGTTCTGTCGAGCGATACTGCTGTAAGCCCTCAAACTGACGATTACATTGTATCTGCGTCCGATGTTGCGAGTGGTTGCAAATTGAGACAACATTGAACGCAGGATTCTTGCGAGACAGTCTATTTGCTTACGGAGACTCCCTCTTGACGGTCCACCACGTCGAGAAGAGCGCGCCAAGTCCGCGTCGATAGAGCATAAAGGAAGCTGCTGTGATCCCACCTACCAGTGCGGAGACTGACAGAATCATGCTCAATCGAGACGCGCTTCTGTCGTAGCCACCAGGTATCGAAGACAGGGGATGGATGGCCGTATTGACGATCTGTTGAAAGACTTCGGCCGCTTGCCCATATTTGAAGCTGACCGCCACGGGCACACGCAGGCTCAGACGGCGACAATAGACGTCTGGCTGTACCTCATGCCTTTGCTGGGCCAGATCGAGATCAGACTTGGTGGCGACAAAGATGCTGGGTATGTGGTCCAGTCGGTATTGCTGCCGCAGATTACTGACATACGAGAACGAATTCGTGTCGCTAGAGTCATACACAAAGACGAGGACGTCTGCCAGGTTGAGTTTCTTCGAGCTTCTCAGTATCTCACTTTCGTAATTGGAGCCAAATTCCTGCAGAACGAGATACCTCTCGGCTCCTCTGCTCTCGACAGAATTGACGACAGTAGCAACTTTTCGGGTGGGGTTGTGTTGTCTCGTAAAGGGCTTATTGACGAGAGCGGAGAGCAGTGACGTCTTGCCAGAGCCGGCAGCACCGAGCACATATGCAAGAAAGACGCTGCGTGAGACAGTGCCTTTACGTAGTTCTGGCTTGCGCGGCTTAGTAATATGTAAAGCCGACGTGATGGGAATCGATGCTTCTTCAGACGAATTAGAGTAGCCAAGATAAGCCAGGTATTGTAGCGTGATCTTAGGCTCAAGCAAAGTCGTCATGCTGCACATGGTGAGCGCCTTCTGGTAAAGTCCGAGCGAGCGTACCTCCATTGAGCGAGCCAGCCCTGTAGGGTGACAGCACCTGCTGTACTTGTGACCGTCGTCAAGGGGAAGCCCTGCCTTGTCCAGGGATTGCCCGGCGAGGTGCTGAAGAGCGAATCTAGCTCTTCTGGCCGCAGCGCGCCATCTTGATCCTGGCTGGAGTCTCAGCAAGGCTGGGTGGACAGCAGAGCGACGTACCCGGTCAAAGGCCTCGAAGATATCGGTGAAGAATGCGTAGCCTCGCGGACTGAGTTCGACGGAGCAGTCGGCAGGCACGTCAAACCTGAACAGCGTCAGCGCAGTTCGCGAGCGAGCGAGCAAGATGTTGGCGCATACCTTGGCGAGAGGAATTGCTCAGTGAGCGTGACATCATCGCCGTAGCCGAATTTGCGGAGGACGGTCCAGGTCGTCTCTAATCTTCCCTTTTGTATGAAGCTTGTATGTAAGTATAAGAAGCCTTCGACGGTGATGCCGTCCTGCTGAATGAAATCGGGATTGTGCGATCTGACGATCTCCTTGATGCCGTCTAGCTCACGCTGCTGCAGCGCAATGTTGAAGCAACGACGCTGAAATTCATTGAGCTCCTGATTGCTCAAGATGCCATCTTTGTTCGTGTCGCAGAGGGCAAAAATCCGCTTGAGCGCGGCAATACACGCCGGTTTGAGGAGCTGCGAGCATGCATCAGCTGATGGTCCCATCAGGCTGCGCAATCAGACTGACGTGATCACGCGAGTCGTACAGCGGAGCGGTCGGATTGAGCACTGCTTTCTGCGCAAAGTAGAAGACTTCCGAGACGTTCAGGGGCAACCGTGCTGATGCTTCGACTGCGGTCTCGACTTCTTTGTATTCCGTCATGATCGGCATGATTTCTTTGAGCGAGTCAGTCGTGGTGCATGTCCGCTTGCTACGACTGGCGCACCTTCTTCCAGACCTTGGTTGGTCACTTCGCCACCGCGGAGGTCTATCTTGTTTCCGACGAGGATGACGGGCACCTGACGAGCGTGTCAGCCAATAAGTCTCTGCGACGCGTGAGAGCGTACATTGACGCCGAGCTGGCGAATGAGAGGCAGCCATCTGAGCGAGACCATCTCAAACGTTCCGGGATCATCGACAGAGTAGACGATGGCGACGACATGAGCTTTTCTGATCTCATTGTGCAGATGCTGGCTATCCTCCGTGCGAGCTGCAGAGCGAACCATTCGTTCAGTCTTTCCGCGCTTGTGATCAAGAGTCAGGCTCGGCTGACGTGATGTGTCCACGATGGAAGTCGTGGCATTGGCGTCCGGCGTGACGTCCGGCGGTATCGTGACTTCCGGCAGCAGTGAATGAGCAGGCAGCTGAACAAAAGTCTCCTTGAGCAAAGAGGTGATGAGTGTCGATTTGCCGACGCCCTGCTCGCCGACGAGGACGATGCGTATATCTCTTGTCATGCCGCTGATCACACGTCCAGTCGGGGCACCCTGTCAGTCGAGCCGATCATCGTAGGAACGCCTTGCCGACGTGCTCACGCTGACGGCAGAGTGACGCGCGTGTTTGGCTGTAGGCACGGCGGCGGCGGCGGCGAAGGCGAAGGCGAAGGCTCTGGAGGCTGCAGGCGCGGGCTGGCCGGGTATGCAACTGTACGTCCTGCAGGAGCACGGCAGGAGGGCTCTCTGCCTCGTCGACAGCACGCATGCGCTTCTCTTCCGTCAGCCGCCAAAGGGCACCAGCAAAGCCAGCGTCTCCCTCGCATTCCAGCCTGTCTCTGAAGTCTCGCTCGCCAGAGCTCAGCGGTTGAGCGTCATCCAAGGATGTCTCGGCCTCATACACCTCAACCACGAGACTTTCCTTGTCGCTGTCACACGCTCAGCTACACTGGGAAACATCGGCCCGTCCGAGTCGGTGGACAAGATCCTCGCTGTCTCATGCTTCTGCCTCACGTCTGCTGTCTACGACGCCACTTTCATGGGTGCGGCGGGCTATGAGGCTCCCGAGACAGACGACGAGAGCTTGTCGCTGGATTATGCGGGCGCTGCCGTGACGCCCGAGCGCGAAGAGGATCCCACGACGGGACTGAGACGCATACTCAGCAACGGCAGCTTCTACACCTCGCCCAATTTTGATCTCTCGAGCAGACTGCAGAAGAGATCGCACGAAGCCAGCGTAAAGGGTAAGGCACGCGCGTCCGGGCCGGTCTACGATGAGAGATTTCTCTGGAATAGCTTTCTGGCTGACTCGCTGCTCGCTTTCCGTGACAGCCTCTCGCTCGCCGAGCAAGCCCAGTTTGATGCTGCCCGCTTTGTGTTGCTTGCTATTCAGGGATATGTGGGTATCTCGCAAGTTGTGCTCGCAAATCAGAAGACGACGCTTGCTTTGATATCGCGATTAGGCTCTAAGCGAGCAGGCACTCGCTACAACGCTCGTGGCATCGACGATGATGGCTATGTCGCCAACTTTGTCGAATCGGAGACCTTGCTGCGGTCAGGCGAGACGACGTATAGCTTCGTTCAAGTCAGAGGATCTGTGCCTCTTTTCTGGGAGCAGCAAGCCTTGCAGCTTCAGAACATTGGCGCCGGCCAATCGGTACAGATAACGCGACCCGCAGCATCATCTCAGCCGGCCTTCGAACGGCACTTTGACGATCTCTTACATGAGTATCATAGCATCCAAGCCGTCAATCTCATGTCTGCTCGAGGCGGCCACGAAACAATGCTCTCGCGCGCCTACTCGGAGCATCTAGCGAGGGCAAAAGCCAGACCAGGATTCGGTGACGTCCGACAGATAGGCCTGACAGAGTATGACTTTCATAATCGCGTCAAGCTGGACGGTATCGAGTATCAACGCACTGCTCTATCCCGTGAGCCTGGTGTCGCCGGCAATCTCGATCGCTTCGGCTTCACGCTCGAAGATGCAGGCGGGACGAGCAGTCATCTGACATCTGAGCAAAGCGGAACATTCCGAACCAATTGCTTAGATTGTCTCGATCGCACAAACGTAGTAGAAGACATTCTCTCGCGGCTCATGCTCGAGCATTACTTGAGCAATGCTTTTCCGGGTGCACCGTCCGAGAATCTGTGGAATGTCCATCGCACCTTGTGGGCCGAGAATGGCGATGCCCTATCGAAGCTATACGCCGGCACCGGCGCCATCAATACGTCCTTTACTCGGTCTGGCAAGAAGACGCTTTCTGGCCTGCTGTCAGACGCAACAAAGAGCGTCAGCAGGCTCTACATTGGCAACTTTGTCGATAAAGGTAAGCAACAATCCATCGACAGCTTACTGGGTAATCTCGATGGACAAGAGCAAGTGATCGTGTTCAATCCTGCGCGAGATCAGGTCAATGCGCAAATGAATGCGAGACGAGCCGAGTATTCATCTTCAGTACCCATCACGATCGCAGCTTGCACATGGAATCTCAACGGACGTCCGCCCAGCACAGAGGACCTGCTGCCTTGGCTCATGCCCGGCGGCGTAGAGCCAGACGTAATCGCGGTCGGGTTTCAAGAGATCGTCCAGCTATCACCTCAGCAGATCATGGCAACAGATCCCAGCAAATTGCACAGATGGGAGAAGCATATCCTAACCATGCTTACTCAGAGGTCGGACAAGACGACCAAATACGAGCTAGTCCGGTCAGAGCAACTCGTCGGCGCCGCCCTGCTGCTCATCGTCAAAACAACGCTTGTCGGCGAGCTCACGCGAGTTGAAGCGAGCACTCATAAGACGGGGCTCAAAGGTCTTGCTGGCAACAAAGGTGCAGTTGCTATCCGCTTCGAGCTCAAAGACAGCTCGTTCTGCTTCGTGACCGCTCACTTTGCGGCTGGCAGCAATAATGTCGACGAGCGCAATCAGGATTACTGGACCATCACAAACGAGCTGACCTTCACCCGAGGCAAGCGTATCTCCAGCCACGACAACATTGTCTTCAGTGGCGACTTCAATTACCGCGTCAGTTTGCCATTCGAGCAAGCGCGTCAACTATGCGATGCTGGCGATTTGACAGCCTTGCTGGACGCAGATCAGCTCAGAGAAGCTACACGTGCCCGCCGAATATTCCCCGGCTTCGTCGAGGCGCCCATTGCGTTTCTGCCAACGTACAAATACGATGTCGGCACGGATCGCTACGATACCAGCGAGAAGCAGCGTGTCCCTTCTTGGACTGATCGCGTGCTTGTTTGTGGGTCCGATGTAAGCGTTTGAAAGCGCCACTGTGGTAGGCTGATCGCGAGATACAGCTTGATGTCAACGTCTATGCTCGCACGGAACTGCTGACTTCGGATCATCGGCCAGGTCAGTATCGTTTAAGACACCGTCACGGAGCTAACTCGTGGCACAGTACATGCTCTCCTGCGTGGCAAGGTTCGCGTCATAGATGCGGCGAGGAAGCAGACGCTGTACGACACGCTCATCGTATCAGTCTCAACTGCTTGTAAGGTCATTCGTATCTTTGTATGCTTCGCTGAATGTAGCGACAGTACCGCGACCCAGTACAGAGGAACAGCAGTGGTGGAGCCCGGGCGCGGTATCGGCCCAGGAGTGCGCGACCTTGCTGCAGAAACCCATGGCCAAGCCACCAATACCTGTCAAGCGACTTTTGCCATCATCGACACTGCCCACGCCCGTTAGACGCAAGCCTCCGCCGAGCGAAGTGACGAACTCTCAGCGTGCAGCGCCTGCTCTACCACCGCGGCCAGAGAACACGATATAGCACGCCCGATCATTCTGGTGGCGTTAACAACAGTCCGCTGCTCACGACCAAGACTTCAAGTCACCTTGCTTGACGCCGACGTGGCATCGAGCCGGTCGCAATCCGGGAACGCTTCATTGCCCTCGTCCGGCTGTGCTAGGCTACCATCGCCGCTATAAGGCAGCTCGTGCCTTGGTGAGCATGGGCCTGGACAGTCTGGTTCAGACTCAGGGCTCTCAAGCTCTTCGCGAGTGAAGCTGAAGCGTGTTTTGGGCTTCTTCTTATAAGGACCTCTGGGGCCTACCAGTGCATGATTTGGGATCTCATGCGTCCTGAGAGCTGTCTTCAACAGACTTGCTTCACGGTCTTTGAAGGAACGCAATAGATTGCCAAGTTCGTCGAGAAAGCGTGGCCGGTGAAGTTCAGCCCGAGGACTGTCGATCGACAAGTCTGTAGCGATTGACCTTAGCGATCTATAGACAGCGCTATGACGATCGTATGGCTTAGCCCAGGAACATCTGCGTGTGTGGCCAACTAACCTATGGGCAGTGTGCAGGTCCTGGACGAGGGTTATCCAGCGACGTCGGAAGCGACTTTGTGCTGCCGTGCGGAGCACTCTTTCATAGTAGAGAATTCGTTCGCTGGTCTCGTCTCTCAGGAGCTGGACACCGTCCGGTCCGAGCCGCGGCGAGTCGTGTAAATGGCGATGCGCGTCTCGAAATTGGATGAGCTCTGCGATCTTTAGCTTGATCTGCTCATACGTCTCTGCGGGCGCGAACGGGACGGGCAGGGCAACTTTCTCTGCTGATGTGAGGCGCGATACGAGCGCTGAAGTGAAGTACACTCTCTGTACGGGTACTGCGTCGTAGTCCGGCACGAGGTGACCGTAGCGAGGCGCCAATAGATTTGTATCGCTGACGTTTAGCAAATCGCTGAAGTTTGATGAAGTCAAAGTCGTGCGGCGTCTAGGCTGCTGACGCGTTGCCACAGCGGCCGTTGTATTGAGCATCTTCGCGGTAGCACTGCGCATGCGGATGGGAGCTATCGGCTTCGGCGGCTCTAGAGACTCCAGAGTGGCCGATGACCAGCTATACCACCGCCGCGTCCTTGCGCCGATCTCAAACATTTCCCATGGCAGCGGCACGCCGGCGTGTAGATATGCCATGATCTCCGGAGTCGAATGATTGAATATCAGATGCTGCAGCAAGATGCGTAGGCACGGCGCGTCGATCGGCTGAGTCTTCAGCATGGTCGCTGCCGTGCTGGGTAGATCGATGTTCTGATATCTGGCATCGGCAACGCCGGTGATGTTTGCATAGTCTGGCGGTCGTGTGTAGCCGCTAGCGAGGCGCTTCAGGCTAATCGGGGCAGACTGCAAACGCTTGGCGAAGAATTGTAGCAAAGCTGCATAAGCCTCTAAATTGTGAGCTTCTGCACCCGGACAGAATCGGAACATCGCCAGCTCTTCAATCCTTTCTTTCGGGACACGTTGACGAGTAGTGAGTTGCTTGGGGCGCTTGTCGACCGTATCGATGAATGTATCGTAGCTCATCGCTCGCTGATCGGACCAAAAGAGAGCGAAGATGCCACAGAATTGCGTCACGCGCACAACCCGATCGTCCTCGTTGACGTGCCAAGCCTCTAGCTTATCGATGTCAAGCTCGTATAGCGATACGATCCATGCTGCAAGCTCACGCGTGTGCTCATACGCATCGAGCAAATAGCGCAGCGTAGCACCCTTGTGCGGATAGCCGATCAGCAGCGCCACTGAGTACTCGACGATCCGCATGACGTCTTCCGGCATGCGCATAGCAGCGTAGGCGAGCAGCCTATCCGGCAAGATCGTCATTGATGAACAGATTGCCATGATGATCGCTTCGGCCGTTGGCCTGAAAGAGCGCTGATCGAAGCTATCTGCCACTTCGTCCAAAGTCTTCATTAGGCGCGGTCCATTGTAGGTGCCTAGACGTTCAAGGCTAGAGCGTTCGCGCGTGACGAGATGGCCGCCTACGCCGCCGAGCAGCTCCGTAGGCACACGAGGCATAAGACTGATCATATGTCGGGTTTCTGCTGCAGACGTGACGGAGCTTGCAAACGCGCGAGCGATGATCTCGCCCGCACCCCGTCTCGGCAATGTCGGAAAGTCAGCCCATAGAAATTGTAAGCTGCTTGCATTTGCCGCGTCGATTTCTAGTGCCGGCAAACAGCTGAGGGCGATGTCCTCAAGGCTGAAGGGCAGCAAGCCTTCGACATTGACGAGTAGCAAGGCTTCATACAGTACAGGACGGTGCAAGAAGCCTGAGATGAAGAGGGTCTCCACTTGGCGCTCAGTGATAATGAAGCCTGTCTCTTCTTTGATATGAAATATGAGGACATCCGCTAGTTCGCGGGCTGTCTTGATTGTCTCTGCTGCAGCCGGACGAGCGTGTTTGAAGCTGAGAATGAGCCTCTCCATGGCAGTCTGACAGTCTCTCGCTGTGTAGCCGAACTTGTTGTTGATAGCGAAGCGTGCCACCTTGGGCCGTCGTACCATCTGGTCGAGCAGTGGACGCCAGCTAGCGTCCCCAGCAGAAATTGGGACAAAATTGTACCTTTCAAAGAGATTATCAATCACATTCCAGAGACGCTCGAGTTCCGCCTCGACTTCTGCTGCAAGGCCGGCATTGACCGGTGCCTGCTCGCGGTGGATGACGGCAGCCATTGCGAGTGTGAACAGCTCGCCATCCGTCAATCTTGTGTCCTGAGCAGTCGCGAGCTGTCCCAGAACGCCGAGACCTTCGAGCACAGATTGTGGCGTGTAGAGCTCCCCAAAGGTCTGCTGGCAAAGTGTGATGAGATGCGAAAAGAAGGCAAGATCAAAAAAGCTCGTCGGTATGGCGGCGTCCCAGTGCAATGTGCCTCGTCGTGGCTGTCCTGAATAGGTCTTGACAAAGACTTGGCATAGGTAGCGGCTGAGCACAGCGCCAGAGCGCATCATGTGATCGAACAGGGCAGGTGTGACGAGTGCGGGCCGCCGGAGTGCATACAACAAGGCTGCAGCTGGCCCATGTCTGGTGATAAACCAGCGTGCTCGTGGGTAGTCATCCTCTGCGAGTGCGTGGAAAGATCTGCACGTTCGAGAAAAGGCCCAAGGATCTTGCACATGAGAGAAGATGAGGATCTTGAGTTCGTTCGACAGTGTGTCTGGCCAGCTTTTGTCTGAGCATCTCAAGGGGGCCTGATCTCCAAGACTGACCGAATGGTCTGTAAAGGGGCTTCTCTGGGGCGGCACCGGTGCTCCTCGTCCTCTGCGATGATCGAGCAGAGAAGAGGGCCGGGTCCAGCACGCCAGCCAGCTCAGCCATGGCGGCTTGACGCCGAGATTGTAGCAAGGAACTCAACAGTGACGCGACAGTGTGCGTGACGCTCTCAGAAAAATCGTGGAATTGTTCGGCGCGCGCGCGACATTCCGTTCAGGACAGCAACTTAAGCTACCGAGGGTAACCAAGACCGGCGGTGACAGCAACGCCACATGATCTCTAAGGGGCGCGTGCCCCGGCGAAGGTCACGAGCTGCAGCGCTGATGCTACAACATGTTGCTCTATATGCGCTGGGCATTGCGAAGTGTCGTGAAGCCTACCATGCTCAATATGAGCACAAAAGCGAAGCTAATGGGCCAGAGTCAGCACGAAGTCGCGGATTACGTAGACGCCACGCACAGCAAGGTAGCAAGCCGAGCTTTCCAGAACGAGCGGTGCGCACGCGCTTGTCGGTCTTCGTCCCAGAGACTGTCAGCGACAGACTGATAGCTTGCCATGGGCGATGTAGAGTTGGTGTAAACTAGCAAGTGATCCGATTCGGTTGCTTGCGTGTCGATGATGATCGAGGTTCGTTTATTGGGCCTGACAAGAAGTAGCGGCATCGGCGGTCGTCGCAGGACAGTCTTAATGCTTCCATCGACATCTTCTACATTCAGGTCAGGCTGGTTGCTCAGCGAGCCACTCGAGATGGCTTCGGCAGGCGAGACGACCAAGCACGGCAGTGGTAGCGGCAGCTCTGGCGCAGAAGTCGACGATATCATGCTGAGGCTTGCGTTCGCAACATTCGACAATGCCGGATGCGATGCTGTGCACGGACTCATACTGGATCCGAAAGCGTTCACTTTCTCGCCAGAGGCTGCCAGCAGCCAGGGATGCGCCCCACAACGTCTGACCATCTAGCGAGACGCCCAACTTCCTCGTCCGCGACCGTCGAGATGCCCGTATGAGCCTGAGACTTGGCTTCCTGCTTGAATCTCTCCAGCCGTGACTCGCTATCTGCCCAGAAAAGCGTCCCGTCTGAGCCGCCCGGGCCCATCTGTACGTGCGCAAATCCATTGCTGCGTTCAAAGTACCATTTATTGACGGGGTTGTCTCGACGAGATCGCCAGACGAGATCCCGTCCGATACCGCGTCCCTCAAGACCTCCGTTGTTGTTGAGGGCGTCGAGCAGACCTAGACCGAACGACTCGTCTCGTAAGGCTCCCCAAAGGAAGTCGACAGTACCGTCGCCTTGCAGAGAGGGCAAGACGGCAAATTTATCAAGATACGAGATAGGTGTTAAGTCAGCGTCAGCATCGCCAGGAGCACCTTCCAGAGTGACTATCGCAGCAGCTTGATAATCGCCAGCGAGAATCGTAAAGTCCATACAAGTCTTCAATCGGTCAAAGTAAGGCTTTCGCACGAGCGTCTTGCCGAACGATTGGTCGAGCAGCTCGGCAAGTTTATCCTGATCCAATTGGTCAAATGCACGGACGACGCGAATTGGCAGACCGCGTTTGATGATCGTGGGAGTGTGCTCCACGCGGTCAGGTAGCAAGTCAAGCTTAAGTGAGGGCGAGAAAGAGGGCCGGTTCGTCACGAGATTCGCAATCAGTGACTTGGGCGAGCGATGCGACACAACGACGGCCGAGCTCTCTCGAGGAAGCAGATATAGACAGTCCTTGATGAGCGTCAGGTTGTCGAGCGAAGATGGATGACTGTCCTGCCAGACAAAAGTGTCCTTGATGAAATCGTATTCTGACTCGAGATTGATTGAGAGATGCGGATTGCCAGCACGAGCAGGCGAGGGAATGCCACCCTCTCGATTGATGATCATCATCCTCAGCGGTGTCAAGTCGACCTGAGCAGGCTTGGGGGCAAGGGCATCGTCTGGATGTGATGGCGATTGCGGCTTGACCATTCGAGAATCTTCGACAAGTGCACGCGTGAGGGCAAGTATGGCTGCGTTGCTCTGCACGACTACAGCCGCTACAGTAGCATCGAGCGCAATGGGCGGGATGACAGGGATCTCGCCATGTTTGAGCGCAGACCGAATGGCAGTCAAGCTACCGACGCCAAGATGGTCTTGGGATTGCGTATTTATCGTGAATACATCGTCGATCAGCGGACGAGCGCCAGCGCCCGCAGTCTCGAGCTTATCGACCAATTCGAGCGTCTCGGCGATGATGGTCTGTCTGAGCAGATCGGGCTTGTCTGCTAGACCTGCCCAGTCTTCGTTGTCGAGGGACATGATTGCAACGAGGCCGAGCTTCTTGAGATAGACCATGCCTTCCGCGATACTTGACAGCTGGCGATCTGTAAACGGGCCCTGCACCTTGACAATCGCGGTATGCTGATGCACAGGATTGAGTAACTTGTCGACAAACTGCTCCCTGTCGAGCAGCACTTGACTTGCTTCTGCTGGCGATGTCGTAGCAGCGGACGCTTTGGGCAGGTCCGACAGTATTTGCTCGGTGATGGGCTGCATTGAGCCGCCGAGGGAGGCCCAAGCATTGAGCGAGTCAGGCTTACGCTCCGCTTGCAGAGGCGCATCATTGGCGCTTGCCTTTGTCGGCGGCGATGGAGGCCGTTGACGGGGTGCGAATGCCTTGAGATAGCTCCGGGAATCGCGGGCAGATGGGTGTGCTTCAAGAACAGAGAGGATGAAATCCTGCAGCTCGCTGTGAGTCCTGCAGCGAGACCGCGACGAAGCAGCAGCCTACCCTCTGGGACTCACTCGCCAGTCGACGAGTGGCTGCATCGGAGTGATTCCTTCTCTGTATGGCGGAACTAAGCTCGGATGGCAGCATTGGGAGCACACGAGAGCGTACCTTTGCTCTCTGTGCAAAGCTTGCTGTATTGTGCGAGCAAGTGCAGCGCTGCTCTGCCAGCTTGCCCGATCTACTAGTCAGGCGTAGCGACATGGTCGTGCTAGCTGTCTGATGAGGAACACGTCAGAATCGTCGCCATCGGAGGGAGTCTGTGCTGCTGCTGCTCTTCCGAGCTCGCTCGTGACAAATTGAAATTTCCGCGCTTCGACATGTTCGACAGCTCGAGCGTGATGATCGGTGACAGTGACACGTCGACAGTTGGTTGGTGAGATGATGCCAGGGTAAGCAAGGTGAAGAGTCGGCAAGATGACGAGAAGCATCTCGTCACACCTGTACCGAGGCTCGTTCTACCTGCTCATGCTAGGAACGGGCCTCGTCTTGCTTGGCGGGCTCTATGATATCATGCAACAAGTCACCGACTCCTCGCGTGGCCCGAGCAGAGTCTCTGATTCTGTCATCGCAGCAGGCTCATACCTCTCCGTCGTCAGCCATGCCTATCTGAGCGACATGTGTGGGGGCTGAGTCATGCCACCCAGGGCATACTCGCGATCCTCATCTCGGTCTCACGCATCGTCACTGTCAGGCGCACAAAGGCTTCCATACCCAAGGCATACTTGCCCATCAGAGAAGGCGACGTTTCGAGCGCAAGTTCGACCACGCTACGCTCGCGTTACATGCTGATTCGCATCAATTTTGCAGGCTGTACATCGCCTCGTCGCGACAGAATACACGCGCGTGGCTATCATCGCCACGGTGGGCCAGCCACAACGGCGCACCATCCCCGGCTACGGCACATCCGGTGTGTACATCTTGTTGTGCAGATGTCGCGCGCTGCTGAATTGGCACGCGCGCTCAGACAGTCCCTATCCGCGACTGCACTTCCGTACAGCCATCAAAGAGACTGCCAAAGTGCTCACGCGTCTGATCGAGACACACCTAACCGACAAAGACCTTCAACAGCTTGCGCGGCAGTCTCCTCGGCAGTCCACGCTCGTCAGACTCGCACCTTTCCTTTTCGAGCGGCTTTCGCCCGACATCGAGCCTCTTGTGCCGCCGCAGTATCTACCACTGCTCAAGCTGTACGATAGCCATGTCGACAATGCTCGCTACCGCCGAAAGGAGCCTACTCAGCAAGAATACGAGGACTGTCTGCGCGTGCTCGCGCTCCTCGTCGCTGCTGTGCAGCGTTCTCGGCCAGCGTCAGAGACAGCTGATGTTCGCACGTAATCACCTTGATGTGACTCATTTGTAGCATGTTGATGTTGACTTATGCAAGACTATCATACAACAACGGGGCGCACCTACCACTCACAAAATGACTCTCCAAACGAAGAACAACGCGACGATGGCGATGACGACGTAGAGTAGTGTCTTTGTCTGTGATTGCGTCGCTCCTATCGTTCTACTCAGCTTGTTGACGCTTTGCCCGAGGGACGCCTTGAACGAGTCGAAGGTATTGCTCTACGAGAACCGAGATCAGCTTTGGTCACCGCGCTCGTGCCAAGCTCACAGTGTTGTCCAGCAGCGTGTTTTGCTGCCGAGAGTCATTGTGAATGTCGATCGTAATCTGAAGAGCCAGACTCAGCGTTGGCAGGACGAGCGCTATGATCACCTGCAGCATGAATCCCTCTGATCTTGTTGTGTAGTTCGTCTAGCCGTTCATCGTTCTGCTGCTCCAGATAGTCACCGCTCGCGCCGGCATTCGCAGGCTTATAGCTGTGCAATCGTCAGATCGGCTGATCCAGTCTGCAGTTGCACTGCTCACCTCATCGCCGGACCGAGCGCTGAGCGGCACCTCGAACAAACCGTGTCTGCTCTCTTGGGCTCGAACGCGCATGTCGACGGCAACCCGCCGACTGGCTCTCACCGGGCGCCATGCTCGGCTCTATAGCTCAGCATCACCAGCAGTCGCTCTCAGCTACGAACACCATCCTAAGCCGTCCCGCGAAAGCATAAAGAAGGAGCCGCTCGTTGTGTTGCATGGCCTGTTCGGGTCCAAGCAGAACTGGCGGAGTCTAGGCAAGAGCCTCGCGAAGCAGCTTGAGCGCGATGTGTACTGTCTTGCAAGCTATCTCGCTCCTTGCAGTAGGACTTGGCTCAGGCTGGCGAGGGCTACAGGACCTACGCAATCACGGCGAGTCACCTCACGATGCAGATTGCTCCTATACAGCCTATGCTGGCGATGTGACCTCCTTTCTAGATAGCCAGAACCTTAGCAGTATCTTTCTGGCAGGCCATTCAATGTAACTCTACCTTGCTGCGTCCTCGTAAACGCTCATCCGCCCCATAGGGGTGGCAAAGTGGCAATGACCGTTGCTCTCGCTCCAGAGTCGCAGGATCGCATCAAACGACTCGTTGTCATTGACATGAGCCCCGCGACCGGCAAGATCTCGCCTGAATTTGCACGGTACATCGAAGCCATGCAAGAGATAGAGAGCATTGGAGTTGAGGATAAACACCAAGCCGACCAGATACTGCAAAAGTATGAAGAGGTGCGTTCTTGTTGCCTAACCGCCTACGCTGCTAATCTGCTAGCCTGACAGAGTCTACCCATTAGGTAAGGCTGCGTCTCACGCTCAAGCAAGCCGTCAGATTCTCACCCGATTGTTAGACAATTCCTGTTGACCAATCTGAACCGTCCGACCTCGCGCGACTCCCGGGATCCGCTGCGCTTTCGGATACCTGTCGACGTACTGTCCAAATCCCTGAATGCTATCGGCGAATTTCCTTTCGAGGAAGGAAAAGCGGTCTTTAAGGAACCAGCGCTTTTCGTCAAGGTAGAGAAACCTGTTCCGTGGCCACACCACTTGCTTACAATGGCTTGACGACAGGGCGAGCTCAGCAAGTACCTGAACCGCAAGAGCATCGCGGTAGCACGCGAGTACTTCCCCGAGATGCAACTCGAGACTGTCACGGGCGCTGGACATTGGGGTGCGTATCTCGCTCTTTTGCGAGGACATGAGCCTGACATTCAGACGCATGACAGTCCACTCTGAAAAGCCTAGCGAGTTTATGCAACTGATGCGAGAATTTTGCGCATGACACGTCGTGTGGATGAGTGTGCAATGCATCATCTCTGACTTGCTATAGAGCGACGCAAAAAGTCCGACCACCATGAGAACGATGCTTCGTATAAGTAAGCTGAAAGCAGTAGCAAGCATAGACGGAGCAAGAGGTTTTGCGGGACGACCCGAAAGTCATGCCCGCACGTAGGAAGTATTGCGACCCGTGCCGACCCGAAGGCCGTCACTGAGAAAGGCTAACGGTTCGTCATGAAGTTCACGGTGCAATGCCGAAAGCCCAGCCCAATCAGAACATTCTCGTGAAATGCGCTCATAGGTCAAGGTAAGTATGAAAGCGAAGATNAAAGAATGGCAGNATATATACTCTGCACGCGCTGCGGACAAAACTTTGCTGCCGATCATCCCCTCGCACTTGGGCTTCAATTCAGGCTAGCTCGAGGTAAATCTGAGCTACAATGCATGCTCATTCAATGACAGATCCTAGTCGTAACAAGGCTCTGGCTGTGGTGCTGCGACCGGCTTGGGCGTGGCAGTCGGCTGCCCATTGCAGCAGCTCGTGTAGCACTGATGGAATGTATCGCTGCGTGCAATGTCAGCTTTGGCGTCCAATGCAGTGGCACATAGCACCTACAAGCCAAGACCGGCAGATACAGCAACGCCGGCATTGACGCCAGCGCCAGCCCCTGCGCCAAGAGGTGTGGCGATCACGCCCGCGCCAGCAGCGACATTGGCAGACACTGCAGCGCCAAAGCCGAGACCGAATCCGAGTGCAGGCGAGCACCTTGTGAAGCATTGCTGAGGCTCGCTACTCCATCGCTTGACCATTTCTTGCTCGATAGGCGCGGCAGATGTCATGCTGAAAGCGACCGCAAGTGAAGCGAGAACATAGCCAGTCTTCATCTCGCTAGCGTATATGTGAGGGTTGCTTTGCTTGCGTGTGCACGAACGAAAGTCGAAGTGTCAAACGAGTGTGGTGTGTGCTTTGATGGGTCTTGCGTTATGTTTTGAGTCGAGCAAAGTCAAGGATGAGGAGCAGCATTGTAGCGCAGCTTATGTACTCGCTGCATGTTCCGTGACAGAAGGCCGGGCGAGCCTTGCAGATGGGTGAGAAGCAAACGATGCAAGAAAGATCATGCAATTTCAAAAGAAGGAAGTCCGTGCGGTATGAGCTCGAGGCTCGAGCGACTATGCTGTTGAGCCGCGCGGCGGTTTCAACCGATTGCTATCAAGCCATACAGAGTCGAAAGCATGTGTGCACTATCTGCGATTGAAGCAATGCGTAGCAAAAGGCGATACAGGTTGACGAATAGTCAAGTCATTGTCGTAGGTGAAATACTGACAGCACGCAAGTCCACCTGGAGTANACTTGGAGTAGTGCTCCATAGTTGTCACATTTACTGGATGTCATGAGACGTTCGAACAGCCCTTGATGGCTTATCAAGCTTGCAAGAAGATACAAAGAGTGCCCAGAATTGAAGCGAACATAGTCGATAGTGAATTGCTGTTGTGTTAGAGGCCATTAAACCACCTCGTATCCTTTACGATGTTACCATCAGTTGACGTTGATAACTCCTGGAGGCTAATTCCTGTCGGGAATCCGCGAGGCGCGTCCGCTGGAGAGACTGAGTTGATTGATTCGTCTCATTCCGGCTATGCCTGACATGTCCCGCTAGCCTCACATTCTGTTGGTCTATACAGACAAGCGCATCTCTTTTTGGGTCTCTCGTTGCAGCCGACAGACCTCATTCCCTCTCAGCNGGCAGATTTAGTGAGGTTGCATCGATTTACTCCATCGCCTTACGCGACGATCGATAGTCATACACCTACGGCACGCAACAGCATGCGTCATACGCACAGCTCAGCAGAACGTATAAGGGCACTAATACGGTCACAGGCGAGTGGAATGCGCGGCGACGACTCATATTTGTGTCAGAGTCATGATCCGAGATGTTCGTTCGTAGCGACATGGGCTGGCTTTTCGAAAGATCAAGCGATCGTCTCTGATCTGATCTAGTCTAAAGCGATGGTCTCGCTCCCAGCAAGGCCGGCCTAGCTGATAGAGACACGCGAGGAATTCGATTCGAGGGCGCATCCTTGATGAAGGACGATCGCTTCAGCTCGCATGATCAGTCGACCGACATATGCCACTTGAAACGCAACGAAGCAAGAGCTGCATTTGGATTGCGTTAGCGAGTGCGCAATCGAGTCGGCTTCAAGCTCACCATGTCCCGTGGGGCCACTTAATCCCACCCGGACCAGCTTGAAGTAGACTCGGCGCAGGCGAGCAAGCGTGCCTTATGACGATGTGAATCCGAGGCTCAGCTAGTGACAGTATACCCGCATAGCTTGTGGACTCAGAGCACGGTGTAGAACACTCTGCTGAGTGACAAAGCCACTGAAAAAGCGAGACGAAGTTCGCGCAGCGTGCAGTCCTTCAGCACACTTGTCATCTTCTCCTCGTCGGAACTCAGTCGTGAGAAGGATTTATGAGATTGAGCGAGCCCTTTGCACATTTGCGATTCGTTTCGCTGCCCTTGTCTCATTGCATGCATCCCGAGGAACGAGCCATTATGTATCGCATCGCAATGCATGCAGTTTTCTGTAAGAACAAGTCGACTGTGACAGGGCCAAGTCGAGAGTCGGGACAATTCAGCTGCACCGGCCTGATGAAACTGCCGAGGCACCTGCCCTCGTGAGCTCCAGCGTTTCAACCACGTGCCCCCAAATTGAATGCATACATAGCTCCGTATAGCTGATAGTATTTCGGTGAGGTTTCAGTTGCTGACTCGCGTTTGCGGCCGAATCTGACCATAGTTGTATCGAACCAAGCACGGTTGTCAGCGTTATGACATTTACCGCGACGTATGGCTGGTATGATTCAGCTACTTGAGCTCGAAGCCTTGCACAATATCTGTATATACTGCCCACACATTGTAGCTGACACTACACATCGTGCCGGCCAGCTCGACCAGTTTCTGAAATGGCTCCTCAGAGCAAACTGGATTTTCGGATAAGTTCACCTAAATTTCTTTTCCAAATGATCTTCCCAGCCCAACAATTGTGTGGGCTTCATTGTGGGATTCTGGTGCTGTTCCCCTGGGACATACTGTCAAAAGTATTCGTGCGCTCAGTGACGCGAAAGCCGGCCCGCCGACGACGAGATTCTCTCTCACGGCCAGCAGGAAGCTACGCGCAGATTCAGGCGCAGGATCAACATTTGTACATACAAGCGCTCGAGTGACCAATTTGGCTTCAAAACATGGCAGCGCCGCTCTATAGCACAGAATCAGGACTGCTCTGGCACGCTGGTAAGAAGAGACTTGTCGCTATGCGCAGCTTCCCATGCCTTGCTTGCATTGCAGGTCAAATCTTAATCAGCAGGTGCTCGAACGATTGGCGCCTTCATGGCTAATGACGTGACAGGCTGCGTTGGACTGCCTGCCCGGGGCAAGACACACGTGTCTCATTCGCTCGAACGCTATCTCAGATGGCTTGGCGTGCGAACGGAAGGTACATGCCCTCTGAGAGTCGCAGAGAATAGCGCTTGAAATGTTATGCAGTCTTCTCGCTCGGCGACTATCGGCGAGAAGTCCTCGGCCCGTCTTCGATGCTGCCGTCAGACTACTTCAGCGATGCCGGCAATCGTACGCCGGAAACAGAGAAGCTAAGGCTCAAGGTCAAGGATGGCCTAGAGTCCGAGATCATGAAGTTCTTCGAGGTCGGTAGATCGCGCTGTAATCGCCTTCTGGCTGATGCATATGCGCAGATCAAACGAGGACAAGTCGCAATTTATGATGCAAATGTGGATGCCACATCGTCTCTCAAGGGGGCTTACACTGACGCTTCCACCAGAATGGCACGAAAGCGCAACGACAGAATTTGCGAGCAAAATTTGAGGCCATTGGCGTCCATATCAGTCAGTCGCGCGTGAGCTGCATTGTCGCGACTAACCGTATGTCGCCAGTGTTCATCGAAATGGTTTGCGAACGCAAGGAAATTATCGAAGCGAACATACGTGCAGTGAAGCTCTCCTCACCAGATGTGAGTCTCTCGGTTTTCATATTTTGCTAGGCTGAAGCTGCGGTAGTACCGCGGATGGAATCCAGATGCAGTTCGTACATTTCGCTCGACTGCTCTCACATCTTGACCCGAGCGCAGGCCGTGAGAGACTATTGGAGGCGCATAGCAGACCACGAGAAGAAGTTCGAAACTATCGAGCAACCGAGGTGGGTTGGGCATCTCGCAAACACCGCTTGCTCGCTCACGTTGCTGGCTAGCTTTCCATACGTCAAGGTCATTAACGTTGGTGAAAGGATCATCGTGAATAACATCAGCGGCTACTTACAGTCCCGCATCGTCTTCTTTCTAATGAATGCAAGTCTCCTCGCCAGTCAAGCGCACCAGGCTAACGAGTGCGTCAGATCCATAATCGGTTCCGTACAGTGTGGTTCGCTCGCGTAGGTCGCACCGGGCATCAGTCAAACGAGCTGACGCGCGTCGTACAGTCCGGCAAGTCCGTCGTCGAGCACTCGTACAAGGCCGATTCCGGGCTATCGGAAGAAGGCGAAGAATATGCTGAGAAGCTCGCGAGCTTCATCATCCAGACACGTAAGCAGCTTCCCACGCTGCGTAGACAAGCGGGCGACACGAAGACCCAGCAGCGTGATCTTACTGCAAGTCATAGTCACAATGCCTAGGGGCTCCTTGCTGACAGCAAAAGGCCTTTACAGGTCTGGACCTCAGCACGCAAGCGATGCATCGAGACGACGATGCCGTTTCAGCAGCTTGGCTACCGCGTCGTTGCAAAGACACAGATGATAGAGATCAATCCTGGCGTCATTGATGGGCTAAGTCCTGAAGAAATTCAGCAGAAATACCCAGAAGAGCACAAGAAGTCACTTGAGACGCCATATGCGCATCGCTATCCTCGTGCAGAGAGCTTCCATGACCTAAGCGGTACGCTCCCTCCTTTGCGCCAGCTCTGATACTGACGAGGACAGTGTAGTCCGACTGGAGCCTGTCATCTTCGAGCTCGAAAGAGAGCCGAATGACTTGCTTTGCATAGGGCATGCGTCAGTACTGCGTTGTCTTTTCGCATATCTCAAGGGTCTTGCGCCGCAAGACATCCCCAAGATCGACCTCAAGCGCGGCGATGTCATTGAGGTGACTCCAACGGCCTACGGTGTCAGCTCCAAGACGCATCGCTTCTGGTCTGCCCGCGGCGATCCTCTTACCATTGGGGACGAGTCTTTCCAGTACGGCAGTCCGGCCAAGTCGCTTTTCAGTTTCGCGGATCAGCGTGAGAAGCAGCAAGCGGCCGATGACGACATGACAGCACGGTATGAGAAACTCGGCACGTCCGAGAATGTATCGACGCAATGAGTATGTACAATCGATTGCATGACTATACAACAACCATAGATCTTGCAGAATCGTGTATTGACGTCAGGCCGCGTCTGCCTCGACATTGCTCGAGCTTGCTTGCGCTTTGCCTTTGGGTGCAGGACGAACGTCGGCTTGACAGATCGGACAACGGCCGCTCGTGAGGAACCACGCATCGACGCATTCCTTATGAAGGCAGTGTCCACAGGGTAGCAGGCGCAGCGGCTCAAACTCTGGCTGCTCGCCATCTGGCACTATGCCCCGCAATGGTGGTGGCTCATAATCTGCGGGATCGATTAGACGAGCTCAGTGCCTCTGCAGATACTTGACTGACCACATAGACAGATACTGCAGGTCGCCTGGTTTTCTGCAAGCGGACGAAGCGGATACGGCGTCCTGACGTAAGGTCCGCCTTCATCAGCATTCGGTTCGAGTGATGAAGTGGTCGCTTTGTCTGCCGAGGAACGATGCCTGCTGGGATATGTGAACAATCTTGCTAAGCGTCTCCGCCTTCGAGAGGGCCGTATGCTGCGCTCCTTGGCATTTTCTGTGATCGGCTCTGTTGGAGACGTTATCGTTGCTGTAGCTGTCGCCGTTTCTGTTGTATCGACCACAGCTGTGTCTGATACTGTCGTAGGCGCATCGGCCGCTAGAGGTACAAAAAGCACAAGCGGCAATTTCTCCATTTCCTCCTTGCTCAGTGGTCCGATCTCGTGCTTCTTGGTATACACGCCGAAGCTCCGGAGAAGCAGCTGGTACAGGATGCAGTGAGCCCGTATACTGAGCGATAGGATGCGCTTACGATGACGAGGGGCAGGAAGAAGAGCACGGAGAAGACGACAAAGATGACCTCGGCCGCATAGAAGTAGCCAGTGATGAGCGTGATCAGACTGGACCAGTAAAGCGGCGGAGCATCACGACGACAGGTATTGGCAGACCAGTACCAGACGTTGCCGAGTACAAACATAACGAGTCCGAGTATCGACAGCAACTCATGAGCGAGTATGACGCGTGAGTCGAGCCTACCTAGCCTTGTCAGCATGCCACAGGGTGGCCGCGAGGGCAACGTACAGGGGCGATCCCAGCACACGTCGTGCTTCCCTTTCCGCTCTGTCCTCTGCCGTCGTGCTCGCATCTCGATCCCTGCTTGCACGCGGATGAGCTTTCGCAGGGCCCTATCGGTATCGATGAAGGTACCTGACAGGATTGAGAGCCTGATAGAAGTTGATGGGAAACACCAGAGCTATCCGCACGACATGTACCGCGAGGTATGCGCGCAGAGGTTGGTCGCAGGGATCGTTGTGGGTGACCGCGAGGACGACGATGAAAGCAACGATCTGGGCGATTGTCCACCAGCCAGTGAGCATGAGTGAGATTCTCTTGTGGCCTCCCAGGCCGTTCAAGCCAATGAGCATGCGTCTGGCCAAGCCCGCTCGGAGCCGCATTGCAGGCGTGAGGAAAGGCTGCGGCTCGACGGGGCTCGCAGGCGTCGAGCTTGGATCTACGATTGCTGCCACTTGCGAGTCTGTTGGATCTGACTGGGTAGCAGCCTCAGTTGGGCCATTAGGCGGGTCTGCATCGCCTGCAGCTGCTGCGTTGTCAGAGTCGGGCAGCGATGCAAGCGCGGCAGTGAGCTCGTTCTGGTCAGCCATGGCGGGGCTCGCAGCATGGGTCGCTAGTGGATGCTCGGTCACTCCGACGGCAGCTGTTGTAGCTGCTGTCTGCTTATGTCTTGCCGAGTGCGTAGAATATTCGGCCGGTAGGACTCCCATTGTGCGTCCGCAAGGTTGTGCTCCTCAGTCCTGCTGCGACCAGCTCGTTCTCCTGTCTTCGGGAAAGCAGGATGACATGCGATCAAGGCAGACGGTTCGAAGGCTCAGCGTGACTTCACAAGGGCCAGCCTCGTTCTAGAGACTCGCCGAGCGCTACGCCCAGCAGAGTGACGCGCCAGGCAGGCAAGCTATGATAACCCACAGCAGGTTCGACATAAGACACGGATACGAACGGGGAGTATGCAATGATAAGACAAGTCTGATGAGCATCTATGCGGCGCAGCGACAGGTGTAAGCAGGTGCCATGGCAGCAGTGGTAGTGCTACCTGTCATCGACTGCCAAACTGATGAGGCCTTGGTGGACGTAGCAGGTACTGCGGAGCTCGTGACGATGATTGTGGTCGCAGGTCGAGTAGAGGTAGTCCAAGAAGCAGCTTTTGAGCTTGCCTGCACCGTGCTGGTGTAGACCGAGCTCGCGCCACTGCCATTGTACACAGAGCTTGAAGGAGCGACTGAGCTGGCTTTCGAGCTGGCAGCGGCACTCGAGCTGGCGATAATGGTCGAACGGATGATGACAGTCGATTGCGCGGGCACTGTCGCGATTGCAGTCGAGGAAGCTTCCGCGCTCGATCGGGCAGCGCTGGTCCATATTGACTGCACGGCGCTCGAACTGGCCTTGACGCTCGACACGATGATGGTCGTCGTTGGCTGAGTGTCGCTCAGCAGCGTCGCAGTGATGGCGGTAGGTGTGACTGTGACGCCGCCGTTCGATCCGCCGCCACTGGAGCCACCGCCTGATGTTTTGGTGCAAGTCGTTGCGCCACCGCCATTGCCGCTCGAGCCTGATCCGCCGCTGACGACACCCCCTCGCTGGTCACAGCGGGTGATGCACTGAGAGAACAGATCACTGTCGAATGCGAGATCAGCAAGCAAATCCTAAGAATCACTCGAGAGTGGCATACAGATTGACGCCGAAGCCCGCAGATACACCTGCGCCTGCAGTGAGACCACTGCCGAACAGACCACCTAGTCCGAGACCGGCAGCTGCTCCTGCAGAGACAGAGACAGAGCCGCCCAGGTCGAGACCGAGCAAAGGGTGGCAAGTGGAGGTGCAGATGGGCAAGTTTCGCTTATCGAGAACTTGGGCCCGAGCGAGCGCGACGGCGGCGAGGATTGAGAGGATGGAGATGCTCTTCATCTTTGCGGGTATGGTGTAAAAGAGTGTGGTGCAAAGAGCGTGCTGTAGTGCTGGATGATCTGCGTCGGACGAGAGTGGATGAGGAGTAAGGGCAAGCGTTCATTCTTATAGCTCCGAGATCAGAACAGGAAGAAGCCTTTCTTCCATCTGAGCTCGCACTGTATGCAGAGCTGTACAAAGAGAAGGTCGTAGAGCAGAATGCGCAAACAAGGCTCGAGCGTCAGGGCGCCAAGGCGCGCCGTGCATGTTTGCCGGGCTGTGCGCAGGGAAGACATCGCATACAGCCTGCCGTGAGTTGCTGTCTCAGAGGAGGGATCAGTGCACGGCGCAAGCTCGGACAGACCACGATGGCGACGTGGCGGCTCTGCGTGGTCTCGCTGCGATGAGGGGCATGTGACACGTGGCGCGAGCTTGTACGACCCCGTCCGGTCGAACGCTCGCGACGATAGTGTGAGCCTCTGTCGGAGACTTCTGGCTGCTTCTCGCTCGTCGGACGTTCTTGCGCACGCTACTTATCCAGTGCAGTCACCCAGACTGTCGAGCGACACAGACTGACTTTGTGAACGACCGACTACCGAGCTTATCATTCTCGCGTTTCCTATCGACTTGTAGCCTCACTAACAGTCTGACTGCTGCCCCAAAGACACTCAGTGCACTAGTGAGGATCTTCGCCCTTCTCTATAGGCATGCGCTGACATCCGGTCTCAATAGGTCAACGGGAACCACCTCACCGAGTCATCAGTCCGCGTTAGTCACCGCGACCTGGTCAGGTCCGAGGCCGCACCATTGCCACCAGCTGTAGGCTTGCAGATCGCTTGCTGGAGACTCTCTGATCGGATCAGACCAGATAGAGGCGCACTCATACACTGCTGACGCTATGGGCGGGGGTCGGAGCGAGTCGTCAGCCAGTGACCCTGCAGCCGAGCCAAGCACATCTTCGACCGCGACAGCGAGCAGCCCGACAGGCTATGCGCACTCGGATGCAGGCACGGATCATTCTGTCTCACTCTCCGACACGGAGCATGGTCATCTGTCCGATCTAAGCAGCTTGAGTGACCCTGAAATCGATATCGACGACTACGAGATGGTGCCCTTCTCGAGCTCTGACGAACGCAGACCCATCCACGATCGTAGTGACGATCGCCGTACGACCGGCTCGCTGCGATCTTCGTCTGACGAGGACCGGGACACGGAGGATGAAGCCACGCACGAGACACCAGCACGACCTCTTTGGGAGAGTGAAGCCGACGTCGTCAAGATTCGTCGTCAGTCTGCAGAGACGGACGAGTCTGACATCGAAGGAAGCTATCTTGTCGATTCTGCTCATCATCTATCAGCCGAGCTGAAATACAACTCATCATCTCTCACGAATTCACGTGGCACGCTACAAGGGTCCGATGGCTCGCTCAGAGCCAGCCAGATCGAATTAGCTTTCCCTGATCCCATGCGATCATCTGCAGAGACTGTCCAGAAGCCCAAGAATCGCTCACGATCGCGTCGCGCAATGCGCCGTAAGAAAGCAACGACAGACTCGCTTGCTGCAGGGCCTGCTACTGATCCAGTACCAAGCGAGACTGCCGTGACAGCACCCAGTGCGAAGCCAAATCCACCTGCAATCCACACTTTGCTCATGTCATATGTCAGAACGATGCGCGCAGGTCCGGCTGTCGGTAGCGTCGTTAGCCTCATTGTCGCTATCATTCTGGGCTCAGCCGTCCTTCAGAGCCCTAGAAAAGCTTCAGATGCTCTCAATGATGAGTTCCTATACGGTGCAGCATCTCTCACGAATTCAATCGCGGTATCGACCCACCTGCAGCAATTTGTTCGATCTGCTGTGCCCACGGCTAATGTCAAAATAGCGACGGAACACAAAGCCCAGCCTTCCGCTTATGCGCTCGCGGTCAGACCCAAGCACGAGGTGCAGGCAATGTCCGAGGCCGTTCCTGCTGCAGCGAGTTCGATGAGAAAGCGCCGGAGCAGGTCAAAGCATACGCAATCGGTCGAGCCTGCCGCTTCCTCGAGCACGGCTCCAGTCGATAGCGCAGTGACTAAAGCTCTCCAGCGGTTCACTGCCTTCGAGCTGGCTACTACCACCGGCTTAGGTTTCACAAAGCAACAACTGACCGAATCGATCGCGTCTGCTGGTACTGCATTCGAAGACACCGTCTCGCATGCCGAGGCGGGCATGGGATCCATCAAGGGAATGCTGGCTCGTCAGATTGATCTAGTTCGTCGTCATCTGACCGATGCAGTCGGCATCTTCCATCAGGCCGCTTTCTACTTGTACGAACACTCTCGCCGCGTCGTCGAGACGATCGGCGACACTACTGCCGAATGGCATCTTGACACGGCGCACACTGGATATGTCCTCACAAAGGCAGCCGAAGTAGTCGGACATGGCGCAGGTGTACTCGACAACGATCTCCGCATCCTTTGGCAGACCAGCCTCCCGTTAATGGAGCAGGCGCAGGCGAACATCCGCAAGGCCCAAGGGGATCTCAGGAGCAGTCTACCCTCGCTCGAACAGGCTCAGGCTATGTCTACAGAGACTGCCAAAGCGCTCCGCACAGGCATCTATCAGCGGTGGCAGCAGGGCCGCCAGCACCGCGAGAAAGGCCGTCGTGTCTTGCTTAGTGCTGCTTCGCGAAGCTGGCAGGACGCTCGACATGGTGCCAAGATCCTGCGACAGGACGCATCGAAGATCTACAGCAATGCTGGTCGAAATGTAGCCAACGCGCACTCATCCTGGCAAGCTGCTCGTCACAACGCGCAGATCGGTCTCAGTATCCTCAAAAGAGACGTTGCCCGCGCGCGCGTTCGAGCGGGCCCTTCGGTCTCTCGTGTGTCACGGCAGTTGAAGAGTGCTTCAGAGCATGCACGTCGCGGCAGTCAGATTCTCACAGAGCAGAGCCTGCGCGTCCGTGATAACGCCGGTCGAGGCATTGCACTCATTCGCGATCAAGGTCTCAAGGGGGCATACGAAGCTGTTCGCAAGGATCGCAACATGCGCAAGGCTGCCAATGCCTTCAACAGGAGCAAAGGCAAGCGTGCTAATGCCGATCATCATTTCAAGCCTCGACAATGGCACGAGCGCTTCTCCCGCCGTCAGTGGCCGAGCATCCGCGATTGGCGCAAGCCCGCTGGCCATCGTCGTACGCATCGCAAGCTGCACGGCAGGAAGGCTCAACGAGCTCGGGAGGATCCTATGGACTTTTGGCAATCGACGGGCGCATTCGTGTAAATCGTTCAGGCTCACAAGTATTTCTGTCGCTCTATCATCTATCGTGTTCCTGTCCAGCACCGCTCCCCAAGCTGTTGTTGCTCGCTATTTCTCAAAGACTGATTACGTTGTACGGCTAGTAAATGACCAGACCAATGACAATGTCTATTCATCCTTGCGTGCAGCTCTGGTCTTCTCTGCTTGCTTGATCGCTGCCTTGTCGGTGACCGGGTCTGCTGCGCCCATCAGTCCGCCCACTTTGAAGGGACGCTTGAGTTCGCCCGTCGCTGGTTGGCCGAAGAGGTGCAGCTGCACGATCTATCCCGCGTGCCACTCGGTCAGCAGTGCGAGCGAGTGACACGACGGCCGAGCGTACCTTTGCTTCTAGAGCTGCCTTCATGGGCATGAGCGACTGCAAGAACAGCGGCTGGGTGTACCTGTGCTGGCGCAGTCAGCCTGCACGAAGTAGCTGAGAGGCTGCACGGGCTCACTTCATGTAGCCGTGGAGGAAACACATCATCGCAATGCCGATGAGGACTTGCCGCACTTGCTTGCTCGTCTCTGCCAGGTCATAATCCCTGTAGGTCGTCGAGACGGGCACGCCTGGCTCTTGTGACTGTGCCAACCATCTGATCAGCCCATGGGTACCGTCGTGCACACTCGGAGAGACGTACGCCCGGTGTCTTGGGCTCGATGTACTTGAGCAAGGTCTGGTCATTCTTGGACTTGATCTGACGCCATCAGAGCAGCTTTCAGTCTGTGCCTTGGCCCTGGCGCTAGACTGACGAACCTTGATTGAGACGTAGTAGTAGACGCCCAGGATGAACAGCTGAGAGAAGACGTAGAGACATCGCACGCCGAAGAGCACATCCGGTCGGTCAAAGTCGATCTACTCTCGAAAATGGTTGAGCACGGTGCAACTTGCCGACCATGCTCGCCCACCTTTCTGGCCACTTGCATCAGGATCAGCGTCACGCCGAGGTTCTTGATGGCAGGGTTGACATTGTCGAGGACCATCTTTGCGAGCGACAGCCAGGCGAACCGCACACCAGGGAAACCAGCGACAGTGCGAAGTCGTCGGCCACGCGTCTAAAAGGGCGTCAATCCTCAGCCTCAGCGATGCATTTTCAAGGCTACGCTGGCGAACGCAGAGTCCTGAGGAACTCGACAAACTCCTTCTTGAAGCCCTTGCCGTCGGCGGCACTGACGAGGCTCTGCACAAGCTTGGTACTTGCCTCCTTGGCAATACCAGCGCTTGGCAATAGCGAGTCGCGCAGGAAGGTCTCGAATTCTGCGCCGCGCTTCTGCTGCAGCGTCTTGAGAATGCCGGCAGTCTCACCAATGAGCTGGTAGCTCATAGCATCGCCAAAGTCAAGTGTCGACCTTCGAGGCAGCTCGAAGCAGAGAGGCACGACGCGCTCGTAGACAAACTGACTGAAGCCAGGAGGGATAGGCGACAGCTTTGTCGCATCGGCACTGCCATCCTTGTTGCCATTGATAGGTACGGCAGGCGTTTGGGGCTCGACCCAGACTGCAATAAATTTGCAGAGCAGCGTCAGAGAGGCCTTTTGATCTGTGACATTGGTCGATGTGCTCGTATAATGCATGATGGCATTGAACATCGTTTGCAGATGCGGCTGGTTCGACTCGGACAGCAAGATGTAGGCAAACCCAGCATTGAGAATCGAGACGATGAGGTTGAAGTACGCGCGCAAGAGCTCCGAGTGCGCCACTTCATCATCTGTGCCCAAGACAGGCTGCTCCAAGAAGCCATACGTGCGCGCAAAGATGATGGGACAGAGTTTGTCGAGCTCTTCGACGAAGCTGTCTTTGAACTGATGCGACAGCTGGGAGATGAAGCCCATAAATTCGGTCATCTCGGCATAACTAATCTGTTCGATCACACGCGTCGTGAAGGTCGAGACTTGTGGCATCGTCGCCTGACCAGCAGCGGCCACAAGGTTCTTGAATGTCGAAATGGCTGCCGCACGAATGACGGCAATGCCACTGGTCGTCTTCAGGAGCTCGAGGATTTCCGCGCTCGTACTGACAAAAGCAGGAATGGTGTTCGGAAGTGGCTTCGTCTTTGGGGTTGCGAGCTGAGGGAAAGGTTTGACGACATGACCGACTGCGAGCAGGGCATGGTGTATGCGCAAGATCTTGTTGAGATCCTCGACTCCCGCGACCGTTCTCGGGACGTTCTGCTTCATGGTCTGGACGAGGTCGCCCAGAACACCGCCGAGCAAGTCGCCAGGCTGGTCAGGTATGATCGTCAGTAATATGCCGGCGGTTTCGAAGACTTCTCTCTGAGCATCAAAGGGACCTTTGACTTGCGCTGCCTGCAGCAACACATCTGTCGTTCCGCTTGTCGACGTTTCCACGGAAGCGTCTATCCTCAGTAAGGGCTGATAGCTCGATGTCAGAGATTCCTTGCACGAAGAGCAGATGGACGACTCACCCGCAACGCTTCAAGCATACGCTGTATGTCGTCGGCAGTTGCACACCTGGGCAAGATCGTCCTCATCGAGTGTATGAAGCTCTTGAGCAAGTATTGTGCCCTTGCTTTATGCTTTTGCTGGACTTGGAAGACCCCTCTGTGAACAGATTTACAGTCTCAGCGCGAGTGCCATCGCTGAGACTGCCCTGCCTACCTTGGACCGAGAAAGGCAGACAGTATATTGGACATAGCACCTGGGTTGACGGCAAAGTAGGCGTGATACCGTGTCACGATCTCAAAGACCGTCAAGGGAGCGCTCTCATGTGGAAACGCTGTGACGTTTGAGCGAAGTAGCCTCGTCAGCATCTCACCAAGCGTAGACAGCGGTAGCTCGGATAGATTCATCTTGTCCACTTCGGCCTTCAGCTTGGCCTTTGGAATCGGCGGCATCTGGACGTAAGCTGCCGGTCCGCCAACGGGCGCCTTTGTGCCTTCGCCATGGATCCAAATGAGATGGAGAGCAAGCTCGAGTTGTTGCCAAGAGATTTGGTCTGGTTTGCTGTCCAAGGCGTCAAGCGTGGTATCGATGGCGGACCTTGCAACAGAATTGTAGATATCCATGTCAATGGCGCCTATGGCTTCGAGTATAAGCTTATAGCCTTTGCGCTTCTCTGAGAATGCGATGAAATCGTCGTCCTCGTCCGAGTCGAGCGTCTCCTGGATGACTTGCCACTCTATATCGTCTGGATACATAATCTTCTTGATTGCGATTGTGGCCAGAGTGGACAGAAATCCCGCTTTGGTCTCTGTCATACTGTTTTGCTGTTTCTTCTCGCGTTTGTAAGCGGATAGCATCGATGTGGTGAAGGGCAGAAGGTGTATGCCAACGGGATCGCTTGGATTGTCAAGGAAGAGCAAGACGAGCGGGAGAAGCTGACTGGCTAACGCGTATGCTGCCGACTTTTCGGACAATTCTGCGGTGTTGTCTTCTAGGACCTTGCATAGTTCTGCGCCGACGCAGTTGAGCAGTTTCGCCAGACGTTCGAGTAGTGCTTCGTCATCTTCGTCAAGCTGACCACTGGAAGCGTCTCTCTTCTGCTGTAGATCCGAATGGAGCTTGATGAGCAGATCGCCAAGCTGCAGTACTTGCAGGAGCTTGAGCTTGTCACTCGCCGGCATACCTTTACTGACAGTCTCGACGAGACAATCGACCGCCTGAATGCGAGTCAGTGTGCGGTCTGACTCGAGACAGCGGTACAGCAAAGGCGTTGTTTCTGGTCGGATGACGAGATTGATGTCGACCCAAGTGACGTACTCTGCGATGACGGCGAGACAGAGTCTGAGCAGATGGTCGGCCTTGTCTGAATCGATATGATGATGTCCGTTCGTATAGCCATTCGCTTGATTGGCCGAGGAGAGTGTGATGAGCTCCTCCAGGAGTGTGAACAAAGCAGACAAGATTGAGGGAGCATCTTGTGCTCTGACAGCCTCACGCAGCTGGGCGTCCCTTGCCAGGCGGCTTTGAGGCTTGTTCAGTCTGAGATGGGCATCCGACAGATCGCTCGAGATCTCCTTGAGCAGTCTGAGGACGTATTCTGTTCCTTGGTAGTTGAGCTGTGCGCCAGCATTGGCGCTTGTCGAGGCAACAGGTGCGCCCTCTTGCTCGCGAGGCAATCTCATGAAGGAGAGGAATTCGTCAAAGAAGTTGGGCCATACGGTCGGATAGAGTGTGTAGAAGAGCACAAAGAGTGTCTGAATCGACTTGTTCCTTAGATCTGTATGACGCGTCAGACGAACTCGGGCAGCGGCATCATGACACAGAGTGCGAGAGAGACATACAAGGCGCGCCAGGTTCGCCCTGCCCTCGCAGATGCTCTCTGTGAACGTAGTCGAGCATGATCTCCCGGATGGACTGCACATTCTCGTGCGTAAAGGCAGAGTCACTGCACGATGCCCCGAGGCAATGAGGTCGCGCGAGACGGTGATGTAGTGACGCAACATACTGGTTGAGCAAGGCTTCGTCGAGAACCTGGAGGCCGAACATGCGAGCTTGTGACTCGTAGGCGTATGACCTGCCGTCCTGAGATGTCGCAGAGAAGAGTGCAAAGCATGACTCCCAAGTCTGAGCAGGAGCAGATTTGACTTGTTCGAGAAAGGCATAGGCTTCCTGTTGCTGAGCAGGGGATGCAGGATCGAGGGCTGCTCGGACGGCAGATGCAATCTGGCTCTGATAGGCCATCGCAAGCCGTTGCACACTCCTCTGTGGCTCGGCGACGCTACCGACTTGTCAGTAGCTGTCCCGACGCGAGGAAGCCCTGCAGCCGTGGTGCTTGCAAGCAAGATAGTGTCAACTCAGCATACGCTATCGATCGGACGCTTCTACTGGGCGAGTCGAGAGCGGACAAGTCGGCGCAAATCAGCTTGGAACAATTTGGCGTGTGACTGATGACTACTTGAATATGTCGTGGAACCTTCAAATAGAAACATATCAAGTCTGTTGTGCGCCCTGCCAAGTTAGCCAGCTTGGTCCTGACGAGCCTCAAAGTCACATCTCGGCCAGTTGAGACGAGGAGTCATCGAGGCCGAGACTTATAGACCACCGCACCCTGACAGACCACCGACGACCCGGTCGCAAAGGAGCAGACACGACTTTTATCGTCGTTCTGCCGAGTAGCGTGATCCTTCAAAAGCGAGCCCACGAGCCGGCTAGCCTGCGCTTCGGAGTCGTTCACATCCTCGACAGCCAGTCAATCAGTCGACTTGGCTCGTGCAAACAGTCTGCCGAGCCAAGACTGTGCCTCCTCCGATCAGACCCGCTCACCGGCAAGAGGTCAGTTTCTATCGGACCCCTTGTGCTTGTTCGACAGGGCCATCGCAGTCAGAGCACGTGCTCATCCTTGTACACCACAGGTCTGATCAGACAGTGCCTCCTTTGCCCTCAGTAGTCCCGAGACGAGACAGAGACAGAGCGTAGACCCGACTGCGCTATCGTCACACGACGAGCCACCCCCATTTGACCTGGTCAGCCTGGACGAGTCTGCCTGAGCACCTCATCATCAGAAAAGCTATCGAGTGCATAGTCTGCTTGCTCAAGGAAGAAAGACCGTCAAAGGCAAGAGCTCAGTCGACGCGCGCGCCTTGACACCTCATCAGGAGACAAAGAAAGCCGCACCCGACGCGCAGCCTGACAGCCAGATAGACTCGCCATGGCCGAACAAGGCCAGGAGATCGATCTCGACTCCATCATCGACAGATTGCTCGAGGGTGCGTCGCCTTTGAACGTCATACACAAACGCGTCGGCTGACTTGCCCTTGGCTTCTTCAGTCCGAGGTAACCGACCGGGAAAGCAAGTACAGCTCTTCGAGCATGAGATCAAGCACCTCTGCACCCGAGCTCGAGAGATCTTCATCAACCAACCCATCCTACTCGAACTCGAAGCGCCCATCAAGATCTGCGGCGATATTCATGGCCAATATTACGACCTTCTCCGCCTCTTCGAGTACGGTGGCTTCCCTCCCGAGGCAAACTATCTCTTCCTGGGAGACTATGTCGATCGTGGAAAGCAGTCACTAGAGACAATCTGCCTCTTGCTCGCTTACAAGGTATGTGTCTGCCGGTCGAACTGACCCTCTCATTGACATCCCGGCCAGATCAAATATCCGGAAAACTTCTTCATCCTGCGAGGCAATCACGAATGCGCGTCCATCAACCGAATCTACGGCTTTTATGACGAATGTGAGTTCCATCTTTGGCCCCTGCCTTGATACCTGCTCATTGCGAATATGATGACAGGCAAGCGGCGCTATAACATAAAGCTATGGAAAACCTTCACAGACTGCTTCAATTGCCTTCCCATCGCCGCGATCATCGACGAGAAGATCTTCACCATGCACGGCGGTCTGAGCCCGGATTTGCAAAGTATGGAGCAGATAAGACGCGTCATGCGTCCTACAGACGTGCCAGATACAGGCAAGCTTCTCCTACTGTCCTCCCAAGCGGGCATAGCTCATGGCGAGGTGATCAGGTCTATTGTGCGACTTGCTGTGGTCCGATCCCGATAAAGACATCACCGGATGGTCAGAAAACGATCGAGGCGTCTCCTTCACTTTCGGACCGGACGTCGTGTCCCGCTTCTTACAAAAGCACGATATGGACCTCATCTGTAGAGCGCACCAGGTCGTCGAGGACGGCTACGAGTTCTTTGCAAAACGTCAGCTTGTCACCCTCTTCTCTGCGCCGAATTATTGCGGCGAATTCGACAATGCGGGCGCGATGATGTCGGTCGACGAAACGCTTCTCTGCTCGTTCCAGGTGCGCTGCGAGGCTCCTCCAACCAAGCGCAACTGCTGACTCGTCGGTTGACAGATCTTGAAGCCAGCGGAAAAGAAGCAAAAGTTCAGCTATGGGGGAATGGGAGCAGGTAGACCGGTGACGCCGCCGAGGAAGCAGAAGAAGGGCAACAAGGCACCATAAGTAGCAGAATCTGCCCAGAGGCGCCGGGCTACCCCTCTGCCCTCCTCGCGCACGAGCCCGATCGTGCAATAAAGCCCACTCTCAAGATCTTGCTGACGACCCCCGTCCTGTCCCGATGCGAAGGTCAACAAGCCGCTTGCTCAAATTCGTCTGGCATGTCCCTCTCGCCACCTCTTATGACAGTCGATCTTCCGCTCTGCCGAACACCTGTATCAGTATCTCGCCAGCCGCGCATTTGTGACAAGAGCAAGAAAGACCTCAAAAGGAGAATAGAGTTCCGCCGAATGAAGCTAGCCCTTGTCTGCCTCATCATCATTGTATTTGTCTCGGTGCCCAAGGCTCCAGAGTGCTTCTCCCTAGATTATATCAGGAGCTAGCCATCCAGGATTCGGTCTTCAATTTTTCATTCGATTTATTACATCACGTTGGGCGCTTGCTTTCTCTCTCTAAGTTTGTCCTGTGCAGATGGCGAAGGTGATGGAGCTTTAAGATCCATCGAAACAGATGTCGTCGAATAAGATGCGGAGGTTGAGCGTTGCGGGAGAAAAACAGGACAGATTCGGCGAAACAAGGAGCGTGCGATGGCGAACGCCGCAGGTGCCGGAGCGCGGTCTTGGGCGGTCATATTCACGAGCCGAGTCGACTGTATCTAGATACCTTGCATGCAAATTTGCGACCAGTTCGACAGGCTCGGACGCGATCTCACTGGCTGAACAAGAAAAGATTGTTCGTGGCTGCGATTGCAATCTGTTGATCAGACCGAGGTCAGCTCAAGACTTGCATGAGGACACGCGATCGACTGACCGTGTTCTCTTTCGGATGCCAGCTAGCGTGCAGAATCTTGCGCGTGAAGTCGATCGAGTCCACATCGACAGGCGGCTTGCTGCCGCCATTCTTGCCCGCGCCATTCTTGGTCGCTGCTCCTTTGGCTGCCTTTGTCGCGCCAATCTTCTTCGCTTTGAACGCAGACTTGTCCGCTTGCAGAGCGATATCGGTCGTTCCCTCCCGGTCATAGATGTGAAAGTTATTGGAGTATGACCCAGACAGGACATGCCTGTTGCGTGCTTTCAGCCCTGCGCCAATGAAGAGGTAGAGAAGACTGACTCTCCGTCGCCGGAAAAGGTGCACTCAAACTTGTCGAATATACAATCGTTTTCGTATAGGTCGCACAGCTTACTTCGGAGGTGATCGTGCACGCTTATCGTCTTGAGCGGCTTGGAGTCCATGTTGATATCCCAGATCCGTAGAGTGAGGTAATCGCGCGAGAGCAAGTACCGCCCGTCTCTGCTAAATTTGACATCTGAGACTGAGGAGATGATTTCTGAGAAGAACGACTTGTTCGAAGGATCCTCTTCCTCTTCGTATACTGCTCGAAGTGCGCGTCAGCTTGATCGCACGCAAATTCGAGAGACCCACGTTTTGCATGCCCGTCGCAGAGCGCAGAGTCGCGCATATCGGCTAGTTTGACCGTGCCCTTTGAGCTGGAGTAGCATAGCAAGTTGCAAGATGTCGGATGGAATTCAGCAGCAGTGATGACTTCGGTGAGCTCTTCCATGTTCGCGGGCTTGATGTCCAGTATATCTGCACCGGACGCGTCAGTACTCGATCACCTGAAAGCGGCAGACGACAGACTAAAGCTCTGATCACTAATGTTGAGATTCCAGAGGTTGATACGTAGATCATCGGCAGACATGTAGCTTTCGCCGTCGCTATTGATCGAGATTGAGTTGATATGGTATGCGTGCGCGTTTGCGTACACTTTTCGCGGTACTGCAGCGACGATAGTATCATGATATGACATCCTCGGCAATCTCAGTACTGGCGTGCTGGCTGATCCGGCTGGTGACCGTCCGCCTGGGGAAGTTGGCGGCAGGCCTGCTAATTGCGAGCCTGGCGCAAGGGAGGGCGAAGAAGGTGAGTAATGCGGTAAAGAGTCCTGATGGAAGTCGCCTGTGGCCAAAGATCCGGACGAATTTGCCGCTGCTAGTGTCTGGTTGTTCTCTGCCACCACCTTGAGTGACTTTTCAAAGACTTTCCAAAGCTTGATCGTCTTGTCTGCGGAACGACTGCGCGTTAGCCTGACCCGGCCTCCGTCAAGGGACTACTTACCGTTGGTAGACAGTAGAAAGTGCGCTTGATTGCCCCTCTTGCACCACCTGATCTTGTTGATCTTTTCCTCTATCTCTAAGCTTTTAAGGTAGTCGAATTCTGGCTCATGTGACTGGAACTCCGTATAAAACTTGTACTCGCAACCTTTCTTACTTTCGTTGCGCTCGAAGAGCACCACCCGGCCGCCTGTCGCAAGTAGGATCAGATCAGCACGTATTGTGCGTCTGAGCAGGGTGGTGCGCTCACCTTTGTCGCCAGTGGCGAGATAGTCACCTTTCGGGCAGAATTCGACGGTTGACTAAGCAGCATCCGCTAGTCAGCGATGATCCATAGACTTCTGCGGCTAGTCAGAACGTACGATGATGTCTGCTTCGGTGATGTCCTCTACATCGCCCTTGTCGCCGAAGCACTGGGCGAATCGCCAGCCGGACGAGTCTGCGTCGAGCTGTATTTGCTGACTCATCTCTGTACGGGCACGCGAGTACGATCGAACGGTAGCTGTCCCTGCTCGCGAGTCTATTGGTAGCAGATTATCGTGCTAGCACCCGGTCGAGATAGGCAGGGCGCGCGCTCCTATGCTGGCGAAAGACGCGGTCTGATAGGGCAGACTGCTCGTCTTAGCGTGATGTGCGGCTGAGGCAAGTAGCCGGAGAGTGGGTGCAGTCAGTAGTACTGCAGACCTGGCTAAGGCAGCTCTGGAGAATGGAGGCATACACATGAGCCCGAATGGCCTGGTCGATATCAGAAAACTCTGACCTTGCTGTGTGTCGCCGGAGGGGAAGCAGGACAGTGGTTCACCTGACCGTCCGAGACCGAAGCTCTGATCTAATGCGCGAATGGGGCCAGACGAGCGTGAGGCTGAGTCCGCTCCAGTTTGTGAGTTTGTCGGTTTCGCCTTGCCGAGGTGGTGTCAGCCTCGGGCGTCGATGGCTTCTCAGACCCGCGCAAGTGAGCGGCTAGCGAAGGATCCGCTTTCTTCGCGGAACTCAGGCGTCTGGCCAGTGTGGCACACGCCAAAGGGGTGGGCGAGCGAGTCCGTCCCACGCGATAGCGGCTGATCGTGGAATCTGCTGCTGTCGTGAGGAGTCCCTGGAGCTCTCTCCGCTGGCTATCCTGCTTGTCCTACTCTGCACCTCTCTCTGTGGACGGCTAGCCCGTACAGACTTCGCTTCAGACTTCGGTCGGCAGCAGCGACGACCACTCAAGCAGCGTCACTCTTCAATCACGTGACATAATGCGTAATCATGGACTTGATGATCACCGACACTTGCTCACATGCTGCTGATACAACAGGCCATCATCTGCCTTCCTCAACGTAGGCTCTGTCTCGGCTCTGAGAGAGTGCTTCCGTCAGGGACGGACATGCCAGGCGAAAGTGGAGGATTGGCCGCTGATGACACGGCTGGTGTCGATCCTGAATTCTGGCTCGCTCGCCATTTCTTGAACTCAGCTTGCCTGACCTGATCAATAAAGGGCTCGAGATCTCGCCGATGCTCGCGCTGGTACCTCGAGGCAATCTTGTTACGCAGCTGAACGCCGTAGAGTCCTAACCTGTCGTCTCTCATCCTGAAAAGGTACCTATCCAGCCCGCCGCACTTGTCTATCGTCCTCAATGCCTGGAGGACCATCATCCCTGCTGTCAGACATGGACGTGTCGAGCGGCCATGAGCAGACGCACAGAAGTCGTGACTTTCATCCTCAAATGCTGATTGAGCGCCTCTGACCAAAGTTTCTTGTTCTGGATGTTGGGCAGCCATGATCGCCTCGTCTTGTGATGTGAGTCAGGCACGTTATTGCCTGTCATATAGATGAGCCAACCGGGCTCGGCTCGTTCACAAGGAATTGACGTACCGTATCGCTTCACCTTGCCATCAAACAGACCGAGCTGGCCTCGCTTGAACATCTTGCCCGCCACACCGGGTATCTTTGCCAGACTGCATAACGAGGGATGCATCGTGCGAGCGGCCCGAAACGTGAGCCAATCGACGAGTGCCTGCGTTGCCAGAGGGCGGCGTCGCTGTAAAAGCTGACGGTAAACCGGGCCGGAGCACGCGCTGGACGAGCGAGCGACGTGCTCGGGCTGAGCGACTGATCAGCCTACTTCGCGATACGACGGCTGGCCGTCAAGCAGCGACGCTAAGGAGAGATAAGACTGACAGGCCGACCGAGCCGAACCGCGTTCCACGGTCAGCGTGGTCTTGTTGCGCGGCACGGTCGTCAGGTGTCGCGAGCGTGCAGCTGTTGTGTCCCTCCAGCAGCGAGCGCAGGGCATATAGCCCGACACGGCCAGCAGACACTCAAGCACAAGATAGATAGGCTCAGCAAGCACCCATCTTAGCGTGTTCGCCCCACGCTCACCTTGCTGCACGCGTTCATCCGCGCAAGTGATTGATAGCAAAGGCCAGTGAGGCGGTCATGCAAGCTTCAGGCGCGGTCGCGAGCGCACAAGCTCATCACGACTCCCTTTCAACTCGGCCCCCGACCTCCCCGCGAAATGCAAGCTCGAGCGAGTTGGGCAGTCCGGCAGATGACAATGCGAGCACAAAGGCCTTGCTGCTCACTGCCAATCCTTCCACGAATGGTCACTATGCACCTCCCATGGCTGCCATGGGCAGTCAGGATCACTTCCACCTGACGGGCGAGCCTACCGACAGGGCTCGCGCGGGCTCGATCTATCTGCCGCTCAACAATTCGCCGGGACATTCGCCTGAGATCAATTCGCAGTCGGGTTCGCCATCTGCCCAGTCGGACCCCCAGAATTTGTCGCACTCGAACGGACACGCTGGCCTTGCAAAGACATACGCGGGCGAGCAGCGGCTTGCGATCGACATGAGCGCTCTGAACGAGCCGAAATCGCCGTCTGCCATCAATCCTGCTTACTCAATACCGGCGAGCTATGATCCTGCCGTGTCATCGATAGCCTATCCTTCCGTCTTTACGCCCTCTGCTGTCAATGCGACGGGTCAAGCGAGAGGTGCAGTCGCGGCAGCAGGAGACTACCTAAGTGCAGGTGAGCTCTCTTGCCCTTAGCCTGAGTAGCATTGCCTGATCCGCATAAGCAGGCGATGGACCGATAACGATAGACACTTCTGACGGTCAGCTAGATAGCGGACTACTTCCGCATGCCAAGCGGGACCTGTCGCTCACACATCACGCCTCATCCGACTCGCTGTCGAAGCGACTCCCGCAACCCAAAGAGTCCCACAGGCCTGTCTCGCCCGCACTGGGACAAGATCGCTCGAGCATGCAATCTGCAGCATCTCGCTACTATCAGCCCGGTAGCTCTCCCGCTAGATCGACTGCCTTTGCTCTGTCGCCCTCGCAGAGCAATCCAGCCCTCTCGTTGTCGACAGCGGCTAGACGGAAACATCCGCTCGATAATGCAGTCGGTTGGATCGTCATGTACTTCGCCTTCAATCTTGGCCTGACGCTCTACAACAAATTCGTGCTCGTCAAATTTCCGTTCCCTTGGACCCTGACGGGCGTCCACGCGTTATGCGGTGCGATAGGAGCCCAGATAGCTCAATCGCAAGGCTACTTTGTTCAGTCAAAGCTCTCGTCACGAGAGAATTCGGTGCTCGTCGCCTTCAGCGTGCTCTACACTGTCAACATTGCTGTGTCCAATCTCAGTCTGCACCTCGTCACTGTGCCTGTTCGTGGCCTTCTAGCACCCCGTACACGAGCATGCTGATGGTTCGGCTGACAGTTTCATCAAGTCGTTCGAGCGATGACGCCGCTCTTCACTGTCATCCTGTCAGCAACGCTGTTACGGAAGCGATTCCCCATCAGGACATATGTGTCTCTCATTCCCGTCGTCGCAGGCGTCGGCTTTGCCACGTAAGCCACTCGCTCTACAGGCCAGACTATGCTAAGGACGAAGCGAATGCCAGATATGGCGATTACTCTTTCACGGCATGGGGATTCATACTGACACTGCTAGGCACGGTCCTGGCAGCCATGAAGACGATCGTGACCAATCTCATCCTGGTCGGAAGGCTCAAGCTGCACCCGCTCGACCTCCTGCTGCGAATGAGTCCTCTCGCTTTCGTCCAATGCGTCTTCTTCAGCTACTGGACTGGCGAACTCGCCCGAGTGAGGGAGTATGGCGCGACTCAGATGGACACGGGCAGAGCAGTCGCTCTGCTCATCAATGGCGTCATCGCTTTCGGTCTCAACGTCGTCAGCTTCACTGCCAATAAGAAGACGAGCGCGCTGACGATGACCGTGGCCGGTTCGTTCATCCCGTCTTCCTGCTGTGCTCGCATTGCAAGCTGACTGGCCATGATCAACAGCAAACGTGAAGCAAGTGCTGACAATCGTGCTCGCCGTCCAGCTCTTCAATCTGGTCATCACGCCGGCCAACATGTTTGGCATCTGCTTGACGCTCTTTGGAGGGGCATGGTACGCTCGTGTAGAGATGCTCGATAGCCAAGCGCGCAAGAAGCCTGCCGTCGCGACACCCCTTCACGATGAACGCAGCTAGAGCTTGATCATTGCATATGTGTATTGGTGACCTGGCCCGTCATCGTCGGCTGAGCTTGCCGCTGACATCGCGACGCGCCCGAGATGGACAATCGTTCGATTTCTCGACATCTTCGCCTTTCTTGACATTCAGCCAGGATGTCGCTGACCCAGAGGAAGACCAACGGCGACGCAAGGAACAAGGATGGTATCGCGGCCTACACTGCCCACTGGAACAGAGATTCTGCGCAGGACACAGAGGAGAACACCCAGAGCCGTTTGGCAGAGTACACGGACGTGGTCAACGGCTACTACGATGGCACGCGACTTGCTGTGTCGTAAGCTATGCCATGGATCTGACAGGGACCAGTCAACAGGAGCGACAGAGCTGTACGAGTACGGCTGGGGGGACTGCTTCCACTTTGCACGCTACTACCCCGGCGAGGCATTTCGACAGGCACTCGCACGCCACGAGCACTATCTCTCTGCCCACATCGGTCTCAAGCAAGGCATGCGCGTACTCGACGTAGGCTGTGGTGTCGGTGGGCCGGCAAGGGAGATCGCAAGGTTCTCGGGCGCCCATGTGACCGGCCTGAACAATAACCAGTTCCAGATCGACCGAGCTACAAAGTATACCGCCAAGGCAGGCCTGTCTGAACAGGTCGACTTTGTCAGAGGTGACTTTATGCGACTCTCTGAGCAATTCGGAGAGAACTCCTTCGATGCCGTCTACGCTATCGAGGCCACCGTTCACGCGCCAACCTGGGAGGGTGTCTATGGCGAGATCAAGAAGATCCTCAAGCCGGGCGGCGTCTTTGGCGTGTACGAGTGGTGCATGACAGATACCTGGGATCCTAGCATACCCGAGCACAAGAGGATCGCGCACGGTATCGAGGTAGGCGATGGCATACCGGAGATGCGCACCATCGCAAAAGCCCGTCAAGCTCTCCAGACTGTCGGCTTCGAGATCCTGCACGACGAGGATCTGGCAGAGAAGAACGACAGAGTGGTACGCACCGAGAAGTCCTGGTCTGATCTACATTGGCTGAATCGGGCGCTCGACAGCCATGGTACTATCCCCTCGAGGGCGACATCCGCAAGTGTCAGACAGTCTGGGACGCTTTCACGATCATTCGTATGACGCGAGCAGGCTCCTTCGTCACTCAGACAGCCGTCAAAGTGCTCGAGAGAGTCGGCATGGTTCCAAAAGGCACACACGATGTTGGGGAAGCCCTCAAGACTGCAGCAGAGGCACTCGTCAGCGGCGGCAAAGCAAAGGTCAGTCGGGCCATCTCTCTTGTCATTGCCTGCATGCTCATAGTGTGGTGTCTTCGGCAGCTCTTCACGCCCATGATGCTCTTTGTCGCTCGAAAGCCTGCAAACTAAAAGCTGACACGCAGCAGGAGATACCCAGACCAGTGTAATCAGAGACAGTCTAATGCATCGCAGCTTTACATCTGATGTTGACATTGCTAATTGGCTGAAACAGGCAATTGCTTGCCTATCAGATCTGTTGCAAAGGGTTGGTCGATGTACCCAGCAGAAGATCCAGGAGAGTAGAATGTCGATCGATCGTATGGGTGCATTTCGTGATTGTAGGCAATCCTGAGTGGCAGATCAGGGTTCGAGATATAGTGACGACCGTACACAATCGCAACATCCTTAGTATTGGCGAAGATCTGGCCATCTTCTCCGTTGAAGCCGCCAGCAGCGAGATAGGCCCGTGTCTTGTCATCTCTGCGCCAGGCGTCGAGTGCAAAGTCGGTCGTCTCCTTACTGCTGGCATCGACCGAGCCTGCTACGCGAGCTTCGATGACATGGATGAATGCAAACGATGGATAAGTATCGCGCAACCACTCGATAAGCGCGGTGTAGTCGGCCTGCGTGCCCTGGTCTCTCATATCGCCAAAGCTAGAGAAGGGCGACAGGCGAATGCCCGCGCGATCTTGACCAGTCTCTGCAACGACGGCATCGATGACCTCTTTGACAAACCGCAGACGCTTTTCTGTCGAGCCACCATACTCGTCCGTGCGAGTGTTGCTGTTCGTGTCGATGAATTGATTGAGCAAGTAGCCATTGGCGGCATGGAGCTCAACGAGATCGAATCCGGCCCTGCGTGCGTTGCGAGCGGCCAGTGCAAAGTCAGCGATGTAGCTCTTGATCTGATCATGCGTCAGTGGCGTGGGCTTCGCGCTCTTGCCGGCCATAGGTACGTCGGATGCAGAAACGTAGGGCAATCCATCTCTTGCCAGGACCTCAGGACTGGCTTGACGCCCGTTCGCCCAGAGCTGGATGCCAATGAAGCTTCCCTTTGCATGCACTGCTTCGGTCACGCGTTTCCATGAGTCAACCTGAGCGTCAGACCAGATGCCTGGCGCGTTGTCGCAGCCGCCCGCTTGCGCAGAGACGAGCGTGGCTTCACTCTGTCAATGTACGCATTTCAGTACGAACGCTCGTGCGAGATGAATATGACTCACAAAGAGCAGCGTGCCAGGCACGCTCGCACGTTGAGAGTAGTACTCGATGGCCATGTCAGTGTGCGTGTGATCCTTGTTGGCTCTGAAGCGGGTCAGAGGCCTGTCAACCGCCAGTGGTCAGATCGTAACATCTTTTGGAAAGAAGTGCCGACGCACGCCATGACGACTCTGTGTCCGATCGTGAGAGGGCCAATATTATAGGGCTTGAATAGCTTGGAGGACGACATCTCTATGATTTGGAGCTTGCGAATGCTCGACGTACTCGTATCCTCGGGCTTCAAGGAGAGTACGCTCTCTTCGACGAGGGACGAGTGTCATTTCGGCTTGAGCTTTATAAGTGCTGACGGCGGTGGCTGCTGCTGACATAGACGATGACGGAGCTGCTGCTGACGTGACATGCGCGTGACTTGCTGAGTAAAAAAAGGTCTGACGCGCTCGCTGACATGCTGGCATGTGCTGACAGGAGAGCACGTGCACACTGGTGCTACAACAACTGACTGATCTAATGCTTCAGACCGAGCAGCACGCTGCGCAGGGTCGGCGAAAGCGCGAGAAGGGCGACGAGCAGAGTCGCGAGGGCTGCAAAGCCCATCTGTGGCGACACCATCGTCGTCAACAGCAGGATAGGCTGCACCAAGAACGATCAGCTCGATCCATCATAGCAATGTCGTGAGACTGACCAGATTGCGCTGCGGAACAGTCTTCTTGCCTCCAGCGATCCGGAAGAGCTGCAGGTCGTGCCAGAGGGTATTGATGCCCGGACCGATGACGTTGAGGGGAACGAGCTTGATCAGGAAAGTACCCCGAACGCTGTACCTTGGGGCTCGAGCATTCTCGTCGGACAGAGAGGCGTCGAGCATGTAGCGGGGGAGATCGGGCACGACGCAAGCAGGTCGTCCGAGTCCTACGATATCGCACGCGCCGTCCTCAATAGCACCTGCGATGGCCGGTCTCGTTCGGAAGCCCCCGGTGACCATGATACGCATCGGTAGACGAGCATGGGCAGGCTTGAGCTTCTCGACGGTAGGCTTTGCGCGTTTGGCAAACTCGGTAAAGAATGCTTCGCGTTTGCTGCCCGCTTTCGCAATCGAGCCATCGCCTTGATCTTGTTCGACCTTTTTGACGGATTGCTTGCGAGCGTCCCGTTCACTCTGCTCGTTATCATCTCTGAGCATCTCTGCATTCTGATAGGTACCGCCCGAGACCTCGAGCAAGTCGACATCGCCTCGTTCGGCAAGCCAGCCGGTCATCTCCAGCGCATCTTCTTCCGTCATACCGCCAGCGACATAGTCGGACGAGTTGAGTTTGACGGAGACGCAAAAGCTCGAAGGCGTCACGCTACGGATGGCATCGATGATCTCGTGCAGCAACTTTGAGCGTCCTCTATTGTCGCCCCCGTATGCATCCGTTCGGGTGTTGACGTCGGGCGAATGAAATTGCGAGAGCTGGAGGCACGTAATGAGCCATCAGCTCGACGCCGCATGTGGCAAGAGTGAGCTGCTCACGAGATAGCCGTGACTACAGTGGACCTGAACGCCATCGAAGCCTGAGCGGTGCGCGAGCAAGGCAGCGCGCTTGAATTGCTCAATGACGAGCTTGATGTCGTCAAAGGTCATCGCACGAGGGGTATTGAAAGCGAGCGAAGACATGGTCGAAGCGATCCATCCTTCTGATCCTTTCAGTTTGAGAGGCTGATCAGAAGGACCGAGCGAGGGTTCACTGCGCGGTCGACCCATGCCTCGGCCTGATTGTCTGCCTGTATGATTGAGCTGCACAATCGCAGGCGTTCTGCCGTCTTTGCCTTTGCAAGCAATAGCGTAATTCTTCCAGAGCTTCAACGTCTTTGCATCCTCCAGTGCGTCCTCAGGCACGATGATATCGCAGGGAGTACCCAAGAAGCGAGGATCGACCATGACGTTGCCGGTCAGTATCAAGCCCCAGTCACCCTTCTGCCATTCTTCGTATAGCTTGAGCAACTTGTAAGTCGGGTTCGAGCCACCTGCCCTGCCGAGCATCTCTGCCATTGCAGCTTTGCAGAGTCGGTTAGGCAGCACGAGGCCGCAGTTGAGCTCGACAGACTCGCTCAGGATAGCTGCCATCTCGTCTGTGAGACGGGTCTTGTGCTTGCTGAGCTTATATAGGCCGTGCTGACGAGTCGAGATGACGAGATCTGGCGCACGACCGTACGACGGAGAGATTTGACATCCCGCGTTTTGACAAATTTGACATTTCCCGTCGATCATCATGGCCGATCTGTGCGTCGGTAGGGCTGACTTGGAGAGCCTGATGAGCTATGCATGCTGTTACAACGACAGTGAGGCCTGTATTCTGGACACGGTCCTACGTATTCTCCGGCTTCCAATGAGCGTGTCTTGGCTTTGCGCGCTCAGAGCCTCCTTACTGAGCAGACCGGACGCCCGCAGTGTTCGCTTGGGTAACCCGACAAAGACGGCTTCTGACAGTCTGGTGAAGTAAGGCGCACGGAGCAGGACGAAGATGAGCAAGTAGTAGATCCACCGGGGATCGATGAAGAGGTCATCCGTTCGCCTCGGTCGGATACGTCTGTTCGTATGCAGCACAGAAGGCACAAAACGAGATTCTTCTTTCGCCCAACTGACTTTCTGCTTGGCCCTTTTGCTTGTGCTGGGTAGTGTCTTTGTTCGCTGTACGGGTGAGAGCACAATGTGAGAAGTGATGCGGAGTCGGGTGACACTCTGAGTGAGTAGCCGGACGAGTAGTTCGATGCGCCACTGGATCTCGCGATGTAGTCGCAGGAATCGCATGGCTAGTAGGTACGAGAGCGTCCGAACGAGGTCACGCTTCCTTCTTCTAGACTCGTGTGGACGTCCGTCACCAGAGCGAGCATGGTGGTAAGAATAGCCATAGTACGGGTTGGCAGCGCTATAAGGCGACGGAGGTGGTCTGTGTCTTCCAGCCGAGCGTGTAAAGGTCGAATTGGTCGGCGAGAGGGACGGTTCTGCTGACATGGGCACAGAAAGATGACCCTGAGTCGATCTGGAGGGCGACACATCTCTCGATTGCGTTCGAGAGACTGCGATCGAGGGCGGATGCGAGGAAGGGACAGAGGAGACGGTGCTCTCCGTTCTTGTCATGGGCAATGTGTGATGCCGTACACTCCGACGAGCATACTCTTGCTCGGCAGCCGTGTCTGAATCGTACTCGTCGCTCGTAGCAGACTCGTCGCCAGGATGAGACCGTTCGGGCAAGTGTAGCCTGAAATCACGCAATGAACCCACACGACGTATAGGCGTCTTGTGATCAGAGCTTTGACTGTCGGTCGAGCTGTTTCGTGAGCCCGACCTGCCCTCTTTGATGGTGATCAGACGGCGACCTCGAGTTTCCTCGGGCGAGACTGTGCCGCTGCCTGGCGTGACGGGATTGACGCCAGGCGAAGTAGCAAGACTGGTCATACTGAGCCAGCTCGGTCGACTGGTGAGACCACGGTGACCGTCTGCACTGGGCAAAGGCAAGGCAGAGCTAGTGGGTGTAGTTGGCCTGCTCGCCCAGGGCGTACCGGGCGCGCTGTAGAAGACTTCGTAAATGCTTTCGTAAGATGTCGAGCGTGAAGGAGGTCGTGAGGAATGTGGTGAGGCGTGAGGGGAAGTCGTGGCGGATGAATAGGCTGGCTTGCCATACTTTACCAGAATCGGGTTAGCGGCGTCATAGTCATACCGAACCGTGCCTCCGTGTTCTGTTTCCAATCGTCAGCTGATCCAACATGACAAGCCCGCCAACGCACGAGTGAGGAGGTGATCAGGCTCGAAGAAATCGGCAAGCTCGTCTGACGAAGGGAAGAGAATTCTATCGAGTGCAGGCTGTGGCAAGACACGCTTGGCGACTTGCCACATGCCCGAGTACATCCAGCCGTAGTTCACCACGAAGACTGGTACACACGAGCGTGAGCCACGGACTACCTGGCTCTGAAAAATGGGCGTACTGGCCGAGACCATGCCAGGAAAGTGCTTTTTGAGGAGGTCAATGAAATATGGCAGGAGCTCGACTTCGAGGTTCGACATGCCTGCACCTGCCAGATCGACAATGACGACGAGCTGGATGATAGGGCGACCGTCTGCTTCGTCCTCTGTGCTACTGGCAAGCGAGATCCTGCTGAGATCTGCCAACCAGCGGCGCGCGATTTCCCATCCAAACGCGATGAATTCCTTGAGACTGTCGAGTGATCCGTCTGGAGGGCGGCTGACGTGTTGCAAGTTGAGGATCCCGCATGGCCGACCCGATCTGTCGAGCAGGTCCGGGTGAAAGTAGAATACAGGTGCATCGATGTACTGTGGTTCAATCGAGCTCGCACTGAGCGTATCGAGCCCGGACTCGAGACGCCAATGCAGCGTGGCCTGCAGCAAGCTGATGGTGTTGGTTGTGTGGAATCTTGTCCGCCTGAGAAAGCGAAAGATGGTCACTGAAGCGCTCAAAGTTTAGCTGTCACAAACGGCGTAGGGCCAAGAGGTGAGCTGACCGGGATCATCGATGAACGCTCTAGCGCGTGACAAGCCAGAGGGAGACAAGTCGAGCTGATCTGCTAACTCTTGGAGGATGTCCTCGTGGCAGATGCGCTGAACCTCGAGGATCTGATCTCGATGTTCCTCAAATCCTTCGAGCAAGCTCTCATATTTGTCTGAGATCGCTCGGGCTTGACGGCCCAGCACACCACTGGTCATCTCAGCTGCTGTAGATCGTCTAGGGTCATCCTTGGAGTCTCGCCGATCCGTCGTCGACAGTGCCGCCCTTGCCGCGGTGGCATCACGTCAAAAGTTTGACTTGGGTCTTGCGAAAATCGTCAGAGGGGCAAGACAAGTCGCAAGCCGCAAGCCTCAGAATGGACGACGGTATGCCAGCCACTGGGCTCAATGTACGCCATGTGACTGATACGATGCAGGACGAGGGAGCTATGACAGCGGGCGGTCGCACAGACGCTACGACGACTACGCGAGGTCTGGGGAGGATGATCGGAGCAGCAGCAGGTACAGATCCTCCAGAGATGACTCTCGCTCGGCCTACTCTCGCTCTAGGGACGACGATCGCTACGTTGTCCCTACGACGTCATCTTCTTCCTCATCTCGAAGGGATGACTATGCTCCCCGTTCGAGCACAACAGCAACGACGACGAGCGCTTCGTCAGACTACCGTCGCAGAGACTACGACGACCGTCCTCGCCATGAAGATCGTCCTTCCCGCGGAGGTGGCTATGGTGGTGGCTACGGTGGAGGAGGAGGTAGAGGTGGCGGACGTGGCGGGTTTGGTGGGAATAGACGTTCACCCCCGAGAGAGGAAGTGAGAGAAAAGACGCCAGAGAACACGATCCCCATCTCCAAGCGTCGCCGTGCTCAGACTGCATGGGATGTGAGACCCATCGGCTTTGAGACCGTCTCTGCAGAGACTGCAAGGATGTCAGGCAAGTCCATATGCATGGTGCATCTACGACCGCGCTCATGATCGATTGTGCCGTGCAGGTCACTTCTTGCTGCCGGGACAGAACGGCGTTGTCAGGTTCCCTCCTGGCTTCCACGAAGGCAGGGGAGCTTTCGGCGGATTGAACATGTCTGGAGCAGGCAGCGCGGCAGCCCCCATGGGCGGCGTACAGCCCATCATCTCGTTCGCCCGCCAACAGCGACGACTCTATGTGGGCAACATCATGCCCACAGCCGACGAACAGAACGTTACCGAATTCTTCAATGCCAAGATGAGAGAGAATGGCCTGTCGCTCGACGACAAGAAAGTCGACGTTCAGACTGCCGACCCTGTCGTATCTGTCCAAGTCAACCATGAAAAGTCGTATGCGTTCGTAGAGGTCGGTCAAGGTTATGTTGCAAGAAACGTTCGCGACTGATTACAGTTGTGTGACTGGACAGTTCCGAAGCCCAGAAGAAGCTTCGTCTGCCATGTCGTTCGACGGCATCGTCTTCCAAGATCAGCAGCTCAAGATCCGTCGTCCCAAGGATTATACGGGCGACGAGTCCGGCGGAACTCACCTGCCAGGCGTCATCTCCTCCAACGTACCCGACACACCCAATAAAGTGTTCGTGGGCGGTCTGCCGAGCTACTTGGACGACGAGCAAGTGCTCGAGCTTCTGTCTTCCTTTGGCGAGTTGCGCTCATTCAATCTGGTCAAAGAGGGCCCACAGAATGCCTCAAAGGTGCGCTCAGCCCATGTCAGCATCACTTCTTGCTGACCATTGTTGCCGGGTGCGCAGGGCTTCGCATTCTGTGAATACGCCGATCCGAACGTGACCGACGCGGCTTGTGCTGGTCTGAACGGCATGGAGATTGGCGATCGCTACCTCGTCGTTCAGCGGGCGCAAGTCGGTGCCAATGTCTACAAGCACCCTGGTGGCTACGGGGGTAGCAATCCTGCTCTGCCGCCAGCACTCGCTCGGGTCGCTCCCACCATCTTTGGACAAGACGAGACGGCTCCCGCTACGCGATGTCTTCAGATGCTTAACATGGTCACACCGGAAGAGCTGGTCGATGACCAAGATTATGCAGACATCAACGAAGACATCAAAGACGAGTGCAGCAAGTACGGCGAGGTCATCGATGTCAAGATACCCAGACCTATCAAGGTTGGTCCTTCCTCTCTGCTTCTCGAGACCTGACTCATCCGCAAGACAGACTGAGAATGGCCGGATGGACGTCAAAGCGAGTGAATCGGTCGAACATCTCGGCAAGATCTTCGTCATGTTCGACTCAACAGAATCATCCAAAAAAGCCATTGATGCCATCGCGGGCCGTCAGTTCGGCGGTACGTCATCACTCTGCTCTGTCTCGCGACGCGTACTGACTCGCTCTGAGCAGGTCGGCTGGTCATCTGCGCTTATGAGAAAGAAGAGACTTTCCTGTAAAGCTCTGTACATGCAATCCACCCCACAACATGCGTGTTCATAGCCTCACTTTGTCCGCCCTCGTTTCTCCTCGTCCGCTTTGAAGGCAGCCTGTATCTCCTCCCAGTCCTGAGCATGTTTCGCTGCCAGTCTGTCCAGTCTGGCGTTACGATCTGCGTTCCATCGCTGGATGAGCGGCCAGAGCCGTCGTTCGACAGGCAGCTCCGTTCGAGGCGAGGATTCATAGATGGTGTATGCCCACAGACCTGACACTACGCCGAGCACCGGATCGAGCGTCCTACACTGTGAGCATCAGCTGATGCTTCTTAGATATTTGGCAGGAGCTTGCTTTGACACCAAGTACACCCGTGAGCCCATGACAGTGTCGACAGCAGATGGATGGTCGATGTCGCGCGCGGCCGTACGGAAGCTCAGCTCAAGAGAACTTTGAGTGACGAGACTAGCTTCGGATCACAGCAGACATTATGGACTTTTCAAGCGGATGATGTGAAGCAAGAGGACATGAACATCAACAAGATGCATCGACTACAACTATAGGAAGAAAGCCAGCCCATCCCTTGCTCAGAACGCTTCATATGCACGAGGATGTTCGGCTCCCTACNNNTTCCTANGCATCNTGCTCAGCACCTCGATGCTATCGGCAGACGCTTCAGCCTTCTTTCTCTTTTCTCGGCTTCTCACTGGGCAAAGGGGGAGAATTTGTTGGGGAGAGGAGAGGAAGAGAGTTGGGGAAAGAGTGACGACGGCCGCCTTCTTATAGCTCTCTGACGGTGTTTGCCAGCCATCTCTTGTGCTTCAATGCTGAACTCTAAAGGCGCTAGTGCGTGCGACTTATGTCAGCTCGCTCCCTCGACGCGTCCCACGCTGTATGCACGAGCGACCGATGCTTGCATCAAGATGTATGCATCCGAAATATCTCGGCCACTCTATTGACCGTTGGCACTCGTCCGCTTGGTCGGCGTCATCGGTACGTCGAGCTTCACGCTCGAGCCACGTTGAGATGACGGTCTTGAGAGTGGATGGGCTTTCCGGACATCGCCCAGACTGCTCGAGTGACTGAGTCCGTTTGTCAAACCGTTTGGAGGTGTGTGTACAGTGTAATCGAGCGTGACGGGGGACATCTGAGACGGAATGGCATCGAAGAGGTAGCTTATCGATTCGCCATAGTGACTCCTTCTCACTGTTTCTGCCAGGACATGACTCACGTCCACACAATGCAGTCGATCGCTCATCGCCAGATGCTCTTCTTGAGGCACTGTGTTGGTGATGACGAGCTTTTCAAGTTCTGATCCTGCCAGCTTCTCGAATGCTGGCCCGGACAGGATGCCATGAGTGACGAGAGCGATGACAGAGGTCGCGCCCGCTGCTTTGAGGTTCTGCGCCGCCAGGACCAACGTACCACATGTATCCGCCTGTCAGACCCTGAGCACGAGCTTTCCTCTGACATATATTGCTTACCATGTCGTCAACGAGAACAGCAGTCTTGCCTTTGACATTACCGACGAGGACCATGCGAGCGACTTCGTTTGCCTTCTTGCGTTCCTTGTGGAAGAGCGCAAAATCGAGGTCGAGTTTTGCTGCCATTGAGGACGCTCGCTTGGCTCCTCCTGCATCAGGCGAGACGATGACCGCGTTCTTGACATCAATAGATTCGCGCAGGTATTGCAGCATAGTCGGTTCAGCATAGAGCTGCGCCCCATGAGTCAATTGAGTCACGTAGAGCCACGGCCATGCTCACACTGCGCTTCCATGTCAGACAATGCGCAAGCTATGACCAGTGAGTACGCACTTGTCTACTGGCACATCAAAGAAGCCTTGGATCTGTGACGCGTGCAAGTCCATCGTCTGTGTCAACGTATAAGCGGCGATCCCTTCACAGACGTGGAGGGCCATACGATGACGTGATGGATGCCAGAGCAAACGAGCATGTTGGCTACTAGCTTGGCCGTGATAGGCGCGCGACTCTTGTCCTTCTTGTCTTGGCGGGCATACGGGAAATGAGGAATCTGACGCCGAAATGCCGGTCAGCGGTGCGTGCGCCAAGTGGGAAGTTGGCGCACGACGGCAGTGATCCGCTTTGCACTTGCTATCTTGCACGCGTGTGCCATGATGAGCGTCTCCATGAGAGCCACATTGGTCGGCACGCTCATTGCCGACGCCGTGCTATCACGACGCAGATCAGCCGGCGAAGGAATCTGCGAAACATGACTGACTTGATGATGTAGACATCCGCTTCTCGGACAGACTCTTTGAGATCTAGCGCAATCTCCCCAGATGGGTTCCTTCGAGTGACGGCAGCCGTCAGTGGTAGGCCAAGACTGAAAGAGCAAAAGTCAGAATGGTAAGCGGTACTGCTGCGCAGACGATGCCGACCGTCTTGCTATTGCCCATGCCAGTGCCGGATGAGAGCTGCCGGCCAGCAGCTTGATGCTCGAAAAGTGCGAGCTCATAGCCCTCCAATCGTCGTCCTTTGTCGAGCGGCTTGCCACGTGCAATCGCCCAGTCGCGCCGAACAAGTCAAAACGGCTGAGCCTGCCTGCACCACAAGCGAGTGTCGACCTGCTGAGCAGCGGCTTCGACAGTCTCTCAGCTCTACTCTGGACCGCCGACAGCTTCAAGCGAGCAGCAAGAGACGCCACGCGAGCTGACGCCGGCTGAGACGTTGCGCTCGCCAAGGCAACGCGTAGCAGCATTGCCAAGGCGTCGTAGGGCACAGCCTGGCTGGACCCGAGCTTCGCATAGCCCTTGCAGAGCCGTGACAACTCTCGCTCTGCTGTGTACACGCTGTCGCGCTGCCAAACAAGTCGGCTGATCCGTGGTTTCAATCAGCTTGCCCACGTCACCGGCTGCTTCAGCGACTTTGCACCATACACATCGGCTCGCTTAGCTATCCGCCTAGCTTGAGCTTGGATTACCAAGATGGCAGCGGCAGCACCACCTGCAGCCTCGCGGCAGTTCAATGTCGGCAAAGACTACCAGATTGTCGACTGTATCGGTGAAGGCGCATACGGCGTCGTCGTGTCCGCCATTCATCTACCGACGCAACAGAAAGTGGCAATCAAGAAGATCACGCCCTTCGATCATTCCAGTCGGTCGACCGCTTACATCTCGCGTGCGCCTCTCTGACACGCCCGCTATCTAGTGTTTTGCCTGCGCAGCCTGAGAGAAATCAAGCTGCTTCGCCACTTTCAGCATGAGAACATCATCTCCATCCTCGATATCATTCGGCCAGCATCCATCGACGCCTTCAACGAGATCTATCTCATCCAAGAGCTCATGGAGACAGGTATGCTCGCTCGCGCTGCATCACATCGCCCTCACTGAACGCACTGCTGCCCGCAGACATGCATCGCGTCATTCGCACTCAAGAGCTCAGCGACGATCACTGCCAATACTTGTGCGTGATCCGCAGAGAATCATCAGGCTTGGCTGATCGCCGGCGATTGAGTAGTCTCTACCAAACACTGAGAGGCCTCAAAGCTTTGCACTCTGCTGCGTGCGCGGCCAGTCCTTCGAGCTCCAGTCCCTCCCTGATTCGAATCACAGGGTCTTACATCGTGATCTCAAGCCCAGCAATCTGCTACTGAATGCAAATTGCGATCTCAAGGCAAGCCATTTGCATCGCAGCCTTTGTCGCTCATCTGTGCATAGATCTGCGACTTTGGCCTTGCGCGCTCATCGATACCCAGCCAGAACCAAGAAGGTCAAGGATTCTTGACAGAATACGTGGCGACGCGTTGGTATCGTGCGCCGGAGATCATGCTCACTTTCAAGGAGTATACCGTCCGTGTCCACTGCAGCTCATCAGGCGTCAGTTGCTGATGCGCGGTGACATCACAGAAAGCAATTGACGTGTGGAGCGTCGGTACCGTCCTCGCAGAGATGCTCTCAGGGCGTCCTCTATTCCCAGGCAGAGATTGTGGGTGAACCTCGCGGTTCCAGTTGTGCAGCACTGAACAAAAGTCTTCGCCGGCAGATCACCATCAGCTCACGTTGATACTCGACGTACTCGGCACACCGTCGCTCGATGACTTTTACGCGATCCAGTCGCATCGTTCGCGCGATTATCTTCGAGCATTGCCCTTCAACAAGCGCAGACCCTTCTCGACCATCTTCCCCAATGCCAATCCGCTCGCCATCGATCTGCTCGACAAATGTCTGACTTTCAACCCCAAAAAGGTGAACTCCTTTGCTGAGCTTGTATCGTCATCCTGATTGTGATTGCAGAGGATCACCGTCGAGGAGGCTTTGGCGCATCCTTACCTTGAGCCCTATCACGACGCAGATGATGAGCCCAACGCGGATCCTCTCAGTATCGAATTTTTCGCATTCGATCATTCGCCTACACCTCTAAGTCGTGAAGAACTGAAAGGTCGGTCATTGCTTCTCGAAGCAGATGTAGCCCTGACTCGTAGTGGCAGAGTTGATCTACGAGGAAGTATGTCACTAGACCGCTCGCAGTCCTGTTGCCTGTACAATGAGAAGCCATGTAGCAAGCCTGCAGGCCGGGCTCGAGCGTCCAACGTCGCAAAATGCATACCAACAACATCAAATTTGCGTGTGTCGTACATGCTCAGAACGAAGGAGCGGCAGTGAGGAAGAGAGAGTCGACATGTTTGTCGATCCACTTGCTTACCGAGTGTGCGACGGCCACAACGGCTGTCTTGGGTAGCAGAGGCGATATAGCGACATACATCTCGAACGTGCTCGTGCTCTGCGTCATATCAGTGCTGATCGTGCGATGAGATGGAGACACTCACCCAGCCCAGAACGGCTTCCTCCTCTGTTAGAAGGTAGATCAGTCGGGCTGGCTGCTTGCCATGATCTGTGGCCGGTTTGCGTAGATGCATGCGATCATACGTTTCTTGGTAGAGGCGAATCAACCTGCTTCTATTGTGAGATACGCTCGAGCAGAAGCACGCAGCGCGCCTTTCGCGATCGTCTTGCTCGCTATATGGACCTTCCCATGCAGGTGAAGTCACTTGCACGTATGTCTTTGACTTGTAGATAAAGTGACGCAGACCGGCAATCGACAGATCGCCTGATAGCCTGTGTTAGCATGGACGTGACCCCCGAAGAAGTTCCCTACCAAGAGAATAAGCCTGAGAGACAACACTGGCTTCCAAGGTCTTGAAAGTTGGCGCCATTTGTAGCTTCTGAACGAGGTCATGTGCCCGACTGAGCCGCTAAGATTGCCTGTCTACAGAAGTGCGCTCACCTCTGCGACGTTGCTTTTCCATTCTTGACAGTCAAAGAACGCTTCTCGATTGCCACCGATGAAAACGATTCCGATTGAAACGCTGATGAAGCTGATGTACGCGTGCAAGAAGCCGCTCGAATTATATCGGGGCAGACAGATCGGCAGCCAAGACTCGCTACCGGGTATGGTGAGGGAAGTGGAGGAGTTGATCGTGTTGAGCAGGACATGCAGGTCTGCCGGATGTACATGCTGACCTTTTGGTCTTATCAGCGTGACGACTCGTCCACCCGCTAGTACGATGGCATAGAGCAAGTCCTTGCGCTTTTCGGTAGGCATGAGCGCTTGGCCGACAGCTTCACGCGTTGCGCCGTTGATGCGGAAGACTTCGAGTGAGCCGGTGAGCAATGCCAAGCTGCTCTGTGCAGAAATGACCATGCTCTTGAGAAAGCCTTCGGTGCCTTCGAGCATTCGCCGCAAGTCGAAATTGTGCCGTTGCTCGAACACGCGCCGCAGTTGCGTCAGGGATAAGGCAGACAAGACTTGCAGATGCAAGTAGTCGAGATGCATGCGGAGCTGTTACCGCATCAGCGCGCACTTCGCGTAGGGATGCAGCCTACGTACTACTGATAGAGGCTCGCCAAAGCCAGAGCAGCAAACGTAATAGAGCGGCGTACGCATAAGAAATGCGATCTGTACCGAGCCCGCTTTGATGACCTTGAGACGATCTCCCTCGTCTGCAAAGATAGAGATGATGGCTTGCATGACGCCCATATAGCTCGTCGTCGCATCTTCATCTTGCTCCTCGCTACTGAACACAGGCTTGCCAGCGCTCGTCAGAACGAAATACGATCTCTTGCGTGCTTCACTCGCACCACTAGCCGTCAGCTTCAGCCGAGCTAGTGGCGCCTCGATAGCTGAATTCGGCGGATGTGATGCCTGGACAGTCTCTACGCGGTCAGTCGAGCGCATGCGATCCAGGGTTGCTCGGAGTTGCACGCGCGGGTCGGGCGCTTCGGTGCTCGGACCACTGTCTTCGTGCGGTGTGAGGTTATCGAGAGGCGGCTCGACAGGTACAGGCTGGCTGTCCTCGATGACAGAGCGGATACTAGGCTGTGAACTGCCCTTGTCGGACTCATGATCGGCCAACCTTGAGCCTGGCCGACGGATATCAAAGGAAGCAGTCGCTTCGGTGAGAGCAACGGTCGAGCCTGCCGATGTACCGCTATCGAAGAGGATCCTTGATGTCTGACGTCTGATGGTTCGTTTGGGGATAATGTCATTTGCAGAGCTCGATCGCGATAGCGTCCTATTCGCGCTCGTGTGACTGCTCCCGACAGGCGAGGCAGGAGGTAGACCGAGTCCGATATGAGCCTTCTTGCTCGGTGACGGTGTCTGAGCGCCTGCATACTCACTCGCCGCTATGGACGCTGTCACTTCCGAGCGAGCGACGAGTCCCTTGCCGGAGGCTGTGCTGGCCGAAGAGAGCAGTCTTGGCCTCGCTCGCGTCTTGCTCGGCGTGACGCTGACCGACTGTTTGGCGCTCTCCTCAGGCGCATCTCGCTGGCCCATGAGACCATCGACTGTCTCGAATGTCAATCGACTCGCGACGCGACGAACAATCTCATCGATTGGATGCAGTTGGCAACAAGGTACAGACATGCGTGATCACTAGAGTCTTGCCACGTCCGGCAAGCTCACCTTGTCTCTGATGAGCTTCTGGCTCAGTTCCCAGAGCCTGTCAGCATTAGCGTCATCGAGCGCATACTCTTTGGCCTGACCGTTGGCCAGCCGGCAGTCTACGAGGTAGGCCGGCGAGGCGCTCTCGATCTCGGGATCGAATGCCGCCACGATGTGCGTTGCTGTACCTTCAGAGAGCGTCTTCCATACGCCCGAGTCGAGGTTGGGCGAGCCGTCCTCGTTGTAGGCATTGTACTTGGCCCGGAAGCCCGCAATGTCTGCCTCGTCAAATTCGCGCTGAAGTGGCGTATGGATGCCTCCGGGATGAAGCGCAAAGGATGAGAGCTGCTTGTACCGCTTCGCGAGTCCGACGGTGAAGAGGATGTTAGCAGTCTTGGCCTGTGCGTAGCCTGCCCAGCGTTCGTACTCTTTGCCGTTGCTAAAGTTGTAGTCTTCGAAGCGCACGTTTCCAGCAAGATGACCTGTCGATGAGACGTTGATGATGCGCGGCGAAGCGCTTGCAAGTATCTTGGGCAGAATCTTGAGCGTAAACGCAAAGTGACCGACATGGTTGGTCCCGAACTGGAGCTCTGTGCCATCCGCGGTCGTCTTGTACGTTCGCACGGCCATGACGGCCGCGTTGTTGAACAGTGTATCGATGCGTGGGATGTCGTGATTGTCGACGATCGATTGGCCGGCTTGGTTCACCTGTGAAAGTGAAGCGAGATCGAGTTCAAGCGCTTGCAGCTTGGCGTTTGGCGTCTCCTCTCTGATGGCAGAGATGGCATCCTGCATCTTGTCGAGTGACCGACCGGCCAGGATGACGAGTGCAGGGGCAAATTGGGCGAGCACGCGAGCGCATTCGAAGCCGAGTCCTCCTTTGGATGCGCCAGTGACGAGGACTGATCATCCGGGGAGATCACGTCAGCCTTGCATCTAGCCAACACATTTCCTTGGAGCACGCACTGTATCGGCCTGCGATGCGGTCTTTGAACTTGCGAGCGACTTCTTCGGCCGTCGTCTTTGCGCCGAACGAATGTGCCATCTGAGCGAATGCAAGGCGAAAGGCTTTGTCAGCCGGGGTCTTAGAGGATTGACATTGTCATGAACGGCGACGACGACGACGCGTTGGCGTTGGCCGAGAGGAGCGCGGCCATCCGGCAATGACCGACTTGCGATCGACTCTACCGGTCATATTGGGCTGGCTCCCGTTCAGAAAGGAAATCAAGAGCGCACTCGTCTCTTCTCTCCGACTGGGGCCGCTGCCCAAGCATGTCGCCCTCATCATGGACGGCAACCGTCGTTTCTCGCGTCGACTGGGCGCAAAGCCTATCAAAGGCCACGAAGCAGGCTTCGAAGCCCTCAAATCTGTGCGCTTCTAGCTTTCCCCATCCTGCGACACAGTACCCTTAGAAGCCGTGGAATTGCACAGCTACTCGACTTTTTCTTGCACCTCGATATCACGACGGTGACCGTTTACGCATTCAGTATAGACAACTTCAGACGGACTGAGGAAGAAGTAGAGGGTCTCATGGATCTAGCGAGGAACAAGCTAGGCGAGTTGTGTCAGAAGGGGTAGATGCTTGGCCGTACAGCCTCTGACGCGCTGCTGATGTGACGCTGGCAGTGAGCTGCTACAGAGGTACGGCATACGTGTGCGAGTGATCGGGAGAAGAGACTTGCTACCCATCGAGGTGCAACGAGCCTGTCTATCTGCCGAACGTCTCACTGCGCACAATACAAGGTCGGCTCAGGCGCTTCCTGAATTGGCAGAATGCGAAATAATCCAGAGCTTACACACAGAGGATGCTTGAATATCTGCTTCCCTTACACTTCACGCGACGAGATGACCCAGTCATTACGATCTGCGATCTCAGACGTGGGCGATCACCTCATCGAGCCATCGTAAGCATGCCTGCCCAGTACACCGCACTGGGTCCTCACACCCTGCGCAGTGACATAACGCCCGAACTGCTAGATGATAGGCTGTACACTGCCCAGACTCAGATGGCCTATCTGGAAGAACCGAGCGAGCCCGATATCCTCATCCGGACGTCTGGCGTCTCGCGCTTGTCTGACTTTCTGCTTTGGCAAATTAGCGACCAGACGAGCCTGCATTTTCTGCCAAGATGCTGGCCCGATATCGGTGTGGCCGACGTCTTGCCTGTCCTGCTAGGTTGGCAAGCAGAGCGGATACGAGCAAACTTTATATCAGCATTGCATTGGTGAGACAATTGTACAATGTACATCTGCACAACAGTTCGCCTCAAGTAGTCACACCAGCGGCTTCTTTCTTCTTCTTCGTATTCGGGCGAGTGCGTTCTTTCCGAGGTGCAGTTCCTGAAGCTCTAGCATCGGCCGCGGCGTACAGTTCGTTCATCGTTTCTTCGACATCGATGGGATGGGCAGGTGCAGGCAGGGCTGCCTCGGCGCCGTTCGTCGTAGAATCGTCTCTGGACTGGGGCAGCATGAGTTCGTTGAGAAGGTGAACGAGCGTTGAGCCTGCTTGGACGGCGCTGAAGATCTTCTGATCAAAGTCGGCCGAGATGACTTCGGCATCGCTAAAGTTATGTGCCGCTACAAACGATTTGAGTCTGTCGAGCCCTTGTCAGCAGATCTTTGCCCAACATGCACGTGTCTACTGACTTGAGCAGCTCTATCTCCGGATGGTTCTTATCTACGCCCTCGATCTTGGGAGCTATCTTCAACCTATCTGTACTCGCATAGATGTTGCGGCCTTGTATGTCGCCCGCTTGGGTCACATCCGCCCAAGGTGGCGGCTCGATAGCCGCTCGAGGCGAGACAGCCTTTGCTTTGCCTTTGTCTTCTGCAAAACTATTGTCTGAGGACGTAGCTGTGCCAGAGTCGCCCTTGACGGGCACGACTTTTGATTTGCCTTTGACCCGCACTTTCTCTATGACTGGCTCCCCATCGCTGTCCTCTTTGGCTCCATCGGCTTTCTTCCGCTTGCCGTTCGCCTTTGGCGGGACGACTGCATTGACAGGAGGAGGAATAGGTGGTCCAAATTGGGCAACAAACTCATTTTGACTGACGACCCTCTTGAGCGGTCCAGAGTCATTGAGGATGTTTGTTCGAATGGTTGCAAGATCGTTCCTGTCCATGTCAAACTTGCCGCAGTACAGCGTTGTTGCGCCAGGCTTGAGCAAGAGGAAGTAGCCAGCATAAGGACCCTTCTTGCCGCTCCGAGACATGGTCGCCTGGAAGAAAGTATTATAGGGCGTCTTGTTCTGGCTGAACCTGATGTCTCTGTAGATCCGTCCGACGAGCCTCTTTGCGGGGAAGACGGGCAGTTGCTCGTCTGCTCTTGCCATGACGGTCTGGACGTGATCGACAAAGTTGAGCCAGTTGGCCAGTGCATGGTCATAGCGCGCTTTGTTCTCTGCAAACCACTCGCGGTCGTTGCGCTCTGGTATCGTCAGATCGCCCAGAAAGGCCAGCGTAGACGGTTCGACGATTCTCTTGAGCGGAGCAGTAGAAGGTCCGGGAACAATCTTCTTGATTGCAATCACTCGGTCATCTGAGTCGTCGCCGTCCTTGTCCGCATCAGCTTCTTGTACCGCGACTTTCGCTGTTGCCTTTGCTGGTTTGTTAGGCGAACGCCGCTTCTTCTTCGGCGGAGGAGGATCGTCGTCGATGTTCGAGCTAGCCATCGATTCGGAGTCGCTGACTTCCTCTGCTGTGTGCGCATCATCATCATCATCATCATCATCAACGAGCTTGCCTTTGCCTCTGATGCGCGCTCGGGTCTTGCTGGCTTCTTCAGCTGAGCGCTCGTCATCAGAGCCAGAGATGGGCGACTCCTTGTAGCTCGGTGCATCGTTCTTGCGTGGCCGGGCCATATCGCATGAGACCGGACAGCGTCCAGTCAAGTCGACCTTGGCAGCTCATCAGCTGTCGTACAATCGCATGTCGCGTCTCGAGCCGAGCAGCTCGGAGCTTTGAGGTGAAGACCTCGGCACACCCCTCCCGCGGTGCGATGTCGCTATCAACAACATGCAGCGCCTGCTCCAGCCTGCGCTGGCTGGAGCACTCGATCACAGTCGCAGTTGCGCTGCGCTCACGCTCACGCTCAGCCTTTGACCGTCAAAGACGACCCTTGTCCCGACGATGCTTTAGCAAGAGTGCCCCTTCTCTAACCGACATCAGCGGAAGCACTGCACCGACGAGCACTGTATGGAAAGCAGAGAGCTGGGGCTCTTTCAGCGATCACTTGCCCAATATCTCGCACATGAAGCAAAGGAATGACAAGAAACGCAGCAAAGTACGATCAGCTCCATTCACGATATCCCCATGGCGCTGACACGTGACGTCAGGCACCGAAGCGACATTTCATAGATCAGCTCATCGTCAGACTCGAATCTGGCAAGGGCGGCGATGGTTCGGTCGCTTTTCAACGCGAGAAATTCAAAGAGCAGGGTCCGCCTGCTGGTGGTAATGGAGGTCAGGGGGGTGCGGTCTACATCCGAGCTGTAGCAGGCTTGACCAGCCTAGGCGGTGTCACCAAGCGGGTGAGAGCCCACAATGGCGGCGCTGGCGCTGGCAGCTGGATGCATGGACGAAAAGGCGATGACGCGGTACTGACTGTGCCCGTGGGTACGATCGTCCGCCAGATAGAGGAGCTCGAGCCTGCGGGACCCTCTTCGAGCAATCCTTGGACAGAGCAAAGACCGAGCACGAGTTTGCGACCGACAAGGAGAGAGAAGGAAGCTCTGCGTGATGCAGATGACATACTGGACGATCGCGCACAGCAATTGCGCTTCATGAGACATGCTGGCATATCACCAGACGATGCTTCGAATATGCTCGAAGAGGCAGCGCTCAAGGAGCAACGAGAGAGACTATTCGTCCACTTTCCCAACTTCGGCGAGTCGAACGAGTCCGACGAGAACTTTCTGCGGATAGAGCAGCAATTGCTCAAGCTCGAACGACAAGAGCAAGCGGACAAGGAGGCGTCTCCTCCCGTCTATCACGATCTCGACATGCCGACTCCCGAGGGCGAAGAGATCTTACTACTCGAAGGCGGCCAAGGCGGCTTGGGCAACCCAGCCTTTCTGAGCAGCACCCGCAGAACGCCTCGTTACGCGACGCGCGGACGACCTGGACGTATACTACGGATCGAGCTTGAGCTCAAGAGTATAGCAGACGTCGGCTTGGTCGGCTTCCCCAATGCTGGCAAGAGGTGCGCCTCTTGCGATCGGCTTAGGCTTAGCTGATCAAGTTTGCAGTACTTTCTTGCGAGCGGTGACGAATAGCAAGACAGAGATTGCCTCTTATGCCTTTACGACGCTCAACCCTCAGATAGGCACCTGTCTCATCTACGATGACGGTACGTTCGGTGACGGTCATTCGCAGCCCATCGAGGATACATCGGATGCAACGCGTAAGCACAAACTAGAGCTTGCCGAGCGACAGCAGTTGTACGACACTCGAAGGGTCGAACGGTTCAGAATGACGCTGGCAGACTGTCCAGGTCTACTACCCGACGCGTCGCTCAACGTCGGTCTGGGCCATGCCTTCCTGCGTCACATCGAACGATCCAAAGTACTGGCATACGTTGTCGACCTTTCAGCTGCTACGCCCTGGAGCGATCTGTTCGTCCTCAGAGATGAGCTCGAGGCGTACCAGCCCGGGCTCAGTAACAAGGCTCGGCTGATCATTGCGAACAAAGCGGACATGCTTGCCGATCCGAGCATGGCAGGCGAAGCTCAAGCTAGACTGGCAAAACTGAGACATACTGCAACATCGCTCGAGGTCGACGACATCCAGGTCGTGCCGGTCTCTGCCAAGCTGAGACTCAATATAGGCAGATCGGTCGATTACTTACGGTCCATGGTTGAGGCCGGTCGTGCCCGCGAACGAGAACGCATAGAGATAGCTCAAAGTAAGATAGAAGATCAGTAGAAGAGATAGAGATGCCGAGGTCGAGTCCATCTATGCATTTCGATTCGTACAATTTGAGCTTGGATTCTCACTTTGGTGAGGCATTGCTCAGCGACTTTGCCTTGAGCAAGATGTCTTGCGGTCCCAGTCCCTGTACTTCCACATCAGCATAACGCACAGAAGAGAGAATGAAAACACACCTGGTGGAAGATCTGCTCGCTGAGACCACCGCAGCCCTCCTGTCACGGTACATAATCGATCAGCCGTTGTCAAGCTGCTACGAATATGTCAACTTGCCTTATTGGTGCCCATGTAGCCATAAGTAGGCTTCAAACCGCGTTCGAGCAACCATGTGCCCATCTGTATGCACAGTGAGCCTACACTGCCATCGCGAGTTATCGTGGGCGCACCTTTGAGCCAAGGCCGGTCTTCTGGTTGGCAGATTCGACAACGAGTACAAAGGGCGAAGAGCCATACTCCTTGATCGCATCCTCGTCAACGACGTTCATTGTGACTTTGTTGACGAGTGCGATATCGTAGCCTTCAGCTCGCAGGCGCTCGACAGCATCAAGGCAGCGGTACGTCATCTCGCCATACGTGACAATCGTGCCAGCCTTGCCAGTGCGGACGTATTCATCCTTGCAAGGAACAAATTTGTAGTCGCCTTCGTAAAGCTTCTCTTGCGTGCCCTCTCTGAGAATCCAAGGTACCTTTGAGCGTGTGGAGAAGACGAACCGGATGCCCCTATCCTTGAAGACCGCATCGATGACAGCTCTAAGCTGCGATGGATCGGCAGGGAAATACATGCGCGTCTCGTGTGCATCGAGCAAGCCATTATCGAGGAAGAAAGAGTTGATGCCGAAATGACAAGTGTTGTCGGCCATTTCGTCGCAACCCGAATGCGAAAAGTGGGTGAGCACGTTGCAGAAATTGAGACGGGCCATGGTCAGCTCAGAAGTGATCATCTCGGAGAACGCAGTGAAGGTAGAGAAGATGCCTTGCTTCTCTGATTCGTGGCCGAATCCGAATCCGGCAGCGGCAGAAAAGTTGCCCCTTTCCATGATACCAGAGCTTTGGAACACCTCTGGGTGCTTCTCGTGGATCTTCTTGAGTCCCGTCGAACCCTCGAGATCAGAATCGATGCACATGACCGTGCGAGCAGCCTCTTCCTTCGTCATCTTGTCAAGCTGGGCGTTGACAGCGTCGCCGAATTCGACACGGCAGGCGCCGAGCTCTTTCGAGACGCCAGTATACAGGTAAGGATTGGGTGCAGGTTTGATATTGCTCAAAATCTCGCCGACAGTATCAGGATAGCCACGGTCCTTGAGGTATTTGATCGCTTTGGGCACAGGGATGACATCGTGACCGTGCGTGCTGCCCTCGAGACCGTCAATGCCGGGACACATGACGCGCTTGACAATGAGAGCTGTAGGTCCATCGTGCGCCACGAGGTCGCAGACTGAAGCGTACAGCTTATCAATATCCTCGCCTTCCGTGTCAAAGACCTTAAGACCATGTCCCGCCAGCGTCTTGGCCACAGAGTAGCCAGGCATGTACTGTGAAGGGTGACCAGCAATCGTGACATCGTTGTCGTCAATGAGGAGCTTGACGTTGAGGCCCTTGGCAACTGCAAGACGCGCCGCTTCTGCGTCGTCGCCCTCTTGCTGCGATCCGTCCGAGCCGAGCAAAATGACATTCTTATCGCTGTTGGCTAAGGCGACACCATTGACAAGCGGCCACATGTGCCCGAGTCGTCCGGATGAAAACTTGATCCCTATAGGGCAAGACGGCCTCAGCGCCTAATATCCGCTCCATGGCGCAGTACGCACCAGGCGTCAACCCGAGCTCCGGATGACCGGGAAGCTTGGATGATGCTGCTCGGTAGTTGAGCAGGTGTGAAGCCGGCATATCACCATTCAACACGCTCAAGAGATACTGAGTCGCCACACGATGTCCTGCCTCGTCGAAGAATATCGGCAAGAATTGTGCAGGCGAGTGATTGAAGAAGGCAAGCAGGATGTTGACTTCTGGTGCCGTGTCGTAGGGCCCGCCGGTATGGCCAGACACACCTCGAGCGGCGCCGGTGGCCGTGAAGAAGACGATAGCATCCCGGAAGAGCTTGATATTGCTCAGCAGGTCTGAACGCTCCTGCTCTGATAGCGTCTTCTTCTTTGGATCAAGGGAAAGCTTCTTGAACTTGCTCAAGTCGACAGGAAAGTCCGAAAAGTCACTGTGGGAAGCCATTTTATACTGCTGCTACTCTGCTAATCTGCGCAGACCGCAGTGACGCACGAGCCGAGTGGGACAGGACTGGCGCTTCAAGCTGCAAACTTGTGACGTGCTCAAATTTGGTTAGTCTGAATCATGAAAACCGCTCATGAAAATGTCAAGCCGGCCGGCGATCGCTGTCACGAAAGGCAGAGTCCTTTGTCCCCGCGCTCCTCCGAGATTGAACTCTGTCAAGCGTTGCCACGCAAGGGAGACTTGTTCGCGGGGCAACAGGCACGTGGTGGCCACATCCTCAATTGAGGATTGCCGCCTTTTCTTTTGCATGACCAGCCGCACCCCAGATTCATCACGCGCGCTGTACGTCCGCAAAAAGCTGAATATTTCAAGCAGAGCAAAGCACAGTGAATGCTGGATCGGTGATTTGAGTTGCCGATTGTGTCTCGCGACTCGCCCTTCTTGCCGTCACCGCACTACTTTCGCGGCTTCGGCCAAGCCAATTCGCTTGGCGACAATCCGCTGCGATTTGTCCGAGACCGCAACGACTGCTTACACAGTGCCGTCCATTTAGTGACGGTCACACGATTGTGTAGCCGCAGCGAGCTACGACGATCTATAGCTGTCGCGCCAGAGAGACAATGTCATCTGGGCGGCAATAACAGGACTCGCTGAGCGGGAAGCCTTTCAGCAATGTCTATCGCACCTATGGATGAGATGGATCACGAAGAAGCTTTCGAGCTTCGCGGCGGCGACGAGCAAGCACCTGTCGCTTCATTCGTCGATCCTCATTTGTCAACGAACGCCGACATCGAGATTGCTCAGACTAAGCAACGAGCACCTGCCTTTTGGCCGCCGCTCTGGGAGCAACGTCGAAGCTTCTGTCTCTCTGTTCTGCGCAAAGCCGGCGTTCGCTCAGTTCGTCAGACTTCAAATGTGGCGGACGTAGAACTCATGACGCCTAAGCAGGTGTGCGAGCTCGGCTGCGGCGAAGGTTCCTTGCTGTCGTTGCTCTCGCAGCCTGCAGATTCGCTCGACGACTTTCCGCCCTTTCTGCCCCCCGATGCTCAGGATAATGAACGCTTTCACCTTGCCATTCCGACCGAAAGAGGTGAGCTACACCCGCTTTATGGTGACTCGGCTCAGGCCAGGCGTGACAGACGAGGGAGAAGCAGACGATGAAGCAGATGAGCCAAAGATCAACGGCCACAAGAAGAGCAATGGCCACGCGCGTGTTTCTAGCAAAAGAGGACGGTTGACAGATCTACGTAAACTGCCTCAACCTTCGGCGTCAGAAAAGGAGCTTCACATTCGTCGTCTTGCTGCTCTGGACATACGTCGCGATGAGCTCGAGCGAGCTATCGAAGGCACTCAACCACTCGCGCCCGAGGAGCTTACTCCGGTCCTTTACGCGGAACATCTCGTTGCATCCGGAGGCCCGGGCCAAGGTGGTGTCACTGTCAATTCGCCAAAATCTGCGAGCCTCAGACTACCATCGACGACATATTATGATCGACAGTCCGAACGGTGGGAAGAGCTTCGCATCGAATTTTGGCATGGAGGACTCGAAACGTACAACGAGTCTATCGATTCATGCGAAGCCTTCGTAGCGTCGGAAGTGCTCGAACATCTACCTGACAACATACTCAAGAAGTTCGGCAGCGTCGTGCTAGGGCATTACCGACCTCGGGTTGTCGTTGTCACGACCCCCAATTACGACTTCAATGCCTTCTTTCCTGCATCAGCAGACGAACAAGACAGGCCTCAGCCGGCAGCATCAGTAGACTTGGAGGCCAATCCACGATGGCGGTTCGCTGATCCAACGGGCCGTACTGATCGAACTTTCCGGGACCTTGATCACAAATTCGAGTGGACCCGAGTAGAATTCAAGGAATGGTGCGCTCGCATGGCTTCGGAGTACGACTACGACGTCGAGCTGGCGGGCGTAGGCTCGCTTGCCAATTACTATGGCGCCGGCTTATCTGAACGTGAGCTATTGAATCGCGTACGGTCAGCAGTCAGCTTGCATGCTGAAAGGCCAAAGCTGCCGCCGAGCCTAAACGCTTTCTTCGCGACTCAGTGCGCGGTGTTCAGGCGTCGATTTGCACACGAGAGCGAGCGGCCACATCGATCGCCACGCATGGCTCCCCTGCCGTTTTACAAAAAGCCGGCTTCGCCCAAGTTGCAAGCGACGGGAAGGATACCTTATGGCTCACAGAGAACCATCCCGCCGGTCACGTATCCTTCACCGCATGAGCTACTCAAGACGCACATCTATCCAGCACATCTAGCAGCAAATCAGCCGTTAACTTTACGCAAGATCAGACGGATTCTTGCGCATCTTATGCAGGAGCAAATGCAGCTCCCGAGAGCGACTTTGAGAGCTCTCTACTCGCGTACGGTTGTCCGACAGGCTTGCGGAGGCTACATCATGAAGATACTCGAAGCTGTGTTGGATGATAAAGAGGACGAGTGGGACTTCGAGATCGTACCTGGCGAATCTCGAGAGGATGCAGTCTTGATACACCACAAAGGGCATATCGAATCTGCTCGCGGCCTTGACAAACATTTGTCAGATGCGCTGCCGGACGCAGATAGTCAAAATTACTCAGCGACCCAAGAAACGACGTATGACAGTTGGGAGCGTCCGGGTGACGTCAATCGGATGCAAAATGGTCACCACTCAGCACCTTCGTCCGGTACCAATGGCGACTGGTGATCTGAAAGAGATCGAAGTCTGCAAATCTGTTCAATGCTACTGTTGACCACAATATTGCAAATCGGATTAACAATGAGCGTTCCAAGCAACATCTTTCTGTCTAGATGGTATTGAGGCTGACTCGGACCGCGCTCACGCTTTCAGTTCAGTGTCTGTCAGTAAGTATCGAGCTTTGCCTTCACCGCAAACAACGCGATCAATGCCTATTGCAAATGCGCCGCCGAGATTCTTGAGATCCGTCGGATGAGTATGACGACTGCTGTGAAGAGCGATACTTCCAGAGATCTTCCTGATGCGGGCTTTCGCTATCTCCAATCTCGCGCGGTAAGCATCGCGATCATCGACGTCAGGAGGTTTCAGGTAGCCTAAGAATGTGGTCTGTTCAGCCTGTATCAGCCCGTGATTGCAGAGCGATTGGCAGACTTACGGCAGCCTCGCCTCGGACATCCACGTAGAGTCTTTCGCGAACTGCGTCAATGTCATCCATCTCTTGTGCACTCTCGTCCTCAATAAGAATGACAAATTCCCATCTGAGCTTGCCGTTGCGTAGCTTTAGCCAGTCTGTGGCCGGTGGTATGTCACGCAGACGTGCGCGCACATGAAAGCGCTGGGCGGTCGGTTGCTCTGCCAGAATGGCACTGATCTTCGCAACCGTCTTGCTTGACAAAGTGCAGACAGTCAAGGCTGCAATTGCATAAGCGTCGCTGCGTTACCTTTGCAGTAGAACTCACCTGGCTTGGGAGCTTCGAGGCGTGCACCGCCATCGCGGCCAGTTTCGGGATCTCTGTCATGCTTTTGCTTTCGCCTGTCACGCATACGCGTCAGCGCATCTCATATCAGTGCCAATCTACGAACGCAAGTAGATCGGTCAAGAGCTGATCATCGGGCTCCATCGTTTTGCAGAAGCGTTCGAGCCGGGTTCTCTGGTTGCGATCATTGTCGCGCACGTCTAGTACTAGGTCCCCGCTGCGATCGAGTCGAGCGTGTCCATTGCGAAAGTAGATGAATGTGCCGCGGTGAAGCTTTTGCTCGCGTAAAAGATCCCCACAAGCGTCCCAGATGGCGACCTTGATTGTGCCGACGTGACCATCCGAGTTGACACGTGGATTCTCTGTGTAATCGGTGATTCTGACTTCAAAGGGTCGCCCCTTCTCTTGCGGGTAGACGTTTGTAATCTCGCCAACAACGTCGTAGAAGCTCTTCTCAACCATCGTCTCGATAAGCCGAAGCCTTTCCGCCCGCACCGTCGTGCCTTGTGCCGCCTGGGCCGGCTGGGTGGCCGCCTTGAGTCTGATCTGCAGTTCGGGACCATCTGGCGGATCACTCTTGGGAAATTGGACAGGTTTGTGATCGTGCTCATATGCTGTCCGGCTTTTGTGTAGGTTGGCGAGCGCAGGATGATTCTCGTCAATGATCTCGATGCATGGCGCGCAGGACAGTGCGTCTTTGAGCTGGGATACCTTGATTTCGAGGCCTCTCGGACTCGCTTTATCCCATTTCGGGTAGCCTCCCGTGATGAGTAGATAGTCGCCTGGCTTTACATCGGAGATGTGCTGTTGCTCGTCTCTATGGATCGAGAGCGCCACGATACGCTTGCCTAGCACGGGGCCTACTCTATAGTCTTCTAGATCGCAACACTCGGTGTAATCCGTCGCCCGTATACGCCAGAAGAGACCCCGAGTCGCATCGGGACTGACAACCTGGACAACTATCGTCTGTCGCTGGTAAAGCATCATGTCTCTGATCGAGACAACGAGTTGAGCAAGATGAGTGATGCTGCTCATCGGAGAAGTCTCGCGTTTCTGGTCTGTCGCGGTCGATGTCGTTTGAGTAGACGATGGTGGCACATCTCGAGATTGTTTGCTCGGTTTATGGGCATCTTCGCGAGAATCTCTTTTGCGTTTGCCGTTGCTTGTAAGGATTTCGGATAACTTGTGATCGTTGAACGCGATCTCGCGTCTGCACATGCACATCTTGTGAGCTACAGCAAGCCACGCACACATATGACGCACTCTTTGATCGGTTCGAGGCGAGCTTCGCTTGGCGGTACGATACGAAAAGATCCGTACTTGCTGTTGCACTTGAGCTCCCAAATCTCGAGTTTCGGCGAACACGCAAAGGGGGCCGAGTTGATCTCGAGAAACATGCCCTGTTTAGGGCACATCGACTGTATCAGTGTATGCTGGCCATCCCAGAAGCTGACTTGTAGGACATGGCGGCCTCCGGCACGCGTTTCGAATTGCTCAGGAAGGCGCTCATTGCTAGTGTAATCGGTCGCCTGAATGAGTGTCGCCTGATTAGTCTCTGGCTGAGCTTTCGTTCTTACGGAGAGCACGTGAACGATGACAGAGCTCAAAATGACATTGCTAGGCTTGGATGGCTTGAGGTCTCGCACAAGCACTAATCGCTGAATATCGACAGGCTCGCTGGGCTCTAGTTTTGGCTTGGGGAAGAGCACACGGACAGGCGAAATCAATATTGAAGGTGTGCGGTCCGATGACGGGACACGAGCACATCTGAGACTTCTGGGCGTGTGTAAAGAGCTTGGCGAATGCTCGCTATAATACTCGCTCATCGTCTCATTCAGTATTGCGTCCTCCTCGGGCGTTCGCAAAAATAGCGCTTCTTTTCGCTGCGCTGGCTCCGACTGTAGGTCCTTCGACGATGGCGTCAGGCTAGGCATGACAGCCGCCGGCGACGTCGGCTTTGTGCTACTAGCGCCATCGCCACCTGGCATTGCATCGACAGAGCTCGTGTTCGCAGATCGATTGAGTGATACGGCCATCAAAGGCTCACGTCTAGCCTCGCTTTCGACATCATTTGCTGCTGTGAAGGAGTTTGCGCTTGAAGCCGCCGCCGTGGCCGGACCATTGGCGGCTCTTCTTGCTTGCTTTTTGGCTCTATTGGACATTGTTTCGACATTCAGAGGCGAACCGGAGCCTACGGAGACCATGCTGGTGCTCGAAGAGCTACTGTCAGATCGAGCAAGCTGCTTGCCTGCTTTATGAGGCGAAAGCGGAGCAGTCTTGCCTTTCTTTCCTGATTTCCTATGTCTCGCTAGCCTCTCATCGGTCGCCTCTGCAGTCCTAACGTCAGCACGTTCGCGACCAATTCTGTGATCTTACTTTGCCGTAGATCTATATCTATAAGTCGCGAACATGACTGGGCTGTCGTCGGGCTCATGTATCGCAGCGCACAGCCATTATCGATGTGCCACAGCCCTTTGTGCTGTTCTTCATCGACCTGCTGGCCTCGAGCGGGTTGCCAGATCGCGTCAAACTCCAATTTGACGATTGCTGTGACATCCCTGGCATGCTTGAGCAGAGAAGCCAGCTCCTCTGCCCAATGACCTTTGAGTTGTAGCTCTTTCGAGTCGCCTGAGCCAAATTCTTCGATGCGACATTTTAGGATGCATGCGTGTGGATTGTATGCGTCTGTTCTGACCACCAGACCCTCAAGAAGCATGAGGGATGCCGAGACAGCCTAGATGGCCACGGCCTAGTCAGTCGCTATATTGTCAGCGCGCCCGCGGGAGCAGCAGGAGCGCGACGTGGCAAAGTCACGCGTCGCCAGAATGGGTGCCATCGGCCCGGCATACGACTATTACTGGTTTGGACTCGGATCAAATTTTTGCGCTAAGTGGTGAGCACAAGCTCGTTCCTTACCTTAATAACTGGACAACTCGAGCTAATAGACATGTCATACGGGTACGGCGGCGGTGGTGGTGGCTACGGTGGTGGCGGAGGTGTACGTCTACTCGAGGGCTTCGATCTCATCAGGTGCTGACTGCCTTTTCCTTTGTCTTTTCCTTTTTCACGCAACATCCATTGAACCTACCACTCTTTGCTGCACACCTCATCCCTCGATTGGCTTTGATCGCGCCATGTCGGCTTACATCGACAACCAATGATGGACATCTCGCAACTCAATCGATCACTTGACAACCTGAAGGGCTATGGCGTATCAGCTGGTGGCTACGGCGGCGCAGGCGGCTACGGAGGTGGTGGCGGCGGCTACGGCGGCGGTGGCTATGGCGGCGGCGGTGGTGGCTTCGGCGGCGACTCTATGTCCAATCTTGGCTCGGGCCTCAACAAGCCAAATTGGCAGACGCAGGCACTGACCAAATTCGAAAAGAACTTTTACGTGTACGTTACTGTCTTTGGAGTCTGCTGCACCAGTGCTGACACGATAGATTGCCGCTTTCAGTGAAGATCGCCGCGTGTCGGCTCGCTCAGAGCGTGATGTCGACGCTTTCCGCGCTGCCAAAGAGATCCAAGTCTTTGGCCGTGGCATCCCGAAGCCAGTCGAAAGCTTCAGCGAAGCCGGCTTCCCAGACTACATTCTCTCCGAGATCAAGAAGGCAAACTTCCCTGCTCCTTCGCCCATTCAGTCTCAGGCCTGGCCAATGGCGCTTTCGGGTCGCGATCTCGTCGCAGTCTCTGCCACCGGTTCCGGCAAGACCATCGCATTCTCTCTGCCTGCTATGATCCACATCAACGCTCAGCCCCTGCTCGCGCCTGGTGACGGTCCCATTGTACTCATTCTTTCGCCCACAAGAGAGCTGGCTGTCCAGACTGCTGCAGAGTGCACCCGATTCGGTGCCTCGTCCAAGATCCGCAACACTTGCGTCTACGGTGGTGCGCCCAAAGGCGGTCAGATCAGAGACCTCCAGCGCGGCGCAGAGATTGTCATCGCCACACCTGGTCGTCTCATCGACATGCTCGAGAGCGGCAAGACGAACTTGCTCAGAGTCACTTACCTCGTCATGGACGAAGCCGATCGCATGCTTGACATGGGTTTCGAGCCTCAGATTCGCAAGATCGTCGATCAGATCAGACCTGATCGTCAGACGCTCATGTTCTCTGCTACTTGGCCAAAGGAAGTCCAGAAGCTCGCATCGGAGTACTTGCGCGACTTTGCACAGGTCAACGTAGGCTCGCTCGAGCTCTCGGCGAACGTCAATATCCTGCAGATCGTAGAAGTCTGCTCTGATTACGAGAAACGTGGAAAGTACGTATATACCCAGTCGTCCGCTCTCTTTGTGTCTGACACTAGTTTACAGGCTCATCAAGCATCTCGAAAAGATTTCTGCAGAAAACGCAAAGGTGCTCATATTCATCGGCACAAAGCGCGTCGCCGACGACCTTACGAAATATCTTCGACAAGACGGCTGGCCTGCACTGGCCATCCACGGCGACAAGCAGCAGCAAGAGCGTGATTGGGTTCTCGCTGAGTTCAAGAGTGGTCGTTCACCCATCATGATCGCAACAGACGTTGCTTCTCGTGGTCTAGGTAAGCTTCGTTCTACGCTGACTTCCACACTTTGCGCCCTAGCAGCGCTCACTCAGCATCGGCTTGGGCTTTGCACGGTCGATGCGGCACGTGTGAACAAGTTGCGCGCAAGACATGCGCGAGATCGACGATCAGCCAGTGCGATGCGCTTCGGTCTTTGTTGATCATCCTAGTTCAGCCTCTCTCACGACTCAGATGCGATCTCCCAGCGGCCCGGGCCTGTCATGGCTGACGTGTTTTGTGCCTCGCAAGGTCAAAGAAGCAAAGCTCGGTCGACAAGCGCTGTGCTAAACGGATTCGACGGGCCCTCCTTGACGTGCTCAAACTTTTGATGCTCGCTCAGTCATCAGCATCGGCGGTCTCTCCCCCAGAGCTGCCCGTGTTGCCCGTGTCTCACGCACAGTCGCTTCGTCTTTGATCCGAGCTCGTCATCCGGGAGATCCATCCGAGTCCGACGAAAGATTGTGGAACGTTTGCGTTGCGCTCGTCGAGAGTCAGCGCAAGAAGGAATCTGCCAAGCAGAAGCGCAAGATGTCGCCGGCCGATCGATTACTGTTCTCGAGCTTTGCGCGCCTCAACGGCTTGGGCGCGTGTGCTTCGACCGGATTGCTCGAGTATCGAGCAGTTCTGCGCTGGATCAGCGCTCGCTCAAAATTCTCAGCAACTGCTCCTCTCCCCTGCCTCTTTGAGACCAAGATGTTTATAGCAATCGCGATCAGATGTGAAAGACATCTCGTATGTCATCAATTACGACATGCCAAATCAGATCGAAGACTACATCCATCGGTCAGTGTCTTTGCATTTCTGCATAGCTCAAGACTCACATGGTCACCGCAGTATCGGACGAACAGGCCGTGCTGGTCGCAAAGGCACAGCCTACAGCTACTTCACACCTGAGCAAAGCAGTAAGTCTCGCAGATGTCGAGTCACTGAACGCGCTGACGTCTTGGCAGAACTCGCTCGTGATCTTGCCAAGATTCTGGCAGATGCAAAGCAGAACGTCCCGCCTGAGCTCGCTCAGATGTCAATGTACGGCGGCGGCGGTGGTGGCGGTCGTGGCCGTGGCGGCGGTCGAGGGTGAGCATCGTCTCCGTGATGGAGGATCTCCGAGCTGACAGGTTCTTCCTTCACAGTGGCGGCGGTGGCGGTTATGGCTACGCTGGTCCGACTGGCTCGAATGGATACGGAGGTGGCCCGTCCGGCGGAGGTGTACGCTCGTTTGCCTTCCATACAAGACTCTGCTGATTCTTCCTCGCAGTACGGTGGTCGCTACTGAGCAGCGCTCGCTCCGCACTACCCATAGAGATGTCTTATCACACCATGTTGTCTGAGCAATGTCATGCTCTGCCCCATTCCCTCCCCATCGCGTCATCGACTCAGGTCTGTCCCCCGGTCCGCATTCATCATGGCAGCTTCATCAGCGTTCTTGCAAGTCTACCCGTGCGAATAGAGTGAGTGGAGGCGGAGGCTGATTGATCAGCTGCACAGCCAAAGTGGTGCGTATGCCGTCGTCGGCGCATCTTCGACACGCACAAAATTTGGGAACAAGCAAGTCATTGCTTGGGTTCGCCCAGCTCTTCCTGACATGTGGACGCAGAGTTCTGCGATGGTATCAAGACGCCGGCTTGAAGGTGACGCCCATCAACCCCAAAGAGAGCGAGATAGAAGGCCTGCAAGTCACAAAGACGCTCAAGGAGCTGACTAATCCCACGACGACGTCCATCTCTGTGATCACGCCCCCGGCAGTAACGCTGCAAGTGCTCAAGGACGCTGTGGAGCTGGACATCCAGCACATATGGCTTCAACCGGGTGCAGAAGACGCGGCGGTCAAGGAGGCGATAGCCAATGATTCGACACTGAGCTCGAGGACAATCCATTCTGGGCCATGCATACTCGTTCTCGGTCATCAGCTGTTATCACAGGCGAAGAAGAGTAACTTATGATACGCGCACGCGAGCACTGACTCGCATCTGTAGCAAGTGCAAGCGAGCGCAAGGAGTGCATTGCAGTGTACCAGTCTATGTATACTCAATGCAGCCGGCGCTGTCGAAGCTCTGGCTCGCTGGCAGGAACAACGTAGACTTGATCGTCAGGCGCGTCGCTCTCGCCTAAGCTGTCCGTCAAGGCCTTGCCCCTGCGTGCGATCTGTCGCCAAGCCTGCACCATCTTGCTTGGTCTGTCGACGTAGGTGATCTTTGGATGGGGTGTGAAGCCTACGCCTTCTTGTGAGATGGCGTCGTCGTCGACCGGATCGAGAAGGTCCTCCATATCGTCATCGTCGGTGCGCTGACTCTTAAGTACTGCTTTGACCTGAGCAGGCGTAACGCCAGGCGGTAAGACGTGACGGTTGAAGAAGCTCTGTCGCGTCGCGGTCTTTCTATACAAGGCGCGAGTGTTCTCGTCGTCCGCGTACTTTCGAATCGTATACTTGTAGCCGTTATCCGTCTTCTCTCCCAGCTCAAGGCAAAACGCCGTCAAAGGTTCGTCCTTTGTCAACTCGCGTTCTGTGCCGTTCGGTCGAACGAACATCATCAGCCGACCCGATTTGCCTTCCGTCATAACGCGGAGCGTCTGTGACCGGTAAGCCTAAATATATGTAAAGGCGAGGAGGCTTACCTGTTGCGGGTACACCCCGATGGCTTGGCGAAGCAGAGTGTCGAAGAGGCGCACGCCCATACGAAATGTCGATTCTGCTTCTTCTGACGAGCCGTTGAGGCAGTAGTCCATATCAGCAATGGAGATGTACTGGAAGCCAAAGATTCGCTTGGTGTTATGGTAGGCGATGAAGATGCCATCCATGCCACCGATGCGCGCTTGGTAACTGCTTTCGCCGATCAGCGCGAGAATGACGCTGGCGAGCGTAAGCTTGCCTGTACTTTAAGTACGCGTTGCGGATCAAGTCGTAGATCTCGCGCTCGTATGACTCTTCCATCCCGTGGTTATATCGAATGAGATACCCACTCGCTTCCTGAGGCTCTCTATCAGCGCTGCGCAGCAAGTACAGAGGTAGACCGACTTCGTGGTTGAGTTTGTCTGTCCTGACAGACACTGTTGCGCGCGTCTTGATGTCAAAGGTCTGCTTCGGCAGCAGAGGATGGTGGCAATCTATCTGCGACCGCATGAGAATGCCGCCGCTCTATACAGGTATCAGCGTCAGATCGCAAGGTGACGCGTTCGGGCATACTTTGCAGTACGCATATCCATCATGCTGAGTATCACGACTGGTATTTTGCTCGGCAAGACTCTGCGCCAGAGCCTCTTCAAATTCGGCGGGCGGGGTGACGAGCAGTTTTTCCATCACGTGTCCCTGAGTGCCGTTCAGCGCCGTCACAGTGCTCAAAAAAAGAAGCTTACAAGCTCAGACAGAATCTCTTCGTCCTGCAGATCGGCGCCTTTGTCGCTATCGATGACGTATCGCCCGTCTTGGTATCGCAATATGACGCTTGCAGGTAGACGCGGCCCGATACCGAGAATCGCTGGACTCTGCAAGCCTCGTGCAGTAAGATGAGCTTCCTGTAGCTGCTGAGAGAGGTAAGACTTGCCTGGTCCTTCCAGAGCATGCTAAGATGGTCCGTCCGCAGGTGCTGAACGCCATGCTGCAGGAGCCAGAAATGAACCAGCGAGGGCACGAGACTGCTCGTGCTGCCTCTAAAAAGTGCGTCGTGCTTGTCGGCAAGCGTCCGCAGACTTTTGTCGCCAGAGGGAGGCACAAATTGCGATATCCTGTTGGCATTGTATGAAGCGCGACCGGGTATGTGTTTGAGATGTGGCTCGTAGTTGTACACCCCCGTACGAGGATCTTGGAGCCAGTGGATACCAGGATTGAACAAGACACGATTCAGTCCATGCTGAAGGCGCGCATACGGTATCTCTTCGAGCGCCTCAATGCGATCAAGCTCGATCTCTGCAGGCTCGATTGTTCCTGTATTGATGATGACCGCGTTCTGAGGATGAGCTTTCGCAGGCGCAGGCGCTGTCGAACGGGTGCGCCCCTGCGTCGCTCGAACTTTGGCAACGCTTTGCACAACGATCGACGAAGACTGCTCGCCAGGCAGCGCTTTTGCTAGACTTTCTAATTTTGCAAGTATGGCCGCTCGTCGCTCGCTGTGGCTCGCAGCCGTTGCTTTTCCTTTCGGCTGTGATCGAGACTTTGTCTGACTCGTCTGGCGAGCCTTTTTGACAGCCTTGAAGGCCTTGACTCCTGCTAATGCGACCGCATCGGGTGTTGTCGATGAAGAGGCTTCCGTTTGCAACGAGCGCGCATGATCGCCAATGGCTGTGCTTCGCACGCGAGTGAGCGTATTGCGAGCTGCAGTAGTGCTCAGTAAGCGCTCGTGTGCGCACCGAAGACAGCGCATCCTGGATCGAGCCTGAACGCACTTTGCACGTCGCGCGCGTTTTCACTGCTGCGAACCCTCTCTCCAGTCGTCGGTCGTTCGTCATCGTTGCCGTGCTCACGGTCTCAGAGCAGAGGCACTACGGCATCGCATATCCTATGGTCATTGACTCGCTCTGGATGCATCTCAGACTAGTGCCACTCTGTGCAACTGAAGCAAACCTTCGAAGAGTCCTGCCAATCCTTTCTAACGCGTATAGCCAGACCCATTGCGCTCCGGGGCATACAAACACAACGACTCGGCTTGAAGAGCGTGCGAGTCGATCATCTGCGATGTGACACCAACAGCATGTCACTACAGCCGCTTGATTTGGGCGGCCTTATATGATTCTACAGGATTTATGCACGAGCACACGTCCTTGATCGCCTTCGCCAATATGCATGCAGGCAGCATCGAGATCGCGATAGCTTCTACCGCTAGAGTCTCGGCAGGACGCTCGCATCGTCGAACTCTCAAAGCCAGACCGAGAGTGTCAATGTCAGATGCATTGCGGCAAATATACATCATGGTAGTCTTGCAAGTGCGAAGCCATCGGGTTGTAGCACGCTCATTCTGCTTTTCAGAACACATATATCTGCTATCTGGTTATGCATCATTGACTCAAAAGACGTAGAGATTCGTGCGAAATGAGGGAGATCGCGAGGGAGCGCTGTCGCGATCTGACTTGCATGCTTCAGACAGGATGGCTGCCATCGACACGCATGGAATGATCTGCTCATGACTGTCATTGAGGCTCCCAGCGAGGATCAGCGCTATGAGAAGGTCATCGGAGCAGAGGCTAGGTGACCAGTATATATATTACATTCGTCGATCCTCCTGCCATGGCTGGAGAAGTCGACAAAAAATAGACAAATCGCCTTTTACTATTTGTCTCGTGCCGCGCATCTTCACAGAGCCATTATCGACTCTTTGACATCTCTTCTTGAGAATCCGTCTTTTTGCGCAGACTCTAGGTGACCTCTTCTCGGCCGATTGGATGCAGAGCGCTTTTTGGGAGGATTTTGCGAAACGGACCCGGCGACTTTTTTGACGCGCCTCGACCGAGGATCGATGAGTGAAGCATCTGCGCCTAGACGACGTAGTACTCGCTTGCAGGCGGCAACATCAAATGAACCTTCGATAGCGCTCGGTCAGCGCAATGAGCCCACAACGCCGAAAGCTAACAAGCGGAGGAAGCTTGCAAACACGGCATTGCCGCTGTCACCCTTTGTTGGCCACTTTACACCTAGCAAGCTCAGGACCGATGAAGCCAAATTCGGTCTGATACAAGAGAGGATGGCGCCCGATATTTGGAAGATGCTCATTGCTACTTGCCTGCTCAATCAGACTTCCGGACGAGCAGCAGTACCTGTGCTGTATCAAGTTTGTCAAGCATGTGTGTCAGCATGCAAGAGCTCACGATGTTGCAGATACTCGAGCGATGGCCAACTGCGCATGCACTTGCAGCGGCAGACCTGCAGGAGCTCACGCAAGTCATCTACCCGATCGGGCTCTACAATCGACGAGCACGTATGCTCATCAGGTTTTCTCAGACTTATGTGGACGAGCCGCCGACGGAAGGCATCTTGTCGTGTAACAAGTCTGATCGAGCGTATGTGCCAACGATGATCAGTCACTATGTAAGCGTCAGAAGGTTCAGTGGAGGGCAAGCTGATACCGTCGCAGCCTGGCGTTGGACGATACGCACTCGACTCGTACCGCATCTTCATCGAGAACGCCAACTCATCAGAGCCAAGCTGGAGAAGCGTTTTGCCGCTCGACAAGGGTGCGCAGATCAGAGATCGCTTGACAGTGACTGATCATGCACAGCAGAGCTCAAAAAGTATCTCGAGTGGCGATGGGCGCTAGAGGGAAAAGCTTGGGATCCTCAGAAGGGCGTCACCGGAGACTTGTCTGTAGCCCAGCAGGAAGTATTCCACGTTGCCCAGCTCGAGAGAGCTTCGCGATATTGGTCGAAGGAGTGACGACACGGACTCGCTGCATGACGCGATGACGCGCTGTTGTAAATCATCCTCCGCATTGCACTTCGCTTTGGAGACACTCCTTGTCAAGAGCCGACTGCGAGAATGTCGTCCGTTTTCAAGGTACATCGGCGGATCTACGGCCACAGTCGCTGCTGATGACACAGTGCACAGATGGTGCTCGATTGGCTTCGAGGGTTGCTATTCTCCAAAGAACTGTCAGCGCTGTCCCTTGACAATCGGAACTCTTCTCACCGCTATGTTCCGGCAGAGAGATGACGATTGTTGGGCTCCAGAACTCTGGCAAGGCGAGCGAGGCAGTCTCACAGCTTTTGATAGCTGACCATGATCGTTTGACTTGGCAGACAAGCTTGGTCAATGCACTATCTGTCCGCGCCGAGCAGTGACTCTTCCGGCCTTCAGCTGACACGACTTCCGCAGAACGGCCAATTCTCAGAGTCTGTGGTACCTACTGTCGTGAGCGGCTTGTTCGCTCAGTCCTCACCGAGGGCTTAACGCTTGCACAGGGATTCAACGTCAAGAAAGGTTTGCGCCCCAGTACAGACGTGTAGGAAAGCTCAGTGGGTATTCTTGCGATACACAGTGACGAAAGGCAAGGTCACGATGAGGTTATGGGACATTGGCGGGCAAGCGCTAGCTGCAGTGCTCGCTTCGAGTTGCTCATCAGCACCACTGCTTGTCCAGGCAGCCGCGGTTTCGCAGTATGTGGGAACGATACTGCCGAGGCGTCAACGCGATACTGTCAGTCGTCCTTTGAGGAACAGCACTGAGCTGCTGACTCGGCGGCGCGAACGGCAGCTTCATCATAGATTCAGCGGATCATGAAAAGCTAGACTCGGCCAAGGAAGAGCTTCTGACGTTGCTGGAGCGGCCACAGCTTGCTTCGATCCCAGTGCTCGTACTGGGCAATAAGAACGACTTGCCCAGCGCATTGAAAGTGGCAGATCTCATTGACCGGCTGTCAGTCTCGCGACGATCCATCTGCTCTTGCTCACATCCCTCCGTGACGCGACAGGGAGCTAGCAAAGATCGCCAATAGAGAGGTGAGCTGCTACTCGATCTCATGTCAAAATCAGAACAACATCGACATCACCATGAACTGGTAAGCGCTCTTGTCAGCATGCGCAAAAGTTCGCGGTCTGATCGGAACGTCCCAGGCTGACGAAGCGAGCGTGATCACCTGTACACTGTCATTGTATCATTGTACACCACAAGTCAATTGCGCGTATGACCAGTCTCTGAGGACGCCGCTGAGAGCATATCGATAGTAGACGCGTCGTGTCACCTTAGCTGAGTGGCATGGTCAAGCGAAAGCCCAAGTCTGCACAGGTAGGCGGAACCCTCTCTGCTGACAAGCGTCTGTTCATGTCTCTCTCTCTCTCTCTCTCTCTGCAGCCTCGGACCAACGACGGCCAAGAGACTGGTTCGGCCAATACGTACACGAACCCTAGAGCGACTTTACAACGAATCAGTCGCTCGAACAGTCTGTCGGCCTACGAGTCTGCAATGCAGGACCAGGCATCGCTCGATGGATCAGGCACGTTTCCATTCGCCGAAGAGGAGCACCTCTTGCCGCCCTCCGTCGCATTGAACGCACCTTTCGACTCGGAGACCTTGCAGAGTCAGTTCTTGGCCAATGCAGACTATGGCCATGAGCCCGCCTCGTCAGCGCAGCCTGCCGATGAGTATCTGCGTTCAGCTGAGCAGCAGCCGGCGCAGCAGCAGCAGACGGTCAGCACAGCAGCCGAGGCACCTCAGCCTCGCCTCGTCAACGCCAAGCAATTCAATCGCATCGTCAAGCGAAGAGAAACCCGTCAGCGACTGCAAGCACTTGGCAGAGTAGCGCAAGAACGAAACGTATGTGGTCAGATCGGTGATCATGCTGGAGCTGACTCGTCCGGCCGGGCACAGCAAAAGTACATGTACGAGTCTCGACACAAGCATGCCATGCGTAGAGCTCGAGGGCCTGGCGGTCGATTCCTCACCATCGAAGAACGACGAGCACAAGAAGCACAAGATGCCCTTGCGCATGAGTTGCTGGACGATACGATGGAGTGACAACAACAGCTCTTATCGGTTTCGAACATTGTCGAACCGAGAGTCAGGATACGAAAGGTGGTTCTGGCTAGTGTCTAGTCCACCGCCTTGATGGTGCAAGACGCTTGCGATACGGGGCACGATGGCTGCAGGATCGTTGGCCGGTCGATCGCCACTGAGCTCCCAGTACATAGCGCCGCCGAGTCCTCGCTTGTTGATCCAGTCTGCCTTGCGATGCGCAACATCAACCGTGTCGAATGTGCTATGGTCATGATGTCAGCGGTAGTCTGGTCGGACTCGAGAGACCTGCATGAAGTGGCCGTTGCCGTGTGCATAGCTTGCAATGCAGCGATCATCGTGGTGCACTTGCTGACCTTGCAATGGCTGCCGGTCTTACATCCTCAGCGGCGGCAAAGCTCGCGGACAGAGCTCTCCTCACCAAAGCTTTGTAGTCATACGTGCCGATCTCCCAGCTTCCTTGGCCTTGACCGCTGTAGCTATGGCCGGGCCCCTTACAGTTGAGGAAGCTTCGGCCATAGAGAGGGATGCCGATGACCAGCTTATCTGGTCGGACGGCTTGCGAGAGATAGTACTGGACCGCGCGATCTGTACATATGCCGTTGTTGGTGGATGTCGCAAGGACATTGGCCTGGTGATCTGCCTTGTCGCCCCATGGGCCCGAGTAGTCATAGCTCATCAAGTTCCAGAAGGAGAGATATTGATCCATCTGGCGAATGCGAAGCTGTTGCGACTGTGCAGCACCACAAGGCTATTGAGACTTCAGTATTGCAGCTTTGAAAGGTCGAGGAGGACTCACAGCGGCTACAGTGAGCTCATAAGGTACGGATTCGCCCTTGCGACGTGCATGGGCATCTAGCGCAAGACGACAGGTCCGGAGCAAGTCGACATAGTCCTGCGCTTCCCCATCGTTCTTTGGGAATTCCCAATCGACGTCTAGCCCATCTAGCGCATACTCTTCGAGCAGCTTGACCGAGCTAGTAGCAAACGTGTCGCGTCCTGCCTGGGTTGCTGCAGCCTGCGCAAAGTTGGACGAATGGGTCCAGCCGCCGATGGAGAGGAGCACTTTGAGATGACGATGCTCTTGTTTGAGCTTCAGAAGCGCTCTGCTCGGTCATGAGATATGGCAAAGCCGAGATGGGCGTGACTGACTTGAAGTTACCGTAGAGGAGCGGCCTGCCGTAGTCATCCCATGGCTCACCGTCGTGGTGGATCTGCTCATCTGCCCATGCATCGGTCAAGTAGACCTGACCCGAGTCTGGTCGGATGTTGGCGAATGCATAGAGCACATGCGTCAGGACATTGGCTGGTATCTGACTCGGTAGATATTTTCGCTATCAGACCCGCAATCTGGTTTCAGCTCGGATGAGTAGCTGACAGAGGAGGAGGGCCGACGTCGTAGATGGACCAGCTCGTGAAGTAGCCGACATTGCGCATGTGCCGACACCGCGCTCGCGCTCCTCTCAGCAATCAGCAACAGATGACGCGACTACTCGACGGACACAGAGATGACGCAAAGCCAATGACCAAACGTCCAAACCCTTTCGGAGGCTCGGGCAGAGATGCCAAGCGAGCCTTTCTGCAGAACGCAAGGAAGATACAAGTGCAGCAACCCTCGCGCCAAGGAGCATTGGACAACAATGTCTCTAAATCCTCAGGCACTTTTCCTTGCTTTCCAGCGGTCAACCCTTCAGTCTGATGAGGACGAGCAGAAGCCGCTCTGCCTACAAGCATCGATGTCGAGCGCTTTCTTCAGGTTGGTTTGCTTCGACGACTGACGACACCGCTGATGAGTGAACACAGTCAAGGGCGTTCGAGATTGGCTCCTGGGAGAATGCAATGCGAACTTCAAAGTCGGCTCGAGCGCTCTTGACGTGTTCTTAGACTGATGCACCCCTCGACACGATAGAAATGCAGTCGTGCAGCGAGCCTTCCAGTCATTGCCACGTCATCTCAGGAGACGAGCTGCATCTCACAATGCCAGACGATTGCCTGCCCGGCTGCGAGCCAAAGCCAGATCAGAGGCCCGTCTCACCGTCACAGGTTGGCAATGTTCACCACTGACAGATTGCGCCGTCAGATCGTCAAGGACAAGTCAAAGTCTCACACGATTCGCAAGCTACGCGGCTTTCCTTTCCAGAAGCGACGCAAGCTCGTCTTCATCAGTCGCTCGGATATGCTAGCCAAGCGTCAAAGTCAGTCAGGCATCTCTGTCATTCGCTGCCGCTGACAGACCGCGGCAGAGAACGGCAAATGGCTAGAGACCCACGTCTGGCATGCAAAGCGCATGAAGATGGTCGAGCGATGGGGATACAAGCTAGTGCGTACATAGCCTCGACGTCAATATGCGCTCATTGACGGTCCATCAGGCCGAGAAACCGACCGAGAAATGCTTCCGAGCGGCGTATCGTGCGACATTCTCCGATCAGGGCTGCACGGTCCACGACAGCTCGTATTTCACTCATGTCAGCCTGCAAGGTTCACAGGAAGAGCTCGGAAGAGTGCTCAATCTTCTCATGCCCATCCTCAAACCCTCGCCGACTGCTCTACGCTTCATGGCTGGCGCAAGACATTTCGAGAATACCATCTACTGGCCAGAGCGAGACCTTAGCGGAATTATAGGACCGGTACTCGGCTTCTGGTCTGCGCACACCCGCGATACGCCTACAGCGCGTCAGGTCATGCTAAGACTGCACCCGTCTATCATCAAAGACGCTTCGAAAGCCATCCGACAAGCGATCGCTCTGGTTTCACCCGCCAAGGGCCATACTTCATTGACGGTCGACAAGATCAACGTAGCTTCCTTTGATCTGTTCGGGGCGCAAGCTTGTGCAACATTGGCACGCAGCATCTCGCCCGTCAAGAACGCTTTTCCAGGTCAGAAAGCTGTGCGTGTCGTCTGCTTGCCAAAATCCTGGCTAATTTGACCGGTCTGAAAGGGCTGGCAAGGCTTGATGGCCTCAATGCCATCGCAAATACCCTCGGCATCGATCTTGGGATTACGCATCGTCGATCCGCGGCTAAGGCAAGCCAGCTACGTACCGCTTACCGTTTGAAGGTGCTAATGTGTCGGACAGCTTTCCGCCCAAGAAGCCGGCTGACAGCGCTTCGTGCCAGCCAAGAAGCTCAGTCGACCCCGAGGCAGCATCGTTGCCTTCTTTCTGGGATCTCGAAACCGTCAATAGCTTGAGCAAGCCTCGCTATTCGAAAGCAGAGCTCGATCGCCGGCGATCGAAGGTATGCGGTAGCGCACTACACTGGTAAGCGTGCTGAATGTCTGCACAGATGAACATGCCTGGCTCTTCTTTGGATGCGCAGGAGACAGATGATCGACTGCCTGTTCTCGTGCTGCAGCGAAGCCTCGGAGAAGGATCTAGCACACCGGCTTTTGGACTGACTGTCATCGCGCCATCCGCCTTTGCCCGTCCTCTGCTGCAGTCGCTTGTATTCTGTCAACCTCGTCCGATCGGTCAACGCGAAGTGACGATGCAGCATTTCGAATCTGGCTTACCTGCATTTCCTCACGACTGGCTAGGTACCGCTGCGGGGGAGCAGGAGATGGCGAGGCGAGCAGAGACTATCCAGCTCAAGCATGCTCGGACGCCCAGAGGAAAGCGGGCAGAGTACGATAGACTCGGTGTGACGATGCCCTTCAAGCCCGATTGGCCAGCTCTGCTTGCCGTTGGGAACGCAACGCCTTGGCTCGCACCTCGCTCGATTGCGCTCAAGCTGGTCGAAGCCCTGGATGGCAAACCGACAGATAAGGCAGACAGCGCCAAGCGATTCGACGAAGTGCTCAAGAATCGCAAGCTGCTTGCTACTGGCGTCTGTCAAGCGCGGCTGATCCCTTCCGGCCGTGGCGTCCCCAAAGACCGCGCCAGTGTCTTTGTCGGTGACGGTCAGGTAAGCATATTGTTCGGGACCATAGATGTCAGATGCTGACGCGTGAGAACAGGATGCCAAGCTCGTGGGGTTCGTGACCTCTGGCAGCTTTTCCCTCTCGCACGGCAGAGGACGCGCAATCTGTATGATCACGCTCAAAGCTTTCCTCGATGCGCACGCTTCCAAGAATGCGCAATTCGCCTACCGCAACGTCACGTCGAGGGACAGGCATCGTGCTGTCTTGGAGCTGGCTTAGCTTCGATGCATGTTTGAATAATGATTGACGTGTTCGGTCACGACAACGAGCAGATGCCCCGCCTGTTCGCTCGGACTTTGCTCCGACTCTGTCCATGCTAAGAGCACAACGCCGGCTGCACAACCTCATTCCGCACTTTATAACGCCGAGGATAGACCACCATCAGCGACACAACACCGCGCTCCACTGGCGCCAGATGAGCATGAGAGCCGTTCAGGTCAAGGGAGGAGCCTCCAACCTCGCCTCTGATCTCTACGTGGCCGACAACATTGACAGGCCGAAGCTCAAGCCACACGAAGTACTCGTCAAGGCTCGTTCAGTAGGCTGTAGCGATTCATACAGGAGGCTGAGGGCAGGATGACGCCACAGGTCAGAGCATTTGGGTTGAACAGGATGGACATCTTGCAGCGCATGGGCAAATATGTGAGTCCTTCACAAGCACAGCCTACCACACGAGGCTCATGGCACGAATAAGCCACTTCCGCCGGGCGCCTCTACCATCCTCGGCGTCGAATTCTCTGGAACCGTCGAGGATGCAGCCTCGTCAGATCTCAAAACAGGATCCCAGGTTTTCGGGCTGGCATTCGGTGGCGCCTATGCAGAGTACATTGCGGTTGACGCGGGTATGGTCGTCACCAAGCCAGAGCATCTGTCTCATGCGCAAGCGGCTGCTATTCCCGAAAACTGGCTCACGGCCTATCAATGCCTCTTCCTCGTCGGTCAGATGAAGGAAGGCGACAACGTTCTCATTCATGCGGGTGCGAAAAGCTACCAGTCCAGACGGTCGTGTAAGCTAAAGAGTGCGCAACGCAGGCGCAAGCGGTGTCGGCACCTCGGCGAACCAGCTGGCACGCGTCTTTGGTGCGAAACACATCATCACGACCGCTGGATCGAAGGCGAAGTGTAAGTTCCTCAAAGAAAAGCTAGGGGTGACAGATGCGATCAATTACAAGACGCAAGACTTTGCCGAGGAGGTCAAGAAGCTCACAGACGGCAAAGGCGTCGATGTCGTGCTCGATTTCGTCGGTCCTGACTATTGGGAGAAGAACATTGCCAGTCTGGCAAGAGACGGCCGGATGGTCCTCATTGGCCTGCTATCGGGCATGAAGACAAGAGAAGGTATCGATATGGCCCAGATCCTCTTCAAGCGCTTGAGGATAGAAGGTGAGGTGCTCGCGAGAGATCTTCAGACGCGCTCATCCGCCCACAGGCACAACGTTGAGATCTCGGACGCCAGAGTATCAGGCCGATCTGCTGCATCAGTTCAAAGAGAAGGCCATGCCCAAACTGCTGGGCGAGGGACTCGACCTGATCATACACAAAACATATGATTGGTCGCAGATCGTTGAGGCCACGCAGGAGATGGAGCAAGCGAAGAACACGGGCAAGATTGTCATGACGATCGGCTAGTCACTTCAGTCTCATGCATCCATCCTTACGAGGCCGAGCTGTTTGCCTATGCGTGAACCTTTTGGATCTTGAGTCGCGTCGTTGGCGTGTTGGCAGTTGCCACAGCTGACAGCACCCGGCACGAGATCGTCGCATCGTCGTCTGAAGTGGCTGGACAGCCATGGACTTTGACGTCCTGTCAGAGTTTGACCCCCTGGTGTGCGACCAGCGGATAGCGACGCCGCAGACGAGCAGGCCAGCGAGCAGGCTGGGTGCCCGTCAGCAGCACAATGCTTCAACGTCAGCCTCGCTTGCAGCTCCCAACGCGAACCATAGACCGCTGCCGGGAGCAGGAACTGCTGGAGCCGAGGAAGACGACGATGAGTTTGGCTCGTTCAGTTCTGCTCCTGCTTCACCTGAGAAGTCGCCCGTCCCATCTCAACCGCCATCTCGACAGTCAGCACGGCGTGCCGTTGCTAGCTCAAGCAATGGCGACAATCACAGAGCTGCTAGCAAATATACTCCTGCTACTGCTGACGCTAGCCGCAATGGCATCAACACTCGAGCAACGCTCCAGCTGTTGCCTGACACGCCAGGCAGCTCGCGCCCAAATTCACCGAACCCGATGAGCCCGCCGCAGAACGGTTCAGATGCCTACCAGAGCTATGATCAGACATGGAGGAGATTGAGCGGCTCGGTCAGACTACCGACGTACTCGGAACTGGCTCCTGCAGCCGATGCGGCCTACTCGACCTTGCGGGACACTTGGTCCTCGCTCAGGTCCAATGGCACAGACATCATCGCCCACGGCACCGCTGCACTCTTACCCGATCCAGATGCGCCATCGATGAGATTACCCCCGGATGGCGCACCGGGCTTCTACAGCCAGAACGGCTATGCCCACTCGCACAGGCATGGTTTTGACCTTGCCAAGGACACCCCGCCCAGGCCTGTCAGGCTGACCGGCATCAAAGCTGGCACTCGACAAGTTCTCGATGATGACACTGCCGAACGGGTACGTCATGTCGTCTCCTTATCGCGCATGCTCACAGATCCGAGCAGATACGGATCTCCCTGCCACCGAGGCTGAAGCTGGCAACGGAATGGTCACTGCTCTATTCGCTCGATCAGCATGGCGTCTCACTGACCACGCTCTACGAGCGAACGCAACGAGGACTACGAGGTAGCGAGTCCGGCTGCGTGCTCGTCGTTCGCGATAGCGAGGGTTCCGTCTTTGGCGCCTACGTCAACGAAGCCTTTCGAAAGTCTGATAATTATTACGGCAATGGCGAGAGGTCCGCGAGCTTCTTGTTCATCGGTTCCCAGAGCTGAACACATTGGGAACTGTAGCTTTCTCTGGAGGAGGACATCGTTCGATCCGAATGACTTTAGGATAGGCAGCGGTTTACGCACGTACAAGTACACAGGCCACGATGACTACATCATACAGAGCGATGTCAACTTTATCAGTGTCGGGACAGGGTATGCATCATCTCGAACAGTCACCACAGTATGCTGAATAATACTTGTCAGAGGTGGTCACTACGGACTCTGGCTCGATGCCGCGCTCGAGAAAGGCTTCACGACGACTTGCGCGACCTTCAACAATGAAGTTCTGTGCGAGTCAGGCGTAAAGAGAGGACCGAGCGGGCTTCCAGAGGCCAAATTTGAGATCGTCAGCCTTGAGATCTGGGGCGTGGGTATCAACGCAGCATCGTATTGAAAGTCTAGCAAATTTGCATGGTAGTGTCTTGTTGTACAAACATAGCAACAGATGTCTCAGTGACGGGGAAAATACTTTTGCTGCCCTCGTGGAGCAGCAGAAGGTGATGGAGGTCGTGTTGGCGCTTTGACATTCTCTGCAAACCGTATTGTGCCCCGAGAAGGTGAGGGAGGCCTTGATTGGGAGACGGTCTCGAGCGCCTGAGGACGACCACGCTCGCTCATGCCACTCGTCGTATTTGACCGACGACGCTGTATCATCTGCCGCAAAGATTGAGCAGTAGCTAGAGTGGGCCGTAAAATATTCGGCATCATCGATGTGGCAGCGTCTTCGCGTTCCGCTGATTCTTCACGCTCGGTACGTCGACGCTCGATGACATCGGCCGCCAGCTGATCCTCGGCTGTGAGCTCGCGATTGCTAGCGGGCTGACTGCCCGATCTTGCAACCGCAGCGCTGCCGAAAGCGCGTCCGCGGCGTACGCCTGGCGCATCTAGATCGACCACCTCGACATCTTCGCCTTTATTACGCTCGATGACCAACTGTACAATGCTTCTGATCAGCAAGAGTTTGTCCGAGGACAGGCAGACGCACATGACGACCTTGCACCCAAGACCGCTCTGCGCCTGTGCAGTCCTTGCGCTCTTTCCGACATGCGGCATCACGGTCAAGTTTGGCTTGGATCTCAGCCGGATCCTTGCTCTCCTTGGGCTTCGTATCTCGGGCCATACTGAGACCGCGCGCAAGCCAAGGCCTTGCAGTGCCTTCCTCACGATTGGGCGAGCCTGACTTGGGTGCTTCAGATTGCTGAGGACTTGACGCCACTGTGGGTGCAGGCTCGTGATCGCTGGAAGATCCCTGGACGACTTCAGGAATGGTCTGTGAGGTCGTCGAGGTCGTTTGGTCAAGAGTTGACATGGGTGGTTTTGTGCTGGCAGCGCTCGACCGTCTTCGCTTGCCGGCGCCGATACCTAAATATTTACGCGCAGCATTTTGAGCAGCTGCTTCGAGCCGTTCACCTTCGTGAGAGATGATCTTGCGCAGCTTGTGCTCTTCTTCTCGGACCGTATGGCTCGGTAGCTTCTGTAGCCTGGCGTCGTCTTCCTTGTATTTGTCTGGATCGCTCTCGAGCTTGTCCTTGTCGATGACAATGACATCCTCGCCTCCAGCACGTTCGATGACGATATAGTGCCCTTCCTCCCACCGCTGCTCGCCCCCTTTGTCATGGTAGCATTTCTCCTTCTTAACCTCTTCCTCTGGATCATTGGCTGCCCTCTTGCCGTCGTCCTTACTTGGACCGGCGCTGCTGCCGACGTTAGTATCGTCCGATCCCGTGGTATTGCTATGAGGGAAGTCTGGCGTATCATCCGTCGCTGCAAAGTCCTTCATATCTACATCGCCCATATCCACGCCAAAGTCTTCCGCTTCCGCTTTGCCTTCTTCGGCCTTGTCGAGATCACGATCGTGCTTTTCGTCAGAAGGCGAAGGCGAGGGAATGTCCTTGCCGTCGCCCACCCGACGCATGCGACTGAGCCAGCTTGGCTCGCCAGATGCCGAGGCACCTGTCCATGTCCGTGAGATCGAATGCACGCGCTTGCCCAGGTTGAAGAAGGGAATCGTTAGACCGTGAACGATGATAGACGACATGACGAGGAAATAGGTAATCGGTTGAATAGAGAGTGCCAGCCTATCCATCTCGTTGTACGGGGGCTGACCCGGCGTTGGCAATCGACTGACGGCGAGCGTCGAGATGAAGATTGCGCCTACACCCATGGGACCGAAATGCGCACAGAAGAGAGACTCTCGTCTTGTCTTCATATCTGGGATCCAGGGTGAAAGGCACATGACGGCTGGAATGCGTCGCAGTAGCAGGATCAAGATCGACAAGACGGACAACCGCCAGGGATTGAGATTGAGGTTGGGATCGCTGTAGGCTTGAAATGGTACCGTAGCGCCAATGAAGATGAAGGTGGCGCAATTGACGAGCAGATCGATGATGTTTGAGAAATTGGAGTCTTCAATTGACTCGGAGAACCAATCGTCCCATGCGAAAGCGGTACCACATGCGAAAGCAGAGAGAAGATCGTCTGAGCCTGCCAGCACGGTGACACCTGTCGAGAGGAGAGCGAGGGCGACATACATGGCGACCATGGATTCTCTGTCGATGAGATTGCGTCGCTTTGAGAATTTCATGAGCTTGCGGGCGATGATGCCGATGGCGGCGCCCATGACGACGCCCAAGACGATCTGATAGAGCACGACGGTGAGTATCCACTCGCCAATCGAATGACCGACAGAGGACTCCTCGCGCAGTAGCAGGAACATGGCGAGATAGAGAAAGGGGAAAGCAGCGCCATCGTTGCAACCTGTCGATCGGGAAGACAATGAGTCACGCTTCGAAACGAAGACGAGCTCGAACGTACCCGACTCGGCCTGCAGTACGTGGCGAATGTGTGAAGGAACGTGTTCTTGGGCGAATTTGCCTTTGCCGACGACAGAGGCAGCAAGAATGGGATCAGTCGGCGTGACGCAGGCGGCGATGACGAGAGAATGCAGGAAGCCAAAGCCGGGTATGAGAGCTGTGACGAGTCCACCAGAGATGAGCCAGCCGAACAACATGACTGGACCCAGCAGGAATGCCAATGAACGCCAGTGTCGTAGCACGTATGACTTTGGCAGCTCGACGCCGACTGCAAAGACAGAAAGAGCAATGACGACTCGGGTGACTTCGAGGATGAGATCGTCAAATCGTTTGTTGCCTGCGCCCCACTCGTTGGGCTCAAAGAGCTTGGCAGCGTGCTGGGAGAACGCAATGCCGAATGCGGTGGAGATGATGGCTTCACCGATGAAGAGTCTCTCCTTGATAAAAGCAGAGAATGTGCCAAAGACGACGATGAAGACTGTTGTTCGCTTGGATGAGCCCTTCAATCTTAGAGTGACCGCGAGTGCCGCGTGTCGGCTTACCTGCGATGAGCGTGTAGGCTAGATGGACAGCATTGACTTCTGGTCCGATCCTGAAGAGTGCGTGATGAGCCTCTGCCAGATCGCCCTCTCCGCCGTAGGCTTGCGTGTCGGGTGGCATGCCGCCATAATTGGCATCTTGCATGTCAGCCTTTGCTGACGCAGATTTGCTGCGTGTCGAGGCTGGCGGCGGTTGAAGAGCAAGCGGAATACAAGTGCTGCTTCTGTTGCTGTGTACCACTCCCCTGTGCTGATCTCACTGGCGGGCTCTGTCTCGAGCAAGTCTCGTCTCCAGTGCTCGGACCTATGGCGCGAGTCAATCAATCGTCTTGACCGGTTTGGATCCTGCCGGGGATGGCTGAGCAGAGTGGGAGGATGTCCACGTCTATGCACTGCTCCTCCTCTCCCGCTTGTGAGAGTGGCAATGCATCTCCCCACACGCTGACAAGGGGAACTGCCAAGCGCTCTCAAAGCCCAGCGACGATCTGCAACGCCAGAGAATTCTCGATTTTGCTCTTCCAATTTCGCGCGACGTGTCGAGCTGCTCACTAGCACTAGCCCTGTCGGCCACGCGCGCGTTCGTGGCCCTGGCGCGGCATGGCTAGGCGTATCTCGCTCGCCAACGGGCTCCTTGCAGCGACGCCGAAGCGGAGGAGGTTATGCTCTCCTGCCCGGGCGGCGCTGTGTGCCATGCTCGGCTTTGTGACCTTGCTGTTCAGTCTGATTGCCTGGGCAGAGGACAGAGAGCTTGCAAAGTCTCGTCTGCTCGATGTCGCAGCTCACCACTGGTCCTCGACCTACCTCGAGCACGTCAAAGCCAACCGGTCTGTCTTCATCGACGCGAGCGAGCCAAAGGCACGCGTGATAAAGAGCCCTCAGCCAGACGTGCAAGACGTTTACCGGCACGCTAACAGGCCGGCTGTCATCGTCGTGCGAGGTAGCATGCCCTCGCTCGACGATCTGCCAATCGACAGCCCGCTTCGCACGACATGGATCGAATCGCTCGAGTACATGGCCGAGGAGTCGCGTCGATTGTTCCATGCGCTCTTTGAGGAGGATCTGCTCAGCGATATCATCGGGATACCCGGTACCGGCGTCAGCGATGCGGAAGAGGCTATCGACTTGCAGACCTATCTGGACTGTATGACTTCCGAAGGCAGCTGGGTCTACGATCCTACGGGTCAACTCAGCCGTGTCGAGCTTGACGGCAACGGCTATACCGTCCACAAGCAGAACGCACTGTATGCATCATGCGACAAGACGTACTACAAATCGCCTCATAGGGTCCCTCTGACTTCGGATGGCCCTGCCAACGTCAACAGCGAAGCCGACAGCTGGTCTGTGCGTGAATCGCTCAAATGGCGGTGGCGAGCGCATGCGAGCTGCAAGGACAAGATACCCCATCACGTCAACGCGACCTCCTTGCATCTCTCCCGCAAAGACTTTTGCCGGTATCTGCAGAACAAGTATATCATGATCATCGGCGACAGTCCGACGGGATACCTGACCCATGATCTCCTGCTCGATTGGACGACCGAGAAGCCTGCGACATGCTACGGCGATACCTACTGCAAAGAGCATATGATTTGCAGAGGCAATCTCGATCCTGTCGTCCTCAAAGCAGATGCCCGCGAATCTGACGCTTGGGGACACGAAGACCATGTCGGGCCTGAACTGCTGCCGCCGCCCATCTTGACACAGCAGACGCACTTGAGCAAGCGTGACGATTCCATTTTCGAGCGTGCCCGTCGAGCACTCATACCGGAGGATGACACGAGCGCTCACGGAGCCCCCTTGCCCATCGCGCCCGATCTCACAACTCAGGAAGGCGCCATGCTGCGCTACAGACGCAGCGATTCTATGCTCTTGCATGGCGGTGTTACATACAAAGGACACGATGCGCACTATGTCAATCCCGCGACTGGCATCCGCGAAGTCAACCTGTACACTCTCGCAGACGCAAGGCGGTCGGATCTCGTCATCATGTCCAAGAGTCCTTTGCCTGTGCCTGAAGAAACAGGCCACCAGCGTCATCTGGCCGCTCTGATCGATGATGACGATGTGGCAGGCGAGGCGAAAGTTTTGCAGATCATCAAAGCTGCGGTCAATATCACGATGGATGTCTGGCTGCCTGACATCCTGCGTAGCCTGCACACGCTCAAGTCTGTACCGTCCGATCAGCTTGTCATCTATCGAGGCGGTTGGCGAATGCAGCCCGGTTGTTCAGACCCTTCGGAATCAGTCGAGACGCCAGCCGAGCTTGCAGATCCGTTCGATTGGCAGCGATGGTGGAAATCGCCAGGAGACGGGCCTCCGCCTTTCGATCTTGCGCCTTCGCTCAAGACGCTCTTCTTCCCTGCCCTAGCGCCAGAGCAGCTGCCGGACGACACAACGCCTGTCTTGAACCGACATGCACTCTTCTACAATGTGCAGACAGTCTTGCAGAATCAAATCCTGCGTACGGAGATCTTGCCCGCTCTCGGTATCGTTTTCCTTGATACAGAGACGCCAATGAGCATCTGGCGATCAGGCCTCGTCGGTGGCTCAACACTTCAGCGTTCATACCTGGTCGATCAAACACAATCGTCCGGTACCAGTGCGATGCGGAAGCCACAAGCAAGGAATTGCCTGCAACCCTGTCTGCCCTCGGCCGGACTGGCGCTCGAAGATGCCTTGATTGGGGCGCTATCACGACTCTTCGAATGGGGCTATAGCGGCGAGCACTCTGATCTCTTCCTTGACGAGGCATACATCCCGATCCGGCAGCGCAGCAAAGAGCACTAGATCTCATCCATTGTTGTTTGTACATACACTATTGTCATGTTCACGTTGCCCTGTGCCTCAGAAGATAGAGTAGCCTTGAGTCAGTGGGAGCGTCTCTGCGGCACTGACGATCATGTGAACGCCGTCTGCTTCGACGCGATAGGTTTCTGGATCGACAGTGATCTTCGGCAGCGCTGCATTGTGCTTGAGATCTCGTTTCGAGATAGCGCGACACTTCTTCACCGCTTCCGCTCGCTTTCTCAGACCGTACTGCGCGATGGTGCCCTCCATTATGCTGATGGCCGAGACGAAGACGAGAGAATTGAGGGCTGCTGCCGAGGGCTGCGCACCGAACATAGGTCGCGATTTGACTGGCTGTACTGTCGGTATAGAAGCGTTCGAATCGCCCACCTACGCTCGCGTCAGCACGTGCATCTTTGCTGGCCGCAGAAGTGCTCACGTTGGCCCAGGCGATGACGCCGCCTTTGATGACCATTTCGGGTCGAGTGCCGAAGCTAGCAGGTGACCATAGAACGAGATCCGCAAGTTTGCCTACAGCTACGTCTCCGACAACGTGCGAAATGCCGTGTACGATGGCTCTGTTGGGTGATCAGCTAAGTCATAATGAATGTACGGGGCGTACGGATTGATCGTATACTTCGAGACGTAGCGCTTGACCCGCTCGTTGTCATTCTCGGTCGTATCGCTCGATAGCGCACCCCGGTGATCTTTCATCTTTGCTGCCGTTCGCCAAGTGCGAGAGATGACCTCGCCAATGCGGCCCATTGCCATGGAATCGGAACTGATAATCGAGATTGCTCCTTCATCATGCAAGACGTCTTCGGCGGCGACAGTCTCTGCTCTAATGCGGGATTCTGCAAATGCGATATCTTCTGGGATTGACTTGTCAAGATGGTGGCAGACCATGAGCATGTCAAGATGCTCGTCGAGCGTGTTGCGTGCATAGGGTCGTGTTGGGTTCGTGGACGACGGCAAGACATTGGGATGACCACACACAACGATGATGTCGGGCGCATGACCTCCGCCCGCGCCTTCGGAATGGTATGTGTGTATCGTGCGACCGCCGATAGCTGCGAGAGTGTCTTCGACATAGCCACTTTCGTTGAGTGTGTCCGTGTGAATATTGCACTGGACGTCGTACTTGTCACAAACGGTCAGACAAGCGTCAATAGCAGCAGGCGTTGACCCCCAGTCTTCGTGCAGCTTCAAACCCGCAGCACCTGCTCTGATACTGTCTTCTAACCCGGGTAAGCCGCTGTCATTGCCCTTGCCGGTGAAGCCAAAATTCATTGGGATGCCATCAGTGGCTGCAAGCATGTGCTGCATATGTGTCTTGCCTGGTGTGCAAGTCGTCGCGTTCGTTCCGGCAGATGGTCCACCTGTGCCGCCGCCAATGAGTGTGGTGATTCCCGAGGCTATGGCTTCTGTCCACAGATCGAGCGCGATGAAATGGACATGACAATCGATAGCGCCGGCTGTAAGGATGAGCTTCTCGCCTGCAATGACCTCGGTGTTGCTGCCTACGATCATGCCGTCCGTAACGCCATGCATAACATCGGGATTGCCTGCCTTGCCAATACCAGCAATGAGACCTTTCTTGATGCCGACATCTGCCTTGAATATGCCAGAATGATCAACAATGAGCGCATTCGTGATGACGCTGTCGAGCGTCTCTGCATCTGTTCGACCCGTAGCTTGACCCATCCCATCTCGCAAGCTTTTGCCACCTCCGAACTTGCATTCGTCACCGTAGTGAGTGAGATCGCTCTCGACTTGGATCCAGAGATTTGAGTCTGCGAGACGAATGCGATCTCCCGTTGTGGGACCGAACATGGCGGCATACATGGCCCGACTGATCTCTGTTGACGTGCTGAACGTGTCGGCTGTTGGCTCGCTCACATGGCGGAAACCTTTCTGGACAAGAGCATCGAGGCAGGTCTTGCGATCTGCGGAGGAGGCATCAAAGGCAAGACGAGAGGCGAGGTTCGAGCCGCCTCGAATTCGGCGATGGCCAGCGATGGGCACGAGAGTGATAGTTTTGCTATCGCCAGGCTCAAAACGGACTGCCGTACCGGCTGCAATGTCGAGTCGTCTGAAGAAGCTCTGCGCTCGATCGAAAGAGAGCTCCTTATTGACCTCGCAAAAGTGATAGTCTGGCAGAGCCGGTTAGTACTATGTAAATAGCTAGGAACAGGCAGGACTGACGTGAGCCAACCTGGATGGGACGATCTCCCATGTTGGTGACTTTGAGCTTGATCCTTTGGCGACCCTCGTTGATCTTGATGGGTCCATGCTTACGTGCTACGACTACTTCTCCGGGTAAGGGCACAAGAGCGTCCGCGCTCTCGTCGAACTTGAACGCTTCTGGCTTGGGCAAAGGCAAGAAAGAGCCATAGAGAGCAGTGGACAGATCGCCGTCGAGCGAAGAGATGGGTTCGTGGACAGTGACGAGGAAGACGCCGTCGGGGAAAGTGCCCTCTACTTGGATCTCGTGCAAGAGCTGCGGCACGGCGGGCTGAACATGTCGTCGGCCGAGGATCTGCTTGCCTGCACCGAGACGTGAGCCTGGCTCGGAGTGAATGAGCAGAGCAGAGCACCTTTCGACATGAGCTGAGCGACGGTGTGCTCGCCATCTCGGATGAGCTCTTGCAAGACTGCGCCTATCAGTGCCGTCGCCTCTGACAGGTTCAGTCGAACGCCCCGGGCCAGACGGCGCTGGGCAAGAAAGCCGACCTGTTCGGAGTTCAGCAGATGCACAGCATGATCGAGAAAGGGCTTGCTTGGGTCAGCAACAGCTTTTGCTCCTCTCTGGGGAGCAGATGCATCTCCTGGCGTGGGGCAGAAGCTCAAAATCTGGAAGGACGCGAGCGCGTTGCTGGTGATATTGGCCGGCTTGGCTTGGCGACACGAGTGAGATGCAATAAATTGTACAATGACATGATCTAGTCTAGCTGTGAAGCGCTTCCTCGTAGCGCTCCTGAGCGATCGCAGTCGCGACGAACAAGTCGAGTTGAGACTCGAGCGCGATGTTGATGGTCAGCGTGGCTTCTTTCTCTGAAGTGTAGATGCCTCGCTTGTAGGTTGCCACAGTGATGTTTGATGTTTGCTGTACACATTTCAGATCGAGTCCGACAGTGCTGCCGCCCGCCCATGCGAACTCCTGTCCATCGAAGCCTTGGAAGACGTGCTTGCGTTCGTATAGGCCAGACTTGGCCAGCTCGGTCTTCCAGCCCGTCGGGAATGCGATCTCGGCATCCTTATTGGCGAGTGTCGTGACCGTACAGAGCTCGCTAGCACCGCTGTCCCTCGTCGAGTCGCCCTTTATCAAGCTAAACCCGTTGCCCGTTCGCGGTGTCGTGATTGTATAGAGCACCGTGCTGCCATTCTCAGACATGACCACGTCCTGCCCACTCGAATGGCTGCCCTTCTGCCAGACCTTGAGTATCCATTCCGTACGAGGCGCTGCTGGTGTGTCAGCGGCGACGGCTGCGGTTTCAGGCGCGCTCGATGCAGTAGGCGGCAATTCGTTCTTGTCGACTGAGTCTCTGCTCTGGACGGTCTCTTCGGCAGCTACAGCCGTGCCTGCTCCGACTGCGCCAGCACCAGCAGCACCGGCGACGCCTTCTCCCATATGCTTGTCATGAGTCGCGCCTGTCTCTGTCGTGGCGGCATCCGCGCCAGTCTGACCGTTGTGAGAGGACCTCACTTGCTCTATGTCAACGAGCCCTGTGAGCTCCTCGCAGACGGATGAAGCCTCAAGCGCGTGCCTTTCAGATTGGATGGAGGGCCAGCCATGTCGAATTCTCGTGCTTGCAAGGCGGTCATGCCTCTGCTGCTGGCTGTCGCTGGCTGCAGTGTATCGTACTCATCGCTGAGCTTGACTGGGTACTCTGTCGTGCTCGGGCCAGCCGCCATCTGATGTATAGGGGAGTGCGTGAGCTTTGGCTGAAGTGACATCTACGCGCGTCGTGTTGGCCACCTCGTGACATCATCGTCCTCATCTCTAGCCTTAATGCCTGTGCGCCCCAGGCAGAACAGCAATCGATCGTCAGATTGTCTCAGAAGCTGCTTGTACATCCTCAAACTTGTCGTGCCCCTTTGCAGCAACGAAGCGACTCGTTCACACGCATGCTGCTCGGTCGTTACGTTGCACGCGATGGCGGCAGGACTGCTCATCTGAACTCCTCCTAGCCTCAAATCCTGATCGCAAAGAATGCTCGTCTTCGCCTCCGTCCTACTCGTCGTCTTCGCCGTCGTCGCTCGCGCGGCTACCGTGCCAGTCTCCGATGTCATCTGTACGTGCGGTTCGTGCCTGGTGTGCGTTGCTCAGAATACCCTCAGATGGCACGTCTGGCCAAATCATTGCCATCCAAGCACCCTTCGGCGCCTTTCCCTACACGCCTTGTCAGACCCATGACAGTGTGAGCTGGTAAGCTAGGCCCCGGGCTCACGAACGAGCCAAAGCTCACACGCCGTGCGCAGTCTCCTGACCGACCATCCAGAGAAGATTGGCGTCCTGATCGATCAGACCATTCCCACCAAGGTTGTTGAAGACCCGTCTGGCAAAGCCGTCGATTGCGTCGTCATCACGCTTGCCGAGTACAACAAAGTCTGCAATCCCGGCAGCGGTGAAGAGCATTGATGGCCTCTGACTTGATGCATGCATGTCACTTTCTGGATGATATGAGGGGCCTTCATGAGCCCTACTCGGTCTATGCCAGAGCGGATGTATACATCGATGCAGCCTCAATTGAGCAACAGCCTAACGATTGCAGAAGGCATCGGCCTTGGGACCAATGGGAGCGCATGCGAATGCTTCACCCGTGATGTCCGTGACTGTGTGAGGAGGCGACTCGTTCGATACTATCACGCCCATCTTAGTCTTCTCATCCGTAATGAAGCTGTGTCTCGGCCGCGAGTAACCGTCGCTTGCACGGGCAAGGCACCGCACCATCCGATCGTGGCGTACGGCTGCCCAGATGTCCAAGGCGAAGGCACATTTTCAGGCACGGACACCGCGATTCCTTGACGGCCTACTTCATCTATTGGCGGCTATGAGATCGATGTGACGTTGCAAAGCATGAGTGACACAGATGACATCCGGGACAACGAAAGCCTCAGTGGTGGCTACCGTAGATGCATTAAAAGCAGCGACGCTGACGATTGCGAGGAACTTTGACAGCGTATTGCATATCTCTTACAAATGTATCTGCACCAGGACAGCGGAAGCCGCGAGCAACTCGGAGGAGTCAAGAGCGACGATATCGAATGCGCAACGACGTACACCGTCGGAGTTTCAGTGTCATGGGAACTGTCGCTGTCGGATCAGACGGAGGGGAGCTGAGCTACGCCGAGACGTAGGTGAGCGACGACGAGGACTGCGAGCCTCCGAACGCAAGCAGTGCATGTCAGGCCTCATGCGACTCTCAAGCACCGCCTCGCGGAACGCGACAAGTCGCATGTTTGTGTTCCGTGTCCCAAATTGATGTCTTCATACCGGATCTGCATCCATCGCCAGCTGAACTGCATTGACCTGGAGCTCCAGTGAAGAAATGAAGCACTTCAAGATTGTCACGCTATGCGCCGTCGTATTGGCCTCGTGCGCTGCTGCGATCTCTGATGGTCTGACGAAGGTCCATATCAGTCCGTACTGATGGCTACTTGCGTTTCTCGGCTAACATAGGCAGGCAGTCGCCAACCGACAGTTCCTCGAGCTGGCTGCTACCAACCCAATTGCACTGAAGAACTGTGACGTTCGTAACGATCTTGCTTGGTGAGTCTCTATAGGCACAAGTGGCTCCCCAGAATTGAGCGTCTAGTTAGCGCTTTGCCTAGTGTAGGCGCAGGTGTTCTTTACTACAACGACGGCCGCAAATTCCTTGATCGTGAAGGAGCAGAAATCATCTGCACCAAAGTCTCGTACTCGGAATGCCCAAGTCACGGGCATATTCCCATCTAGACCTGGAAGCGGGTGCTCTCGATGGGCGACTTCGCCCCAGGCAATGCATTTTGACTTGCGATGATTTTGCCTCGAAAAGCGGCTGCTACTCTACCACATAATGTTCGAAGATTGAGTCTTCAGTCACTGCGGGCCTGCGAGATCGCATATCTGGCTGGAGCAGCGGGACTGAGCGAGGCAGGATCGTTTTTCAGCCACTCAGGAGGGGATCAGAGAGGACAGGCCAGCCGCCGCATTCCACGTGACCGGCGACCGCTTGCCTCGCGCGCGTCTTTCGTGGATGAGGCGGCACAGCTGGCGCAGCTGCTCGGAACCCAATCCTGCTGCCCAATAATGCTTCTATGACCCCATCAGAGCCTTCAGAGCTCGCTCGCAGCTCCAAATGGTGGCAAGATGCGCTCGTGGCGTCTCGCGTGCCTGCCGAGAGTGATTCCGCGATTCCGCTTGCAGCTCAGCTTGATGCCCGTCGGCGGCACTTGGCTCAATCTGTACCTGCTTCACAAAGAGCTCGAGTGAATCTGTATGCTATGCTGCAGACACTCAGACAGTCCGTAGGCCGCGCGCCTCATGCCGCAATTGTAGACGTCGGCGCACCTTTGTCTTTGCAGCCTGTCCAGTCGAATGTGGACAAGACGCTGCTTCTGAGGGATCTGCAGAGCAATCGACGCACTCGCGGTCATCTCCATCTGACTGTCTGCTCAGAATGCATTCGGAGCTCGTATTGCGCCTACATCGCCCGTGACGACGCAGGCGATTTAATCGTCCTGGCGGTGTACAATACACCTCGAATCCAGTCCCTGCTCGAGCCAGGCTCGTACACAGTCGTGGATCCGATGGTCAAGACGAGGCATGGGCTGGGTTATTTCATACGTCTCGACTGTCCGGCGGAGCTACGGCCTGTTCGCAGTCTTGCTGAGCCAACAGTAGACCGAGTGCAAAGAATGCTGCAACATCGACAGTATTGCTCTGCATTATCAATCGTGGAAGCAAGATTCGCCGAGTCGACTAGAGATCATGCAGCTCTGGCAGAGCTCGCCGCAATCGCTGCGTATGAGCTTGGTCACTATGACAAAGCAGAGCAGCTCGCGAGAGACCTCACGAGCACACGCAGCAGGAGGTTGTGCTCTCTAATCGGACATAGGCAACGCGAGCAAGCAGGTCAATTCGCTTGGCAAGACCATGTCGATGTTCCTCATCGTGCTGGCGTGCATCTAGGCGATTATGTGACGAGCGTCTCGATCGAAGACGTCCAGTACAAAGGCAGAGGACTCGTAGCGCGTCGATTCTACCAAGCTGGCGATCTGATCATGGTTGAGCGACCTCTGGCCATGTGCGATGGTCTTATGACTTCAGACATTCTTGGTGCGGAAGTAACGACTCGCCAGTTCTTATCAGCAGCTCAGATGGAGCTACGCGCTATGCTCTTGCATGCTATGGACAATAATATTCTCGTCAGGCACAAGGTCGCGCGGCTCTTCGCAGGTCCCGACGCAGAGCGCTTGCCTTCCGATGTGTCTCAGAGGGTACATAATACTTCGCTAGAGGATGTGGCTTGGAGCGCCTGGGCACAAAGAGTGCACCGTGTGTGCCACTACAATACTTTCAAGCCTTTCTGGTCTACTGTCGAGCCTTCAGCAAAAGGCGCATCCGCGCTTTACTATCTAGCGAGTCACATCAATAACGACTGTACAGGCAACAGTCTATACTTCTTTGCACGCGATTCCATGGTCTTCCGAGCGACGCGCGAGATTAACATCGGAGAGGAGATCACCACAGCGTACATGCCACATCTTCCCTTGGCCGAACGGCAAGCGAGTCTGCGCGTACTCGGGATCGATTGTCAATGCGATCTTTGTCGTTCTCAAGCCGGCATGCCAGTCTCGCAACCTGTGCCTCGATTCGACATTGCCAATGAGCATGCTCAGCGCGCTCTGACGCTGCGCAAGAGTGACCTTGATGCATCTGAAGCAGAAACGATCAATGCTCTTGTTGCTCTCGGTACTGGCCTCAGAGCTTTCTGCAGGGACGTCTACCTGGAAGATCTTGTGACGTGCCTGCCAAGGATTGCGCCAGAACTCGCCATCAGCTTGTGCGACAATCTGGCCGACTTGCAGATCCAGCGCGGACGGCATGCGTCGCAGAAGTCGGTCTGACATCATCAATAACGGAATTGGCTGATAGCGCTGCAGGACATGGGAGAATGCAAGCTCGTTCATTCGAATGCAATACTTTGGCGTTGCAAAAGCTCAAAACCCTTCGAGCGATCGCGAAAGGGGCTATGACTAAGACGCCACGGCATGCATTTCTTCAAGGCCGGTCCATTTAAGCAAGCGACGCAACAGGCGAGGCAGCGGCCGCGACAGGTTCGGCTCCTGCAGGTGTAGCGGCAGCAACAGGCGTGGTGGCAACAGCAGGCTCAGCGGCAACAGGCTGGGCTGCTGCTGCTGTGTCAGGCTGTGTGGCCGAGCCGGATACAGGCGCAGACTGCATGAGTGTCGAGGGCAGAGCAGCGGCAGCAGTGGGTGCAGCGGCAGTTACGGTCAATACGGAAGGCGCTGCTGATGAAGCGGGCACGATTGTCCCAAGCGCACCAAGGCCAATCGAACCCGGCTTGAAAGAACCGAGAATGTTGGCGAAGGGAGCGGATGCGGCCGTCGGCGTAGCAGTGACGGTGACGACCTGCTGTACTGCCGTACCAGTGCCGGCGGCATTGAGCGCAGGGAAAAGCGAGACGACATCACTTCACACAAAGTCAATCTCTGTCCACGCTAAGCAAGCGGCAGATCACGCACGCAACACCTTGGAGTAGCTGAGATGGCGAGACGGATTGCATGGCTATTCCGGGAGCGGTGGCAGTAGGATCTTGCGCGGCAACAAGTGATGCGACGAGGGTGGCGAAGAGATAGAAGGCGAACATTGTATATAGCGTGTCTGCTTCTGCTTCGAATGTCACGTAGGTGGCCGAGCTTCGATGGCGGAAGATGCAAGTATTTGCTGGACATCATGGGCACTATTCGCTTCGGTTGCTTGCTTCATGAAAGCGAGATGAGATCCGCGCGTCCGAGCACGGCGCGATCGGTGCAGGATTTTCGCAGAGTGTTGCTCAGCGCTCAACAGTGCAGACGCTCTGACTGACGGAGTGAGTGACTGACTGCGTTGATTGCGCGCTACTTCGAGACTCACGGACAATGACGCTATCACAGAGGGTTGTAGAGACGCTGATTGCATATCAAAGCGCCAGTGTAGCATAGGGGCTCGATAGGCTCATTTGGCGCCGATGCCGCCGCCAGGGAGCTCACATTCCGAGCCGTCGAGAACGACACAATGTACGTACATGCCCGTGATATCGAGGTACTTGCCGCCGGATTTGCGGAAGAGGATCGTTGCGTCATCGCTCTTGCTCTCACGACTACGCAACTGTCAGGCATATCGCCGTCAAGCATTCTGGCAACTCACCAAACGAGGTCGTTGCGGATCTCACATTGCGTGAGATGCACGGGGTTGAAAGGATCGAGGTAAAGAGACTTGCCGTCGGAGACTGCTTCCCCGTCAGCGTATGGCCCCAACCAGTCTGCGTGCATACCGATCGTAAGGCCCGGATTCTGGCCAGCGACGAGGGTCACGAGACCAAGGGCAAGCACAGTAGCGAGCCTGATAAACGTCATCTTCTCTTGTATATTGATCTCGATTGTCGATGGACCGCACAGAAGAGAATGGTCGCTATTTATCCGCTGCTCGAGACATGTTTTGCAAAGCACGGTCGAGCGAAACGTGATAGCGGGTCTGATCGTCATGACTTTGATGGGCCGTTAGCATGGCTACATCGATAAGGGAGCCTGGTGTCGCAACCCTAAAAGCAGCCGTCGCTGATATGCGCATCCCCTTGGTGACGTCTGCACGCCGGTCGCCCGTTTAGACAACGCAGGAGGGCTACGTCAAGAGATGGAAGAGGTAGCACAGCTGTCGATGAGGTGTCTGCCAGGCGCAGGTGCCATGTGAACGGCTGTTGATATAGTGAGATGGGCCTGGCGAGCGGCGACCTCCGCGATCACGTGAACAGCAACAGCAGATTCCCTCGCTTCGAAGATCGGATTCTTGCGAGCCATGCGTCCAACACAGTCTTGCGGAAGCAGAGCTACGAGCAGGAGCACTGAGGAGACGAAGCTTCTGATGCATATCAAATCGCCTTTACACAAAAGAGTGGTTGCTAAGCGATGCACGCAGGCAAGGCTTCAATTGCCGCCGGGACCGAAGCCAGGCAGAGCACACTCTGAGGGGTCTCCCAGTCTGCACTGGATCGCCATGCCAGCATAGTCGAGTTCTTGAACACCCGATCTGCGGTAGAGATTCGAATCGGCGAGATGACTGTCTCCAATTAGGCTTTTCGTACGGACTTGGGCCACCGGAACTTACCACACCAGATCATCGCGAACCTCGCACTCGGTCAGATGAGTCGGGTTGAGAGCGTTGATATGGAGAGATGTGCCACGAGAGACTATCGTAGAGATCAGAGCTGGTCGGCAGGGAGGTCAATGTTCCTAATAATTGTAAATCCAGCCGCTGGATGAGACGAATCTGGATCCGAAGAAGTAGGAGGACGCGCGAGAACAAGGGCGGCGATAGCGAGCATGACAGCCATCTTGGTGTACATCTCGAGTGTTTAGTCGGTTCAGTCGATGAAGAGTAGAAATTTTGGGTCGCCGGTCATACCAAGGCTGAAACGAGTAGTGCAGATTGCAACATAGAACGTGCCGCTAATCGTCTTTGCGACCCAACAAGCCTTTGCTACTATCGCTGCATTAGTCGGCGTGGCAAATGATATCCGCGCAACCC